CTGTAAAAACACATACTCCATTCCTACATACCCCACCACACATAAACTCTTGTACACATAAACTCCACGCACACATATCCTATGTAAACACATGCCCACACATATTCATAACATGTAAGCATACTTCATATGTACACACATACTCCATACATGCATACAGGGACTTGACTTGTGTTTTATGTGTTTCTGTCAGCTTTTGGGCTACAGGTGTCACATGGCTTTGGTAGAAAGGCCAGGGGCTGCCAAAGCTTTACTCTTCTGCCCAGAGAGACCCTGATACTTGTGACTCCTAAAGAAGCTAGGTGACAGCCGGGTGTTGGTGGCACACGCCTTTAATCCCAGCACTTGGGAGACAGAGGCAGGCGGATCTTGTGAGTTCGAGGCCAGCCTGGTCTACAGAGCTAGGTCCAGGACAGCCTCCAAAACAATACAGAGAAACCCTGTCTCGAAAAACCAAAAAAAAAAAAAAAAAAAAAAAAAGAAGCTAGGTGACTTCATGATGATAATGGATTAAATCTCTGGAACTGTAAGTGAGCCATCCCAATTAAATGTTTTCATTGTAAGACTTGCCAAGGTTGGGCTGGAGAGATGGCTCAGTTGTTAAGAGCACTGGCCTCTCTTCCAGAGGTCCTTAGTTCAATTCCCAGCAATCACATGGTGACTGACAACCATCCGTAATGAGATCTGGTGCCCTCTTCTGGTGTTCAGGCATACATGCATGGAGAACACTGTATACATAATAACTAAATAAATATTTAAAAAAAAGAGGCTAGGTGACTATCAGAGTCCTTTGTCTAGTCTCCACAGCCCAGCAGATGTCACGCCCAGAATGTGCACACTGTCTCTTACAAGAGATCGTAGGAGGACATCACGGAGATACAGACTCTGAAGTCACAAAGGCCATATGATGAAGTCTAAGTGAAAGCCATGTCTGCTGAGGAGATCACCAGGGTTTGGCACCGCATGGGCAGTGAGGGAAATGTTGGACCAACTTCAGACACGGTGTTCACGGTGACCTCGCGGGTCTCAGGGCATCGGTTTCATGAGGGGACCCAGGAATCCACCCTGGACAGGCTTGGAGGAATAAGATAACAAGGTGAGCTGGAGGTGAAGGAGGAGAACCTACCAGAAGGACCTTGCATTTTCCCTGGAGGGTCACTTAATCTCTGGCTGGCCCTGCAGCTGCCAAGCGCCAAGCCCAGAGTGATTCAGGAGGCTGCCCCTCCCCCCACCCTCCTCTACAGGGAAGCTGTGGCCACTGCTTCTTGCCCCTCCTGTCCTCCTGTCCATGTCCCCTCAGAGTGGGAGCTGCATCCATCCCTCACAGAAAGCAGCAGCTTCCGAGGGACTCTGGCTGGAACTGTTTGCAGGCAGCCAGCTGGTGGGGACAAAGGGCTTTTCTTTGTCTGCCTGTCAGGACAAAATTCTTCACAAAGAGCCTGACACCCACCACCTGCGTCAGCATCCATCGGTTGCCGGACCCAAGCTGTGTCTCAGGACCGGGGATCAGCAGGTGTTGAGAGATATAGGCTCTGGCTGCCTGGGGGGTTGGGGGGGTGGGGGGTGGGGGGGTGGGGCCCGAGTGTGGCTGTGGCCCCTGATGTGGGTCATGGGCCAATGCTCCCCAGCCCTGGGCCCATCTGGGCCCGTATGTGGTGATGCTCAAACCAGGTAACAGGGCCACCTCTTTGAGTTGTATCGTACCTAGCCTGCCCCATGCCTAGACTCATAGATGTTGGTACTGGGATTCTTCCCTGAGAGCCCCAAACCGCCAGGAGGTTAAAGGGCAGCCCAGTACCACCTTCCTCTTCCCCATAGCACTGGCAACACGGGATCATTGCTACCTCATTCAACAGTCGAGGAAACCAGGACCGGGGAAAGTGAATGGCTTGCCTGGGGTCACTGCATGAGAGGGGCTGAGCAGTTTAAAATCAGCTCTGGCTGCCAGCCACGGTGCTGTCTCTGGGCCAGCAGTTAAGACTTGGAGCCAGCGGGGCGATCACTCTCGTTCATCACCAAAGTGCTCCCTGGAGTTGGAGCCCTCCTCACAGCCTTTATAGACAATTAAGTGCGAGGGCAGAGAGGTGCGGGTGCGGGGGGAGAGGGGCAGAGCGCTGCCTGTGCCGCGCACGATCGATGGTCTCTTGGCAAACGGGAGGGAGCACCCACAGGAAGTCAGATGAGGCAGAAGGTCCTCGAGCTCCTGAGACAAGGAAAAGCGGGCTTTCAAACTCCAGCCGCAGCCGCAGATGGTCCTGGCAGCTGCTGACCCTGGATGACACGTCCTCTTAATCCAGAACCGGACTGCAGGGTGCCAAGGACCCCCTCCCCCTCCCCCTCCCCGGGCTTAGAGCTGCCTGTAGCTTGCCCGCTTTGCTTCAGCACACGACTAGAACTTGGGGTGACTGCTAGTGTCCTGGCGTGAGAACACCTGGAGCAGCCAGGGGTCAGGATGAGGTCTAATCAAAGGAGGGCAGGAAATGCAGCTAGGCCCAGTGTAATCATGGTCACCCACTGCAGTGGAGATCATGGTGAGAGTCATGGTCACCCACTGCAGTGGAGATGATGGTGAGAGTCATGGTTACCCACTGCAGTGGAGATCATGGTGAGAGTCAATGCTGAGCCCTTCAGGTCCCAACATGTCTGGGAGACCTGGCTCTGGGTCTCCTGCTGCCCACTCTAGCCACCTGCCCGGGAGCCCGAATCCAGCCCTAACCAAAGAGACTCTCAGCCTGTTTAAGCCTGGTCCAGGGGTGGGGGTTCAAAGTGGCAGGGCAGGGCCCTAGAGGCGGACATTCCCTTCCTCCCTTTGATTCTCCCCTTCTCCCCCCTCTTCTCCTCCCCCCTCCTTCCTTCTGTTATGCATCCATCCCTCCATCTGCATTCAACACACACGCCCATCCACACTGACAGCCCTGCCTGCGTGTGAGCCCCAGAGCTTCCCTCCTGGACTCACATCCCAGTGGGATAGAGGCCTAGTGTAGCGGACACAGCCTTTATATGTGAATCCCTGTTTATACCGGCAGATGGTTACCATAGAAATGTCCTTGGGACAGGGCGGAGGGTAGAGAGGGCAGAGAGAGGGGGGAGGGAAGTCCCCTCAGAGGCCTGTATCTGCAGGACTAGTGTCCAGTTGGGCAGCAGCAGTATCCTGGGAGAGTCTCAGCATAGCTAGGGTGGGAGGCGTGTGCAGGGGCTTTCTCCGCCCCCACCCTCAGGGACACAGACTGGCCTGGGGGTGGGGGGTCATCCTAATCTTCTGCACCATCAAGTGGCCTACAGACTTGTAAAAACTGGGGCTTTTTTGCCTAGTGCCTGCAGTAAGAGCCTCACTCAGTGCCAGGGTTCCCAGGGTCCCCCAGCAGTGCTTCTAGTCAGCAGGTGGAGCAGGAGGGGCCCTACAAATTAATGAGCGAGACTGATTAATCTGCTGCATTAGCAAATCCGCAGGGAAAGTCAACCAACCAGGCAGATGTGTGTGAGTCCCCAGGGCTGTGTCAGCAGTGCCCTGGCCTTTTGCCCCAGGAAAGACTGTCTCGACTGCTAAACCTGGAAGGCTGGGCACAAAGCCTTGGAGAATGACATCTCCAAATCAGAGTTCCAGGGTAGCTGGGAGAGGCTGTAAGGGACCGGAATCGTGTTTGACTACTTCTATGTAGTTATGAGGACTGCATGGCCACCTAAGGCAATCCCTTTGTCCTGTGCTGATACTAAGCGGAGGTGTAGTGAATCAAGATGTCTGTTGACCCAGGACCAGCTGCAGTTTTCCCACATGGGACCTATTGGCCCTGCTGCTCTCCCCAGCTCCCCCCACCCCGGGGGGGGGGGTCCACCATGCCAGGCTTTACACAGGCTTGCTTTCTTCCCCACAGGTAGTGCTCAGTCACCGGATGAGTTTTAGCTCAAGATTACGGGTGTGCTTAAAAATACTCAGCTAGTGGAGGGATGGGGCTAATAGATGCCCACAGTGTGGAGCCAGGATCTGACTGGGATAGATGAGGACAAATTAGCTCTAGTGGTGAGAGTGGAGTTCTATTGGGAGAGCCAGGCTTCCCTAGGCTCCTGGGAAGACTCCAGGCAGAAAGGGAGTGGGTGCCCAGAGAGCATTCTCCACACGAGGCCAGGGTGCCACCCTGGGGTTCTGTAGCTGTGTTGGAATCCCACTACTGAATGTGTGATTTTTTTTTTTTCGAGACAGGGTTTCTCTGGCATGGCCACACGTCCTCAATACTTGGGCCAGCGTGTAGGAAGGCACGGTGGGGGAAACAATGGTCACTGCTGAGGTGGTCTGCTCAGGAGGAGGATATTTTGGAAGGCTCTGCTCACAAAGTATAGGCAGATGATGCCAGCGACCTGGAGGAGTCCGAAGGTCCCAGAGGGGATGTGTGACATGCATTCACTGTAGGCCAGAGGGCAAGAGAGCTGGGTCCATTACTGTTAGAGAGGCAGACAGGGGAGGTGGAGCAGGGTGGAGAAATGGAAGAGAGGAGGTCAGCCATGGGAGCAGGAGCAGGGCCATGGAAACTGCCCCTGTACTGTTGTGGGTAGGTGCAGAGGGTCCGAGGGCCAGTCAACCTCGGAGCCACCATGCCTGGGGACAGAGAGGCATGTGCAACGGGGACAGAGACAGCACCTTCTCACTTTCAACTTCAGGACTGTCTCCATCTGGGGCCTCAGAGTCAGCTGCAGAGTCTCTGGGATAAGGCAAGGTTGGGCCACATCTGGCTTTTGGGGTAAGACAGGGCTTCTTCCTTCTTGGGAAACTCAGGCCCACAAACCACACACAGCCCCTCCTCCCAGCACCTGCTGCTCAGAGGGGTCCCCCTCCCTGGGAGGCACAGTACCGGAGCACCTTATTAGAGGCATCCCTCAGGACCATCTCCAGATTTTCTCCAAGCACCTGTCCTCTCTAGCCAATAGCTCGCTGCCTACAGAGTTGGGGTGGGGGCGGGTGGAAGCTGTTTTTGCGCCAGCACAGTCCACAGGACCGGCGGGGGTGGGGGCTAGGGCAGAGAACCCGCACGCCCAGAAAGAACAAGGGTGGACCCTCATACCGGGTGGGTCCTGCGAGATGCAGGGTCCGGGGCATCAGATTCTTCTCATTAGGACAGCGCTGGGCCTGGACGCTGCTGGATGCCTCTTGGGATTGCGGTGCAGGAGGGCGGCAGGCTAATGGAGGGTTGCTTCTTTACTCAACACTGGGCTAGGGGCACAGACGAGAGAGAGACTTGCTATTTCCAAACTGCAAACAGTCACACTAAGGCGGGGTGGAGTGATGGAGTTAGCCAGAGCCCAGCTCTCGCACACAGTCCCTGAATGCGTGCGTGCCCAGCAGTCTTTAGGAGGCCGGCCGGGTTAGGGCTGGAGACCAGGGTTGGGGGCTGGTGTCCTGAAGGCGCTGGAGTTGCTGGGATGACTAGGGGGTCGCCAACCTCACCCGGCACGTCGCGAGCCCCAGGGGGACAAGGAAACTTTACCCCCACGCGGGACCGAGTGTGGCCTCCACCTACCCTCGGGGCCCAGTCCGCCCCCTCCTCCCGCCCGTTTCCTCCTCCCTCCCGTCCCTCCTTCTCCTCCCCTCTCGCCGGCGGCTGGAGGCAGCAGGTCCAGGCGGGGCCGCGCAGCGGAGCCCACAACCTCGAGCTCCCGCCCCGCCACCGCGCCCCGCGGGACGAGCTGCGGAGCCTGGCTTGGGGACGAGCAGCCGCGGCACGGGGCATGAAGTTGGGCGCGCGCGGGTCTCAGAGCGAAGGCGCGGCACAGTCGGGAGCCGCCCGCGTCTAGAGCCCGCTCGGTGCGCCATGAAGCTCTGGGGCCCCCGGGCGCCGCCACCGCGGCTGCTACTGCCGCTGCTGCTGCTGTTAGGGGTCGGCCTCTTGCCTGGTAAGTTTCTAACGTTTTTTTTTTTTTTTTCTTGTCTCCCGGGTTCTGGCACCTGAGACTCCGGGGCCAGGGGAGAGGAGGCCCGGGGCTGCGGTGCCAAGCCGCGGGTGCGCGCAACGGGATAGCCAGAGACTCCTCCACCCACTACAGCTCCGACGTCCTGCGGTGCTAGCTGAGCCAGTGAGGAAGGAATCAGCCGCCAAGTGCCAGGAGAGGGGGTTTGAGAGGAGGCGGGGTGAGGGGGGAGGAGGGTGGTCTGGCTGCATTTCCCAGCTGGAACCAGAACCTCCAACTAGGATAGAGGTGGAGTCCACCTGGGAGGGAGGTTCCATTCTGCCAAATCTCTCAGCAGACCGCCCCCATGTCTGCTCGTGGTTTCAGGGATCTGCCTCTGCCCCCCCCCCGGAGCTCCCATCCTACCCTTTCTACCCCCGCATTCTTCCACTTCCCATCCTCTAAGCGGACACTTTCACCCCTAACCCATCCAGGGGCTTCCGGCAGTTACTTAATCCCTGGCCTCCCCACTGAGCAGTGGGGTTGAGCCTTACTGGTCCAAGGAACCGGGAAGAATGAGGTTGAGGGAGGAGGCTGTGGGGGCACTCTAGGAAGCCCCTCCTGAGGACTTCCTGTGGTTCTCAGGTAAGCAGGAACCAGCAGACAGCAGAGGTTCCCTTCCCTCTCCCCAACCCCCTCTTTGATGCAGCAACCCGGCAAATGGAGACAGGGAGGCCCCCTAGCCACGTGTGTGTATTGGGGGGGGCGATGGAGAGGACACAGATGAACTGCTAGGTAGTGGAATAAGGGACCACCCTCTCAAGGACGCAGCGTGGCGCTTATCTTGTATCTGCCCTGAACACCGGGCGCTAGTGGCCCTGAGGGTCTGCATTCGTTGTCAGGGTGGACCCTAAAACCCAGGCAGTAGATAGTGGGTCAAGCTCCCTGCAGCCATGAGGAGCAGTGCCCCGTTCTCATCCCCACCACCCTCGCTGCCCCATACACGATCCGCCCCCATCCCCATCCGGCTGTCATTTCGTGTCCTTTGTCTCTGCCGGTCACTGGAGACAGGGCACCTCCATCCAAAGCGATTGTCTGCAGGGGAAACTGTACGCAATTCAGTGTTCCGCCGTGTCAGTTGCCTTGATTTCCTGGTGAAGAACAGGAGGGTCTGACCCATTCTGAGGGCGCTAGAAAGACTTCCTTGCAGGACATCGGGGAAATCAAGGCAGCATGCCCAGGGGTCCTAAGGAGGAAGGTGACTGACTGTAAGAGGAGCCAGAAGGAAGGAAGGAAGGGAGGGAGGGAGGGAGGGAGGGAAGGAGGGAGGGAGGGAGGGAAGGAAGAAGGACTGTGATGGCATGGGGCTGGAGGGGGCAGTCTTTACGGTCACCTGTCCCTAAACCTCCTGCCTCTCCCACAGCTAACAGCCACATAGAGACCCGGGCCCATGCGGAGGAGCGGCTCCTGAAGAGACTCTTCTCTGGCTACAACAAGTGGTCTCGGCCGGTAGCCAACATCTCAGATGTGGTCCTCGTCCGTTTCGGCCTGTCTATTGCCCAGCTCATTGATGTGGTAGGTGTGGGGATGGCCTGGTGTTATATAGGACGATGTGGTCACCCTGTAGGACGTATGGCCCTGAGTCTGAGAGCTTCAGCACGTTCTCAGCACTGGGGAAGGGAGGTGAGCTCTGCGACTCTGGACCTATTCCGTAGAAAAGCTAGTGGCTGCTTTTCCTAAAGTAAGCAGGGCACCTTTTGGCCTCAAGAACAGAAAGGGCTTCTGTGGGCATAGGAGGGCCAGTGCCTGGCTCTTCAGCAGCTGGGGCTGTGGGAAGCTTTGGTTGTGTCACCCTCCCCGTGGGCACTGTGGTACACGGAGGGCACACTGATCTCGGGCTGATCCCGGAGGCCATGGGAAACCAAACAGTGTGGAGTAGGGCTCGGGTGAATCGCACAGACAGATCCTGTCAACCCGGATGTGTCCATTTTCCTAGTGAGGGTCCAGGAAGACTTCTGGGAGGACATGTGTGAGCTAGGCAGTAACCCCTAGCCCAAGGAGTCCTGGAGGAAGCACCAGAGACAAGGTCTTGGGGCCAGGGAAGTATACTGTAGAGGCTGACCTCGTGTGACGCTGAGATGTTCTGCTAGCACCCAACCTCTCCTGGCCGTGTTCAGCTGCTCCTCGTGGGGTGGGACCGGTCTTTGGGGGAACCAAGCCAGAGGGGTGGTGTACACCTGAGTTTCAGTACCACTCAAGCCTCTGCCCTCCATACTGGGCCTCGGTATGGGTTCTGTCCTGGCTGGAGGAGTGAGGCTGGGGAGGCCATAACCTTACCAGTGGGGCAGCCACAGCCACCTGATTTAGTGAGCTTGGGGTCTCCATACTGGGTTTCTCTGGGTTCAGGGGCAGATCCTGGATCCAAGGAGAGAGAGAGAGAGAGCTGTCCCTGCAGAGCCTTCTGGGAGGGACAGAAGAGAAAAGGGAGGACCAGAAAGGACGCTGTGTGGCTTGCTTGAGTTCATACCCCAGCGTCAGTGTCCCAAAGATGCCCCCTCCCCACACTCTGATACATGGAGAAGTGTTGGCTCGAGGCTGGCACTAAACATGTGTGATTTCCAACCTTTCCATGTGCTTACCTGATGCGAGCTGGGACAGAGCCAGTAACATCCCAGGGATCTGGCCTGGTGGGATTGGACACAGAGACCTTTGCAGGTTGGCCCTATTCAGAGCTGGCCACCAAGGCTTTCATCCTCAGGAGGGCCTAGCATTTGGCCCCCAAATGGTTCCTACAGTATCCATAGCTGGGTGACATCAAGGACAGTGCATGATGTATGGGCCCCTAGACCTTGCTGAGGTTTGCAAAGACTGTTACAAAGTGGTGGCTGGCAGACACAACGTTGGTGGCAGCTCAAGGCTCTGGGCCTGCTACCTCCAGGCATGCCTAAGCCTGTGCATCTCAATCTTGTGCTGTCTGCCTCAGGAGACATTGAGGCTCAGAGCACACCCAGCACCAAGATTTCTCTAAGGGGCCTGGCTCCCAGACCTGACCCCTGCCCTGGATCTAGCTGAGGTCACATGTGAACATGTATATACTTCCATGCATATAGCTCCTGGGCCTGGTTTGGAGGGTGTCCCAAAGGCTCACCCCACACCCTGCCAGGCACCTACCTTGACTTTGCTACAAAGGGAAGGGCTGGCTCTAGGCTGGCTCATTCAGGGGATACAACCTCCTCCTCACACTCTACATGTTGGAGGCTCACGGCTGCATTTGTGTAGAATGGTCTGCCTTGTGTCTGGACTACTCTTCTTTCTTCCGCTAGGGCCTGGGATCCAGGTGGCCCCCATCCTAGTGCCCAACCTGCCTGTGTCCCTTTGTGAGCTGCTAGATCTACTACAGATGCCCCCGCTGGGAATCCGCACCCAGTAAGGGAGACGCGTGCCTTGCCTGAGTTCACGCCAACTGCAGAGAAGGCTACTGAATCGCCAGTAATTCCCTAACCTGATGCCGAGTCCTTGTGAAATGAACCACAGAGCTCTGTGACATCTGTGGGATCCGAGGACCCTGGAGGATGATGGCCATATGGGGCTGGAAGGGATACTAGGGTAGGAAAACCCAGTCCAGCCACAGTCAAGTTTATTCTGATGATCCCGGAGGCCCTTTGGCATGCAGCAAGCCGTCTCCATCTCCAGCTTCCCTGGGTACAGGTCAAGGTCATGCAGGGATGAGGTTGCTGCAGACTAGCTCCTGCAGGCAGCACGGGGAAGCAGCAGACTATGGACTGTGCTCTGTATCCCACCTTCTTCTTTGGTATCCTTCCAGGGAGAGGACTCACGCAGGCCACTGGGTGACCTTCCTAGATGACTGTACTGGAGAGGACCCAGGCCTGGGGCTGGGCATTCAGGAGATGCAACATCCTCACACTTGGTAGCCTTTTGTGGGGGCGGGAATCATATACACACATGCTCTATTCTGGGCAAGGCGCTTTCTTGCTAGATGTCCTGAGATCTCCTTGGTTGGGTCCCTGGAGGAGGCTGTTTGTCACGCTTAGGCTGATGATGGAAAATGTTGGTCCAGTCTGGGATGCAGGCTACCCAGTATCAGGTACCCTCTCACAAGGCCCAGTGCTGTTCCCCAGAGTATGGGCGTGAGGTCTCAGGTCCCTCCTGGGTGCTGAGTGGCTAGGAGGTGCGGCTATGGCTGCCTCTGTCCCCACAGACCCCTGTGCCTCTGCACCCAGGGCTTGCTTTTCATGTACAAGGGTCCTGTCTGCTTTAGGAGCTGACCCTTCAGAACACAGATCTCCAACCTGATGTTTCTCACCAAGGATGCAACAGAGGGGCCCATTCCTAGGGCACAGAGCGGGAAATAAAGGCGTAGGGAGGGTAGGTGGACCGGGGCAGTAGCTGTAAGAGACCTCACAGAGTAGTCTATGGCCTTAGGTCTTCTCAGCCTGACTGCTTATTTCCTGGTGACCTTGAGGTTAAAAAAAAAAACACCAGAATCTTCCCCCTATGACATCCACCTTGGACCAGAGGGATACTTTAGTCAAGGTCTCCCTAACCTGTGGTTTGATGGCCGTAGGAATAGCCATGGATCTCATCTGCAGAAGGGAGCAGGGAAGGAGCAATGTGAATGGGCACGGCTGGCAGATTTCTGGGAAGGAGACTCAGCCTATAAGAAGCCTAGGGTCCATTTGGAGCTGAGCTTATCCCCCATGCCTTTCTGGAAAGGTTCCAGGGTCTTTGTCTCCTAACCCTATCTCCCCTTAGGCTGCCATCCCAGGCTAGGTTTGCCTTCAGGGCTGAAGAATTCCTTCCCTCCTGAAGCTCAGCCCTGGCTTGTCCATGCCTATGGCTAGCTATAGCTGTCAGTCGATCCAGGCAGAAACGTGTCTGTTACTGAGCGGGGACCTCAAGGTCCTTTCTTGCTTGCGCCCTAGGACGAGAAGAACCAGATGATGACGACGAATGTGTGGGTGAAGCAGGTGAGTGGGGAGGGCTTCCCTGCCTCTGCCCTCTGCCCTCTGCCCTCTCTGCCCCATAACCCCTTCACATGTGGCTCTCCACTCCCACTCAGGAGTGGCATGACTACAAGCTGCGCTGGGACCCTGTTGACTATGAGAACGTTACCTCCATCCGCATCCCCTCTGAGCTCATCTGGAGGCCTGACATCGTCCTCTATAACAAGTAAGCTCCGTGGGCCCTGGCAGGTGAGGTGGTCAGGCCCCATCCCAGCAAGGAAGCCGCTGAGAGCAAAGAGGAGCTGGGCAAACAGAGTGGAAGCCCAGCGGGCTGGGTGTAGAGTCCCCAGCACCTGGGTGAACCTGCTGTGAGGTCTAGAGGCTTTCTAGTTCTGGTCTCCCAGGGGGCAAAGAATGGATTGGATTCCTCTTCTGGCAGTGACGACAGGTCCCGTCCCAAGCAGGTCTCACCTGCCATGCACACGTCGCAGTCTGGAAGATCAGTGACGCGGGGGACTTTGGGAGGAGATGAGGTGCAAGAGAAGTAGCTGCTCCCCAAAATCCTTGTCTCCCACTCTTCTTGGCCCCACCTTCATGCTATGCCCCACACTGGGCGCTGAGCCAGTGGGCAACCCCAGCCCTTACGCTCAGTTCACACCCTGTCTCAGCTCCTGGAAGCTGAAGTCTGCATGGAGAAGGCAGGAGATAGGCATCCTCATACTTGTTTTTCCTGGAGACCCTTGCAAAGAAGACCTGAGCTGGGAGCAGCTGGCTTTCCGAGCTGAGTCTACTCAGGGTGGGTAGCAGCTCCCATGGTGTTAGCAGACAAAGCAAACAGAAGCCCTTCCGCCCCCTAGTCCTAGCCATCTGCCCACAGCCCCCTCCGGGCCCTGCGGTGCCCGTCTGACCTACAAATGCCCCTATTTGATTAAGAATGGCTGAGATTCTCTTTCCTCTTTCCTTGAGTGGAGTGCTAGCCACTTCCTTGGCTTTTAGGAGCTGCGGGTGGTTTTCTGAAATGTGTTATGGGTGGGCTGCATTGAAAGGGTTGGTTTGAGAACGAGCAGATGGCAGGGAATGTCAAGGTTCATGACCCCTGCTCTTCCCTCATTAAGTCTTCTGTAGCTGTCCAGTTGAAGCCCTGGAAGGCTTCTAGCTACTGGGCCTTTCTGGGGCCCACACTCTGCTTGTTCTACCCTTGAACCCTGGGATCAAGTACTGAATCTACTCTGGGCAGCCCATTGGACTCAGGACAACAAAGGACATGACGTGCGTGTGTTCCCTGGGTGGTATTGGGTAGGCGGAGGAATAGGTGGGGGAACCAATTTAAAAGCCCAGGACCGAGTTCCTGAGGACAGGCACCCCTCCTAGGTCACCTCTGTCTCTCTCCTACCTGCTAGGATACATGTGAAAAGGGGCAGACCCCCTTTTCTGTGGGGGTTGGGATAAGCACTTGAGGTCTGTCTGAGCAGGACTTGGAGCCGGTGAAGGTTGAAAGGACTCTTGTGCTGCAAGGGAGGAAGGCCATTTCTAGCAGCAATTAGCAACTGCTAGCCAGATGGTTGGTCCCACTGCTGGACAGGGGGAGTCCCTACTCTTTTGTTGACTTGGGGCTCCCTCTCCTGGAAGCCCAGAAGCTCTCAATCAGGTCGGGTCAAACAGATGATCTTACTTGCCTCTGGATTGCAACCTCATGTGTTGGGGCCTCTTTGGTAGGGATAAAATCTGGGACCCACCCACCGCTAGCTACTGACCAGCTTGTTGAATCCGTAACTAACTCACATTGGATGGCTGTAGGACCCAAATGTTTGTACTTCCTCTGGTTTCCTGGGGGCTCTAAGGTGCAGAACTGGAAACTGAGGACCCACCATCTTCACCCTGCGTCGGCAGCCTTAGCAGTGAAATGCCAGACAGCTCACTTGAGGAGCCTGCTGTCCTGGGGCATGGCTGGGCTGCCGGTGGTCCCTGGGACAGCATTATCCTTTGGGCATTGTGACTATCTTACCCTTGGCACCATGAGAAGAACAAAGCAGCCAGAACTACTACAGATTGCTGAGCCTTATGGGACTCTGCTGTCACCTCCACGGCTGGGGCTTTGCGGGGGTGTCACATGGGAGCAGAGCCAGAATTTGATGGAGATGGGCTGCACTGCCACCCTCAGAAACCTCCTTCCTCAGAAAGTGCACGCGAGACCTGTCTGCAACCACAAGCACGGCCACAACCTCAGAGGGATCCATCCACACAGGTTTAGGTGCTCAGAAAAACTCGAGTGGGGCCCAGACAGGCTAGGGAGAGCAGGGAGAACAGAGTGGTGAGTAGTATAGTTGGAGGCAGCCGGGGCCGCCACGGCCTGAGCTGTGTGTGACTGCTGAATCTCCAGTATTTCTGAAGGGTGGGAAACCTAGACTCAGCAGTCTAGGCTACAGATGGGAGCCACTAATTCAAGCGAGCCCCGAGGGCCCCTGTCTGCCAGCTGGTTGCAGCCTCTCCTGCCTGCCCTGCACAATATTTGCAAAGCAGAGGATCCACTCGCTTGCTATGGGGGAATTTAAATGTGCGCCTGGAGTGTAGAGGCTTTGATTTTTGGAGAGGCAAGACTTCGAGAAGGGAGACAACCCCAAGCCTGATTCCACAGGGCCTGAAATGTGCTGCGAGATCCACCCCCGTATAACCGGAGGGAACCTCGACTTCTCCAGAAGCCAGGCAGTGCATTGGGTGCAGGTTTTCCAACTCTTTCTGTATGCAGCACAGCTGTGCAGGAGAAAACCAGTGACACTGACCCAGGATGGGCTAACATGCAGGAGGGCCCAGGATTGGCACCCACTGAGGTCATGGGAGGTTCAGGTCTCCTGGACCTTGTGGATGATGCTGCAGGTGATTGATTAGCATAGGAAGGGTTCACTGGGGGTACCAGGTGACCACCATGGGCCCTGGCCAGAACCTGAGAAGCTAGACAGGGGAGCAGGGCCAGTTGGCTGATGAAATTCAGCGGACGTGGATTTCTCTGCCTAAGTCAATGATCTGGGCCTATGAATGGAGGTGGGAGAAGGAATGGACAGAGGGGGCTGGACACTTGGGAAAACAGAAGGTTCTGGAGCCTGTGGCTCCGGGCTACACTGTTTTATGAGTGGTGAGACCGAAGGGATGCGTGCTGGTGCCATTAGTGAGGCGTTTAATCAGGCTTCAGAGAGCTCTTTAGCTATAAATCGAGGCTTCCCATCAGTATCTCTGAGCTGAAGCTGGCAGGGTTTGCCCAAAAGTGTTAGTACATTGTTGCCGACTCTGATGGTCTGTGAATGCTAATCTAGGGCCAGAGCAAATGGTCTGGGCCTGTAGAGAAGCCTAGGCCTAAAGAGTGGCACACCACCACAGGGTTTCACGAGGCAAATAGGGTACAGATTTCTGCAGGCAAATAGGGTACAGGTTCTGCAGGCAAGCATGAACTGTGAGCAGTTCTGGGGAGGGTTGTGGAGGTGAGCAGGGTGAGAAAGGTTTCATGGAGTCTGCTCTCCAGTGTCACCAAGTTCCAATAATGGGTAAACCAAGGCATAGCATCTCTGTTTGTCAAGCCCAGAGGTCAAGGCTGGAACTCTGATCAAGAGAGGAGGCTTGGAGGACAGCAGCCCCATACTCCATTGCCCAACCTGGCAAACATCCAGAGAGAGAGAAAGAGGGAGACAGACAGACAAGAAGCCAACCGTCAGACGCTGGAATGAGGCAGCTGGAGTCCTCATCCAGTCTGCGTGCCATGGCCTGTAGAGAGGTGGCCTCCAAGTTATTGGGGCCCGTGGAAGGGAAGACACATCTCAGTGTCCAGTGGCAGAAGGTCAGAAGGGGGATCCATCCTGAGTGTGGGCCCAGTCCAGGGGGAAATTCAGAGGCATCTTTGTCCTGGGAGGCCCCTTGGTCAGCTGCACTGACATTTTCACACCCGGGGCCCTCCATATGGATGAGATGGGCAGAGATATCCACTGGCCTCCAGAAAGATCATCCATTCACCAGGGCCCTGTGAGAAGATGCTTGGTGTGAGGCCTCCTTTTTCATGGGTGATGAGGATGAAAGTTTGCTTGTCCCACCTGCTGGGCTTTTGGGCTCAGCAGGCACCCATTTTTCTGGATCAGCCCTCTGGGCCCACTTGCTCTGTCCCTGTGGACACATACTCCATACACACTGGGCTTGGTATGGCCCTGCAGGGACCTCTGGGATATCCACAGCACACTGCAGGGGTCAGTTGTTAGCTCCTACACTGAAGAAGGCAGGCACCTGCCCCTCCTCTCAGTACATGAGGTGCTCAGGTGATAGCCAGAGGAAGAAACTCCCATGGTGCTTCAATTCTCAAAGGCACAGAGGTGACCCAGGCCCCTCTGCATGGAGAAGGTACAAATGCAAAATCGTGGGGCAATGGGTGTTGTGTGTGTTATATTATTTATGATGTATTAAAGCTTGCCTGGGGATTCAGAAAGCAAAGCCAGACTCAAGCTATGAAGATCAGGCAGTGGTGGTGCGCACCTTGAATCCTTGGACTCAGGATTAAGAGTTAAATGGAGCCGGGCGTTGGTGGCGCACGCCTTTAATCCCAGCACTCGGGAGGCAGAGGCAGGCGGATCTCTGTGAATTCGAGACCAGCTTGGACTACCAAGTGAGTTCCAGGACAGCCTCCAAAGCCACAGAGAAACCCTGTCTCGAAAAAACCAAAAAAAAAAAAAAAAAAAAAAAAAAAAAAAAAGAGGTAAATGGATCTCTGTGAGTCCAAGGCCACCCAGATCCACACAAGATTGATCAGTCCTAAAGAGAAACAGCTCGCACAGAGATGACCTCAGCACCTGAGATCACACGCCTTTAATCCCAGCACTAGAGGGGTATAAAAGATAGGAGCAGGGTCTTCAGTAGTCAGAAGCAGGCATTCATTCTCCCGCCACACTGAGGATAGGAAGACATTGAAGTCTCAGGATTCTCCAGTCACGCTGAGGAGAGGTTACAGTCTGAGGTTTTGTGGAGCCAGGATCTCCTTTTCATTCTGAGGTAGAGTAAGAGCTAGTGACCAGCTGCTTTGCTTTTTTCTGATCTTCAAGCAAGCTTTAAGAAATCATTGATAATGTATCACCACAGGGTGTTCAGGAGTTTGGTCCTACCCCTGTGTCCCTCATAATAGTAATGGATAATAGCTGTAACACTAACTGTCCACTGGTGTGGGCGCCATTTGTCCTGTGTTCTCTGGACCACATGCTACCTTGACTCAAGGGTGACAAACAGAAGCACACAGGAGATTGGTGGCCCAGACATGACTACTACACACAGTCCTGCGCTCTCCATGGTGCTTGGTGGGGCTGGTGGTCAGGTTGTGACCCTTTCTCTGCAAGGGTATTCATGGGTGTGGTGTAGGGCTGGGCAGACCTCACTTCTCTCTCTCTCTGTCTCTCTCTCTCTCTACCTCCCTCTTCCTGCCAGCGCGGACGGGGACTTTGCAGTCACCCACCTGACCAAGGCTCACCTGTTCTATGATGGGCGGGTACAGTGGACACCCCCAGCCATCTATAAGAGCTCCTGCAGCATTGACGTCACCTTCTTCCCCTTCGACCAGCAGAACTGTACCATGAAGTTTGGGTCCTGGACCTATGACAAGGCCAAGATTGACTTGGTGAGCATGCATAGCCGCGTAGACCAGCTGGACTTCTGGGAAAGCGGGGAGTGGGTCATCGTGGATGCCGTGGGCACCTACAACACCCGGAAGTACGAATGCTGTGCCGAGATCTACCCTGACATCACCTACGCCTTCATCATCCGCCGGCTGCCGCTGTTCTACACCATCAACCTCATCATCCCCTGCCTGCTCATTTCCTGCCTCACCGTGCTGGTCTTCTACCTGCCCTCTGAGTGCGGCGAGAAGGTCACGCTGTGCATCTCGGTGCTGCTCTCACTCACCGTCTTCCTGCTGCTCATCACGGAGATCATCCCGTCCACCTCGCTGGTCATCCCGCTCATCGGCGAGTACCTGCTCTTCACCATGATCTTCGTCACCCTCTCCATTGTCATCACCGTCTTCGTGCTCAATGTACACCACCGCTCGCCCCGCACGCATACCATGCCTGCCTGGGTGCGCAGAGTCTTCCTGGACATCGTGCCTCGCCTTCTCTTCATGAAGCGCCCATCTGTGGTCAAAGACAACTGCCGGAGACTTATTGAGTCCATGCACAAGATGGCCAGCGCCCCTCGTTTCTGGCCAGAGCCTGAGGGTGAGCCTGGCATCTTGGGTGACATCCGAAACCAGGGCCTGTCCCCTGCCCCGTCATTCTGCAACACTCTGAACACACCCGTTGAGACCCAGCCTATGTGCAAGTCACCCTCCCACAAGGCCCCAGATTTACAGACGTCAGAGGTTAAGAAGACCAGCCCCTGTCCATCACCTGGCCCCTGCCACTCACCCAACAGCGCCAGGGTCCCGATGTTCGTCAAAGCCAGGTCCCTGAGTGTCCAGAATGTGCCCAGCTCTCAAGAAGCAGCAGAGGGTGGTGTCCGCTGCCGGTCTCGGAGTATCCAGTACTGTGTTTCTCGAGATGGAGCTGTCTCCCCGGCTGACAGCCAGCCAACTGGCTCCCCAGCCTCCCTGAAGGCCCATCCATCCCAGCTTCCGCTGCCAGACCAGACCTCTCCGTGCAAATGCACATGCAAGGAACCATCTCCAGTGTCTCCAGTCACTGTTCTCAAGGCCCGAGGCACCAAAGCACCCCCCCAGCACCTACCCCTGTCACCAGCCCTGACACGGGCAGTCGAGGGTGTCCAGTACATCGCAGACCACCTCAAGGCAGAAGACACAGATTTCTCGGTAAGTCCTTAACAGTGGCTGTGCATGGGAGGTGCCCCTGGCCCAGATAGAACGAAATGTCTGGTGTTTCCCACACGTGACCCAGAAGCCAAAGCTCCAGACAAAAGCTGTACAACTTGATGGTGCAGAGTCTCTGCCTAGCAGCATTCACAGGTCCCTCAGCCAAGCTGGGCTTAAGTGAGGCCCGCTTGACAGGGAGTACATTGAAGTGCTGCCGCTTCATTCAGGTGCCAGGACTTTACGAGCCCTGGCAAGTAGTGGGTTGAGAGGCTGTTCCTAGCACTGCCATCGCAACACTCGCAAGTCTTCCTTTGAAGTCTTCAGACTGTTATGCGTTGCTTGGCACGCCTGCCCAGCTATGACTGGGTGACAGGCAAGGTCCCATACTGGCCTTCCTCAAAATTTGATGGGACTGCTGACCTATAACTCCAAGAACAGGTCTCTCTTGAGCTTATGCATGGTGAAGGGTGGTCCTCTGAACCCTAGGAAGGTAGAGAGGGCACAGAGAAGAGAATGGGGTGCCAGGAACTGCACCCAGCCCCCACCCTGCCAGTTGTGAGGACATAATGCTGCCACAGTACCGAGCCCTCAGGAACCTGGACACACAGAAGGCCGGTGCTCAGCCAGCCTGCTCCCATGTGTTCCTCATCTCCAAGCTTTGACTCTACAGAGGCCTGAAAGAGAGTGGTCCTGCCCCTCTGTAGGTGTTGATCTCCTGACCCAGATGGGTGTTCCTGCGCTTTCCACAGAGCACAGCTGGGCTGGGCAGTGGTGTCAGCTCTGTCTGACCTTGCCACAGGGCATCGTGGGTTCATCTTCCCTTCCACATTTGTCTGTCTGTAGCACATAAGGGTCTCCAGGACGGGGTCTGGGCTCAGCTGACGCGGAGATGCAGGACTCCCGGTGCTAGGCAAGCTGTTTCTCAAATCTAACTCCGCCTGTGAGGATCAGAGTCTCACAGAGGTTGGATGAAGAGGTCATCAGGGGAAGTCCTGTCCTGGCTGACCTTTGTCTCTGTGGTGTCCTCGGAAACATCTGTGGCATCTGTCCTTTACATTAACCTTGCCCTGAGCTGGCATTTGCCACTGTCCCTCCTGGGATGTGGTTTTTCTGGCTTCTGCTCATCTTCCTACCCAACCTGGGGCTGTGGATTGTCTTCTGGAGCTGCTCAGCCCGGGAAAGAAAGGGGGGCTGGTGACCCACATCCCAGGAGTGTGTCTCTGCTCCCAGAGTCACCCCCACCGAGTCTTGGGGACTCATTAAGCCATTCTGGAGGTCTCTGCAACCTCTGGACCTCACCTCAGAGACCTATCTGCAGAGAAATGTCCATTCTGGGGCTCTGTCTTGTTGTAGCTCTGGGATGGAGAAAGAGATCCAGGCATGAAGTGGAGTGAGGTCACTGAGGGAGAATGGATGTGGCAAGTTTAATTGAAATCCTCCCGAAACCATTGCATCCCTAGCACAATCCTGTAGCTGGAGCTCATGCCCTCCTCCATCTCCCTGGCCTGCTGCAGCTGCCTGACATGGTTCTGGGCTGGGAAACTTGCTGACTTCATAGGGACAAGACAGTAGGGCTTTGGTCATGGCTGTGGTGCTTCATCTTCCGAGGCTTGGTCCCAGGCCTAGGAAGGGGCAGAGGGACACCAAGCAGCCATTTACTCTGAAGAGCCCTTGAGGGGTTTTTTATTTAGCAAACATCTGTTTGGTCTGAAGTTTTCTGAGTGAAGATGGCTGCTTGCTTTTGGCTTAAACCACCAGGACACCCACGATTGCTTTGAAAACTCGGGGTAGACGCCCTTGCAACTGGGGCGGCTGTACTCCTCTCCAGACCAGGCCTGCCAGGCCAAGTGTTCCTCAGCTGGCTTGAAGTCTGCTTTACCATGGCTTACTCCCTGCTGCTCGCATGCACACAGACTGTGTCCCAGTGTGGCTCCGATCAAACCTCGGGGTGATTTCAGGCCCTTCTAGAGTAGTGACGCGCTCGCAGGACAGTGAAGAGTCAGGAGCAGGATGGCGGAGTTAAGGCCAGAGCTGCATGCAGAATTGTCTTCAATGCAATGCTAATCCCCAGGCCTAGTTAGAGCCAGGCATCATCGATCTCCTGAGTCTTTGCTTCGGGGAACACCTTGAGGAAATGGATACCTTGCATCAGCCCCTGGCAGAAAGAGTTGATATTGTGGGGTCCAGCAGAACTGTAGAAAGAGCCAGTAGTCATATCGTCACCATGTGTCATAGCGTGGTCCAATGAAGTTTGAGTGGCCGCAGATGGTGGACATGCGATGCATTGTGCTTCATGTGTGTTTGTGGTCACTGTTCACGCTCTGTCCCTGACCATTGCCTCTGCCCGGCATGTGCACACCTGCCCATGTAAGAGGTGTGTGCGGATAGTCAGGGCCAGGCCAGGGGGCAAGTGTGGGATTAGCCCTTGCCTTTTGGGCACTCAGCCACTGTGGGGTCGCCTTAGTGACCAATCCATTACCCAGCATGTTCCTAGCCCTTAGCTTCTTCTAGGACGCATGGCTGGCATCAATCTGGGATCCACTTTTTAAGTTACATTAATTTTATGTTGTGTGTACTGGTGTTTTGATTACATGTATGTCTGTCTGTACACCATATGTACACCTGGTGCCAGCAGAGACCAGGGGAAGGTGTCAATCCCCCTGAAACTGGAGTTGTAGATGGTTGTGAGCTACCACATGGATGCTGGGAATTGAACTCAGGACCTCTTGAAGAGCAGCCAGTGCTCTTAACCACTGAGCCAACCCTCCAGCCCCTGAGATCCACTTTTGACGTATGCACTGTGGGGAGGTAGATTCAACCTCCATGGTGCTACCCAGATTTAGAAAACTTTTTTGTTTTTGTTTTTGTTTTTTTGAGACAGGGTTTCTCTGTATTGTATTTTTGGAGACTGTCCTGGAACTAGCTCTGTAGACCAGGCTGGCTTCGAACTCACAGAGATCCCCTGCCTCTGCCTCCCAAGTGCTGGGATTAAAGGCGTGCGCCACCAATGCCCGGCTCAGCTTTAGCAAACTTAAGACAAACTTCACCCTGAAGCCATGGGCCCTGTGTCTGCCCAATCAGCCCCCCTTTAAACTTAGGCATTCTGCTAAGCGGTAAGACCAGCTGAGGTACAGCCTGAACCCCAAGTCTCTTGTGGCAGTGTGGACCAGCAGAAAGCTCCCGTGAGTCCAAATTTAAAGAGCCCCACTCACGTGGCCTTAGACGTGGGCTCTATGTAGATGCCTAGCTCACTCGTTACGGTGCCTTCCTCCACTCTATGCTGCAGCAGCTGCTCTGCCCGGCAGATTCTCTGACCATAGCTGGATAGTGACACGCTCCTTCTCCACCCGTCGCCTCCCACACGGGGAGGTGTGTGCAGGTGTGTATCTGACGGAATATGCAGAACTGTGACTCACAGTTCCAGGTTCCAGCGGTTTCTCTGGCTGCCCGTCTGGGGTCTGAGAGCTGCTAGTGTGACCCGTGTCTGTGTTTGCAGGTAAAAGAAGACTGGAAGTACGTGGCCATGGTCATTGACCGAATCTTCCTCTGGATGTTCATCATCGTCTGCCTACTGGGCACTGTGGGCCTCTTCCTGCCCCCCTGGCTGGCTGGTATGATCTAGGGGCACAGCGGCAGAAAGGCATGCTTGGCCCAGCCCCTCCGGTCTCTCTGTAGGGACCATGCTACTTGTCGGTTACCCCCATCTTCCAAACCTGCCATGAAGCACCTACGAGAGAGATGCTGCTTCTCAGGAGGTAGAAGCTGGCACTGGCTCTGGTCCAGCCATGGGCCTGGTTGGAGCCAGCTGAGGGCTGGCACAGGGCAGAGTTACATTCTGAGCCCCTGTTGAAATTTCTCCAGAGCAGGTGACAGTCACCCCCCCTCACCCCGGCCAGCAGACAGCACACGAATGATCCAGTGTTGATCTCAGTTGCCCTGTGGGGCCACAAGAATTCATCCCTCTTCAGAGCCCCTCATCCTGGGGGTGGAGGGGGGGAATTCATCAGACCCAGGAAACTCCCACTGTGCCTCTGCCAGCCCCATCCTCTCCCTACCCCATGAAGTGCTCCCTTCAACCCTCCAGACTGGGCTGCTCTCCGACTCACAGGTGTCAGGGCTGAGTCCAGGCAGGTTGTGTTTTGTTTAGATTGGGGGGGGTGTGGATTGGTGAGAAGCAGAGCAGAACAAGAGAACTAACACAGGCCCTCACAGCAAGACTGAGGCCCCATAGGAGCCCTGCATCACAAGGGTTCTTTAGTGAGTTCTTCCTAGGGACCAGCAACCCCAGGAGGGCAAGAGCATTGGGAGTGTCAGGGTTTTGTGTGTGTGTGTGGGGGTCAGACCGTGTTCAGGTCCTGGACTGTAGATCCCCTCATGGATCTTTCTTAATACCCCTGTATGTTTTTGTCTCTCTGGGATTAAGACTGAAGGTAGGACTTCTCACCCTAGTCCTGTGGTGAGGCCACAGTTCCATCGAGCGCATCTTGCACAAGAGACGTGGGACTCTCTGGGCCAGCAGGAGTGATGGGAAGCCCCTTTGATGCTGTGGAACTGCCAAGAGGGTTCTAAGCAAGCCAGGCTCTTCGACTTCTTGTCTTGAGGGCTATGGACCAAGGGTTATGGGTGCCTCAAGCAGTCTGCCTTCTACTTAGATTGTGGGGAAGACCTGAGGGGCTCCTCTCTTCCCAAGATAGCACCGGGCAACCTGAAGAATCCCCAGTGATGGGGTTGGGAGAAGCACCTGCTGTGCCCACCTCTTTGAGATTCCACTGGGCGGAGGGCAGAACATGGGAGACACCCAAGAAATCCTCTTGTGTCGTGGTTGTCTCTCTGCTCTCCCCACCAGCCAAGTGGGTTTGGCAGAGCTGGGCCCTGCACCCTCAGCCGGCTTGAGCTAGGCCCTGAAGCTGTGGTCCCTGTTTCTGGATAGCTCTGGGGAACGAAGGAAGGACTTAATGAAGTCTGGAACGAACACACCAAGCTCCCAGTAGATACAGCTGTCACCTCCATGGCACAGCTTGCCCATCCCAGCAGAATGATGTCAGGGCAGAGGTTTGCCAAAGGGCCAGCTGCTGTCTTTACCTGTAACTGCAGGCAAACCCGCCTTTAAACACAGAGCTGCTGGGCATCCCAGGGTGCTGCTGGGGAAGGAACCCTGACCTGGATGCCCCAGGACATTCCTGTGCACAGGAAGGGCATGCAGAGGCCTGGGTTCTGAACCATGGATTTTGTAGGCCTCCTCTAGAGCCCTCAGGGCATCAAGGACCCCATCTGCCATGTTTGAATCTGCACTCACTCCGCTGACTGACCGGGTCACTAGCTCCCATCCTGGAGCCCTCAGGATGCTGCACGATAACCCCGGTGGGGAAATTCGTCCTAGAACTTGGGAGCCAAGGGTAACAGGAGCCTCAGTGAGGAAGGCAGCAGATACACCTGTCTGATGTGAGTTCTGCCATCACGATGCATACACGGTTCCAACCAGGGATTTGCAGACAACAGTAGAGGTCAGGGCAAAGCCACAGTGGCCAACTGTACAGGGCTGCTGTGCTGTTCTCTTCTGGGTCAGAAAAAGCCACTGGCTGGATGTTCCTGACAGGCCGTCCCCACCCGCACCCAGAAGCCAGACAAGGAAAATAAAGTCACGGTGTTGTCCCCATGCCCGCTCAGCTGTCCCTTTCTCTGCTTGCTTCCATTGCTGCTCTGTGGTCAAGATGAAGTTCAGTTAGGGCGGAATGCTTGATCCCGAGGCCTTTGGGCTTAGTGAGCTTTAAAAGTCAGACGTGGCCCCGGTCTCTCTGCCATGTGGACATCCTCTCCCCGAAGCTCCCGGCCCTCCTATTATGATCAGAGTCCTGGAGACCAGTTGTGCTGATGTCTGGCTTTTTTCCCCTGTGTGTTCAAGGCTCATCTGCTGTGTGCACTAGACTCATTGCTGTTGTGTGCTTGTTGGCTCTTGGTTGCTGTTTATGCCTGAATAAACCCAGTCGTGGTGTCTCCCCCTCGTTCCCAGGTGTCAGTCGAGGTGCTGGTGAGCTCCTGTGTTCGTCTCTGCAGGCATGCGTCGCCATTTCTTTTTGTGTTAATCGTGTTCCCTTGCTCTCCGTACGTTAGGGGCCTGTCAGACTCAAGGCTGCTGCTTCCATGGCTGACCAGTTCCTACTGCTCAGCTTCCTTGGAGCCTACCCACCTTCATGGCTGAAGGGCCATCTACAGTAGCACTTATTCCTCACGAAACTTAACGCCACAGCCAGCCACAAAGGCAGCCACCAGAGACCCCTTTGTATCCCAGAGTCTGAGGAAGTGTCCAGACTGTCACAGACTGTTTCCTCTGTCAGAAACACCTGTGAGGGTGGTGCCACATCCCTTCCCTTATCCCTTCTACCTCCTGACCCCCCTATTCCCAAGCAGTCGCCTGGCAAATCTTCTCTTGGTAATTGCAACCGACACCCTTATCATAGTGCCATCGACTAGGGGAATCCCTTGCTTCCCTGGTAAACTAAGACGTAGGTGCAGAGCCTTGGGATTTATCCTATATAGATAACTCATCCTACAGAGTGGAAGTGACCCCCACTATTGCCACAGATCTTGGATCCTGGTGCTCTTCCAACTAGAAACATCAGAGAATTCAGTGCTCTATACTCTGGGCCTCCTGCCACCCATGCAAATTGAGATCCATTGGCACAAAGTCACTAACTGGTCCTGGGATTGTCCTGACCTTTGGTGGTGGTGGCGGGGGGGGGGGAGGCACACCTGGGGATTCCTGGTATGTGTCCACGGTGTGCACACAGGCTTTTTTTTTTTTAACAAAAGGTACATGAGAACACTCCTGGGCTCCTGCCGATTGATTCTAGTCTGTTCTATTTCAACTCCCCCAAATTGATTTGCTGACCCACAGCTGGAAGCACACTACCCAGGGCACAGTATCAAGGGAAGGGGATGGGATTGTCAGGCATTGGGATTTGTACTGGGATTTAGATGATTCAAAAAAAAAAAAAACGCTTTCCCCTCGGATGTGCTGTTTACTCTTGCTGTTTGCAGGTAGGGGTTTTCATTACTTTAATCCCTGCCTGACATTTCCTGCTATTTGCTGGCCTCACGGGTGACGCACAGATAGAATGCACAGCCAGCACGCCTGCGTACGCTTTCTTTCTGACTGCAATTGCCTGTGTCACCAGTACCCAGAAGTGAGCACTCCAGCTTGTGTGGGATCCATCCTGCGGGCGTACTTCCTGCGACTGGCTTCCTCTCCTTAGCCTGCTTGGGATTCATCCCTTTACCACGAACAGCCGGTTTTCATGGGCTCACCGTGTGGCTGCGACACCATTTGCTCATCTGTTTTCCTTGCAGTGGACGTTTGGGTTGTCCCAGTCCGTCGTTGTATAAGAAGTATTGCTGTGAGGGGCCTAGGGTCTGCATGCTTGCTTTTCAACCTGACTCTGGGAGGCAGAGGCATGAGGATGAGATGTTCGAGGCCACCCTCAACTGCATTTTGAGTTTGAGGTCAATCTGGGCTATGTGAGACTTTGTCTCGAATAAACCACCACTACCAACAAAAAAAGGCGTATTTAGGGCTGGGGGGCTGCTCAGTGGATGACTTAAGTGTTTGCCACGTAACCATGAAGGCCTGTGTTCGGATCTCCCGCGCCCATGTAAAAGCTGAAACTGGTGGCGGCTACCTGTAAACCCTTCAAACACTTCCCCTGGATTTTCTGGTTAGTCAGAAATTCCTCTTTACCTGACAGATACAGACTGTACACTTGCCTCAGTGTTTTTATCCTCAGCTGTTTCCTTTTCCTGGTTTGCATGCCACAAACCTGCTTAACAATGCTGCTCACGCCGGGCATTGGTGGCGCACACCTTTAATCCCAGCACTCAGGAGACAGAGCCAGGCGGATCTCTGTGAGTTTGAGGCCAGCCTGATCTACAGAGCAAGTTCCAGGACAGGCTCCAAAACAATACAGAGAAACCCTGTCTCAAAAAACCAAAAAAAGAAAAACAAAAAACAAACAAACAAAAAACAATGCTGCTCACGATTGGAGTGTGAGTATACATGTATGTACACATGTATGTGTGTTTTAGGATGTATGTGTGTGCATGCAGGTCCAGGAGGAAACGGTTGTCTTATAACAGCTTCTTGATGACCAGTGCTGCACACATGTGCAAACACATGATGCTTGTGTGCAGTGACACATGTACACACAGAGACAGGCATGCATGTGTAGTTACATATGCAACCACAGGCACAGGGAAACGTGTGCACGCAATATTGCCTAGGGTCACATGTGCATACACAGATGAGCATGCGCACACACACAGAGACAAGAGACAGATATGTTTGCAGGCATTAATATACATAGGTGCATATGTGCCCACGTATGCACACACATGTACCCAGACACATTAAGTTGTGGTGGACTATTCCTTCAGTCAGTGTCAAACATCTCTTGTTCCTTGTTAAAAATTTTACCCTTTTCCCCATAATACGTGTTTCCTCTTCATTTCTGGACTTTTCTAGCTTAGCTACACAGATGGGAGCAATGGGCCAATTACTTAGTATTTGAAAAGGGAACTAGAAGTCTCTGACTCAGCTGGGCCAGGATTGGGAATGTATGAATTCATGCTATTCCAGACCCCAGTCTGGCATGGTGGGGTTAAGATAGAAGGCTTCCATGATCTCTCTGAGGGTGGTGAGAGACCCAGGGCTCTGAAGACAAGAGACGGTGGATACCAGGTCTGAAAGTGACATCACCACACTGGGAGCCAAGCACAGAGGCTGAGGGAAGTGAGGATAATCTGGACTTCTAGGACTGGGGACAAGGGTGGGACAGGGCAGATGGGTTTACTCATACCCAGAAGCAAAAGAGACAGCACGGCTGAAGTGAGGGCACCATTCTGAGGGAGAGACACCGTCGGGAATGGAACCCTAGGAAGAACCAAGCAGATGTGACATGCAAAGGCCCAGGGGCAGTCATGGCAGACAGCCTACTATGCTTTACAATGGGCAGGAGGTCTGGATTTTTACCCCTGAAATAACAAGGAGCCCCAAGAAGTGGAAGTCGTGAGCAGGTTTGTGTCCTAGTGGGGGTGAAGACGAGCCGTGAATGAACCACGGATGGAGAATGAGAAGGGGGTCAGCACAGGATGCAGCCTGGGCCTTGATGAGGAAGCGGTGTGGGCTTCGAGGAGGCCCAAGAATCCTGGTGAGTTTTAAGTGAGCAGTAACACGAGCGGTGGGAGACAGCTCCTGACAGTGACCAGACACCTCACACAGGCTGACGAGCAAGCAGAGGTTTATTTGAACTCGGGATGGGCAGGCAGAGGTTTATCTGAAAGTGCACAAGGAAGGGGCTTGAGAGACGCCGTCCTTTGCCCTTCCAGCTTCCTGCTGCTTTGGGGGTCTTCCTTTGGTTTCCCTCTCCGCCCCTCCAGGACACCATTGTTCTTAGTGTTGAGACAAAAAAAAATATGGATGATGGTGCTGGGGCGGTACAGGGTGATTTGAAGTGGCAGAAGGGAGGTCCTGGTAAGAGAGAAGGGGCAGACACAGCTGGACTGTCTGCAGCCAGTCTCCTGGCACAAGGGAGTGTAGGCTTCCCCAAAGGTCTCCACACACTCGTTTTTGTTGTGACATGGAAGCAGGGCAGAACCCTGAGTTACTCTCTCTGGTCTCCTGAGTCAGGACAGGGCCGTCACACCCGGCGCTCTCTAGCTTGTCCGTTGGCGGCTCCCCACTTCTGCCACCCACTCTCCATCACCCAGGCACCTCGGCACCCCTGAGCCCTTGTCTACTTGAAGACAACGCTGCTGCACCCATGGGAACCTGTCTGTGCCGCCTGCTCTCGCCTGCGTGTGTGTGCACAGAACTCACCTGTGTTTACCCCATGCTCACACACCCACCTGTGTTCACTCTACCCCCACCACATGTGTGTGCACCAGGAAACACCTCCTTAGGCAGGTTTGCACATGGGAGGTTTGCTCGGGACATCCAGAGAAAGGGAAGAGGTCATCTGGTGCTGTGCCCTGCCCCGCCCCGCCCCACCCTAACCTCAACCTTATTGCCCACACTCACAACCCCCGGAGTAGTCTGTCTCACCTGGTCAGGGGTTCACTGGGGTGCCCTATTGAGGGCCAGTCTCTGTAATCCCCCCTGACATTGTGGGGCTCCTCCAAGGTCTACGAGCATCCACACACTCCTGCAGCTCAAACCTCTGCTCTACTCTGTGACTCCTCCACACTTGCTGGCCCAACGAGGGTCATAAATGCCAGCTCCATCCCACTCTCATGGCCGTTGCCCACCCTCCCACTGTGCAGCCCCAAGCAGATACCCTCCTCTCCAGCCGCCCCTCCTTCTTGCTCCATGGCTGGGCTGACGTGATGACAGAAATTCACCTGTTCAGTTCAGGGGCTCTGGGGCCTGGCGCTCCTGTAGTCCAGGGCTGCTTATGTGGCTGATAGCTTCGGGCTCACCTGACAGGAAAGGGGGACGCTGCAGGACCAGGGGATGGAGCAGCTTCAGCTTCTCTGCCCTGTCTGTCCAGAAGGAGGGCTGGGTCCTTCCAGGATAACCATGGGGTTTGGCCTTTGGCCAAAGACTCAGCACTCATGACAACAGCCCATCTGGTCTTTGAGCCCCAAGCAAGTATCTTAGTGTAGGTTCAGTGGCCAGAGGACTTTACTTCAAAATAAGGTGGGGTCACCTGTGGGCACCCCCAAGCTATTTCTGTTTCATTAAGACATCTTTGGGGTAAAGGGAATGACAAGGAGAAAACACACACACACACACACACACACACACACACACACACAGAGGCAACCAGTCACTGTCTACTTCTAGAATCCCAAGAGCAGGAATCCTGGTACCTTGGTCCTCAGGATGGTGGACGTGTCCCCCGTCTCCAGGAAGTAGAGCCTCATTATGTGACCCAGGAGGCTCTATAGACCCAGGTCTGCTTGGCTTTGCCGTCTCCACCATGAAGGGCATTGGGGGCCGGGCATTCTCATGGAGGAAGGAATTTAGCTTCATCACATGTGCTGTAGAAGAAGACATCAGCTGGGGCCCAGCCTCGCCGGTAGGGATGAGGCAGGGCAGGGTGGGCTTCACTCACTCTGTATGGCTGACTCGCAGGCCTGGCTCACCAGCTGGAAGATGGCGGCAAGGGACTGTGGCTCTCCCTGGGAAGAGGACATGGCTTTGGGGCTCGTGGCAGGTGCCACTAGGGAGTCCCAATCTCCAGATTATGGCCCTTACCCACCTTCTCTCCTCGTTCACCTTTGGACCCTGGGAGACCCTGTAGCAGGGGGTAAAGGAAAAAAAACCTGTCAACGTAGAGACAAGGAGATGCAGGCATGGCAGCACGAGGCAGGCTTGACTCCACACAAGCTGATGTGGTGTCGGGGCCTCAAGCCAGCTACCAAGGTCCAGGAAGGCATGGCCCTCGGCTCCGGCCCAGAGTGAGCTAGTGAAGCTGGACACCCACAGCAGGAATGGCCCCAAATGGAGCTGGGAGTGATCTGCAAAGAACCTGTCCCCAGCTGTACATTTTGTGCTGGGGAGTATGAGCGGAGGTCCCAAACAGTCTAGAGAACAGAGCCTCCCTTGGCCCAGAGGCAAGCCTGAGCCAAGAGCTGCTCATCATCCCGTTTCTTCCCCTATGTCATGCCCACGTTATGGAGCCCACATAGGAGGCCCTGAGCTGCTGGAACCCTACTTCTCTTGACTGAAGGCTAAGGTGGCCTCCCAGGGAGTTGGATCCCCAAAAATCAACTGCTGCCTCCTCCCAACTCTGTGCCCCCACTGAAGCCATGCAAAGCTCTGAACAGGCAGATCTTCAATCAGGGAGCCCCTGAACCTATGCTTACACCATCTCTGTCACTTGGCTGCCTTGCTGGAAGGTAGGGGTTACTTACCGTGGGCCCCACAGCCCCTGGGGGTCCTCGCTCCCCATTGCTGCCTCTGGCCCCTGCCAAACCCTGGAAACCCTGCAAAAAATGCAGATATCAGAGTTTGAGCCCCCAAGGAGTCTATTCCCTTCCCCAGACCTGGCTTGGTATCAGGGTCCCATTGCCCCTACAAGGTTAACCCTGGCTGCTCTCAGGCCTCGCCCTCTTCCCCAGCATGCTCCAGTCCTGTTCCCAAACCAGTGTCTATAACAGACCATTAGTCTTCATCCAGCACCCAGGACAGACCCTCCCCCAACCCCTCCTCCAGTACCCAGGACAAACCCTCCCCCAACCCCTCCTCCAACACCCAGGACAAACTCATACAGGCACTCCACCCCTCCCTCCCTCAGCATCCAGGGTAGACCACCCGTCCCTCACCCAGTTGTCCATTACTGTTCATTCAGCACTGGGATGACCCCTGATCGACTCTGGGTGCTCTGGCAGAAACACAGTGGGCTTCCCCCAACCCCAGAGAGCATCCTTGCAGCATATCCTTCTATTCTAAGTCTCGGCTGCTGGCCTGAGTCACCCTCTCAAAGGTTCACTGGGTACAGAGCTCAGAGTGAAGAGCCCCTGGGGTTGAGGAAGGAAAGTCTTCTCAAGGTGAGGAAGCTACAGCTTCCTGCAGGGTCCCCCGCTGCTGGGACGTCTGACAGTGGGAACAGCAGGGTCTAGCCACCTGCCCCTACCAGGCCCAGTCAGGAGTCCTGGCACCCCTGCCCTGTGGAGTTAGGGTATAGGTATGGTTGGGTCTGTACAAGGCTTATTTCCGTAGGAACCTGCTCCAGGGGCAAGGGTCTTTTCTGGGGTAGAGTTGGGGTGCTCCCAGACACAGACAGATCCCTGTGGAAGGCTGCAGCAGGATGGACAGTGGCTGGGGATGTCCAGTGCCTTTCTCCCAAACTAGCTGTCCAGCTCCAGGGAGCCTCGGGATTCTGGGCAGAGCCTACCCTGGGGCCAGGTGGTCCAGGCAGTCCAGCAGGTCCCTCCAGTCCCCTCATTCCCTGATGGGCAGAAGAGGAGGAAACTGTGATGAGGGCTTATATTAATCCTTGCCTCTTACGGTGCCCACCCCAGCAGCCCCCGATATATTCTTCTCACTGGCATTTCTCTCCTACCAACTTGATGCCCTTTGGATCCAGGCCAGTACTGTCCCAAGAAGGTGACCCACCCTGATTAGAGGAGCTGCCTCCCTTCGCCCCACCCCAGGGTGACACCATTTATCCTTAGTGTGGGCCGAGATAGCTTTCTTTCCAGCCAGGCCTTACGGGGAAATGAAGCCTCCGGTGGAGGAGGAAACCTCTCCACTTCCTCTCTCCCCGTAGCCTTCTGTCTCCAAGACTCTACCTGGGCCCACTCTCTCCCACTCATCACCTCCTGGACTTGGATTCAGTACCTTTGGTCCCTGCAGGCCAGTTTTCCCGGGGATGCCTTGCTGGCCAGAGAGGCCCTGGGAGGGAACAGAGATAGTTCCAACGTCATATGCAGAGATAGCGGCCAACGTCATATGTGGAGGAGGGTCCTACCCATATCCTTTCCCTGCCATCACCCTGACCCCTTCATTACCTGCAAGCCAGGAAGTCCATGGTCTCCCTTCTCTCCTTTGACCCCTGGGGGACCCTGTGAGGGGAAGATGGACTGAGAGGCAAGGAAGAGAGACAAAGCAGAAGAAGATTGGGTACAGATGAGAGCACCTACCATGGGTCCCTGGACGGTGCGTCCCTGCGTCCCTGGTGACCCCTGCTGACCTCCAGGCCCTTCAGGTCCTGTCTGTCCAGGTGGTCCTGGTTCTCCCTGGAGGTACAAGAAGCACTGGGAGTACCGAGAAGGCTTGCCCCCTGCCCCTTCCTATTCACTACCGGCCCTTAGCACCGTCTACCACCCCTGGTTTTCATACTAGGCCACAAGCACCTTCGCTGGAGAACAAAGGTTCCCTTGTGCCTACCCTGAGTGGGTCCTGATGGGGACCCTGTCTGTAGGGCACTATCAGCCCCTGGTCACTCAGCCCCTGGTCACTTATCCAGAGCCACATACAAGCCAAAACAGAGTCAGGGTTTGAAGCCATCTCTTCCCCCCCCCCCCAGTTCCTCTATTCCGCTCTGGTCCCAAAGGGGGCTTAGAGAGGAAACCTGCACAGAAATCACCAAGAGGTGAGAAGGAACTTAATGGGTATCTCCTTAAGCTCTGACACCCAAACACCAGACTTGGTTCTCACTAGATATCCAAGCTCTAAGGGACAGGAAACATCAGAGATATTTAAGCTGAGATTAGGGAAAACACTTCCAAACTGTCTTTTTTTTTTGTTTTAATTATGCAAAACAGTGTTTCAAACATGATACAGCGAACTGCTCAGTCTTACTTAGAAAACACCAGCATGGAGACGAGGACCATAACCACGCTGGCTCCTTAGTGATTCAGCGTACTTAGCACGCAGGGAAACAGCAAAATTAACATTGAGTAGCTTCAAGAAGAAAACCGCTTGGTCATGTCCATAACCACTGAACAAATGATGCATTTTATTTAATGTCTGTTTGATTTGCTTTTTTTCAAATTTCAAATAAATTAAGATTAAAGGAATTTTGTTATCACATGGAAATGAATATCTGTCTCAGTGTCCGAATCAGTGCTGCATTTAATGAATTACTATTAAGCCAAGACATCTGTACTACCACATGACACCACCTGACAGAGATCTGAACTACTCACCAACATGACTAAGCAAGAAAAAGCAACCATAGTTATAAACTATGGGCAGGAGAAGGAAAAAATAACTATGCGGGTGAGCTCATGTGAATCTGAAAAAACGTGGATATAAGATACATCACAAAAAAAAAAAAAAGACCAGACACCTGGACACAAAAATAACCCTCAGGGAAAGAGCCTGTCCATAAACCACAAGAGAAGCTGCAATGAGAACAAAGACCACCACCTTCACGAGCAGCAAAAAGACCAATATTTAAGCATGAGCCTGAATCCTTCAACAAACAGGAAGCCATGCTCCTGGATGATAACATGCAACCTCTAAAAGTACCATTTTTTCCTAAGCACAGCTAGAACCTGAAGTTGGTTCCAATGGAAACATCAACTACGGGGGCTGGAGAGATGGCTCAGAGGTTAAGAGCACTGGCTACTCTTCCAGAGGTCCTGAGTTCAATTCCCAGCAACCACATGTTGGCTCACAACCATCTGTAATGAGATCTGGTGCCCTCTTCTGTCGTGTAGACAGACATGCAGATAGAACACTGTATACATAATAAATAAATAAATCTTTAAAAAAAGAAAGAAAGAAAGAAAGAAAACACCAACTACATTTCCTAGTCTAAGGACAAAGTGAGTTCTACGGTCCATGGTGAATAATAAAAGAGAACCAGCAGTGCTCTGAAGAGGACCAAACTGGGCTGGCAAGGATGGTTCAGTGGGTAAAGGCATGTACTGCTCAAGCCTAGTGACTTGCGTTCAATCCCAGGAACTCACATAAAGGTGGGTGAACAGAACACACACCCCCAAAGTTGTCCTCTGGCCTGCCCATACAAGCAGTAACACAACCTGCTGTGGGTTGAATCTGCCCCTGTTGAAGGAGCTGTGGTATGGAAGCCAACCGTCATTGGTGACACTTGGATCTGTCTGGTGGACAGGAACGGTTTGGCCAGGCGAGGCTGTGGACTGGCAGACAAACGGATGAGGAGGGTAAAGTGTGCTTCGGAGGTAGGTAGGACTAGGTAAAGATGGCACTGTCAGGGATGAATCCTCAGGGGGCGGGGGCTCGAGGCTATCTTTTCGAGGACTGGATGTGGCTCCTCCCATCTTCCAACGGGTGTAGGTCTGAAATGCCCAGCAGTTCCAGAGAAGTCAGTCCATTTTCTTCTCTCAGACTGAGGGGGGAGCCTTTTAAATTTTAGTTGTATTTAGCACGTATTTATTTAGTGTTTGTGGACACGTGGGGCGGCCAGAGGACGACGTGTATCAGTTCTGTCCTTTTCACCGGGTGGGTCCTGAGAATCAAAGGCACGCAGGCTTGGTGGCAAGCACCTTCACGCCGCAGAGCTACCTTGCCCACCTTGGAAGGCCTTTTAAAATAGCCTACGAAACTCGGACTCCAGAAGAGACAGAGCAGGGGATGTAGACTAGACAAAAATTACCTTAAAGGGCCAAAGGGCACACAACAAGAGGGCAAATAAGCCACAAGTCACTTCAGTAGTGCAGCTGACTCCAAACAGTATAAAACACCCACCCACACACACCCACACACACCCACACCCACACCCACACCCACACCCACACCCACACCCACACACACACACACACACACACACAAGAGCAAATAACAAACAGGGCAATGGAGATCTGGAGGACTCCCCTTTCTAATAAAATCCTGGCAGTTTTCGAAAGGCACCTGAGCTACCATAACAAGGTCCAGGCTAGTCCAGGGTACATAGTGATCCCTCTTACAAACAGACAAAACCTCTTACAGGCTGCCTAACTTCAGCTAGTTATCCAGGAGTGGCCTGGAGAGCAGGTGGCCCACCATGGCAGAGCAGGTCCAAGGAGGACAGTTGACACTGTGCATATACGGACACAGGCATCCATCCCCGAGGAGGCCCGGACTCCTGCAGAATATACCCGTACACATATCCCACGGCCGGAAGGCTGACTACTATCTCTGCGTGTCCACAGTACAAACACCGCAAGCCAGCTCTGTCTGAGTTCACTCAGTCCTTCCCAAGAGGCACTGTGCCAGGGTCAGAGCAGGACAAGGCCTGGGGTGCGGTTTTACAGACACCCCGAAAGGCTGAGAGACGCGAGGGCGTCAACGCAGGGCAGGAGCATATTCCAACGGCTGCCACTCCTTGCGCGTCTTGTGCTCAGTACGTGTGGCATCGCGGCCTGCCAGTCTAGAATCAAGCAAGAATGACACCTTGCAGGCCGCTGTGTGGGTGGGACTGCTACTGAAGTACACTGCCTTCTGCTTCACACTGTCGGACCAAGACCCTTGTCCCAACACACCCATAGACCTTATAGAGCCAGACCCTCCCCTACGTAAGGAGACCAGTTCTCCCATTCCTAGCCAGAGGAAAAGGATCACCCTGCAGTGGACTATCATTTAGCTGTTTTATCTGTCGGGATACAGCAAAAACTCCTGTCGTTCCCACAGTCAGACTACGTTCGCTAAGACCGGCAGAATACCCTGATAAGAGGTAAGAACGGAGCACACACAAACAACTTTCCCAGAGTCAGCCCGATTTTGTCTGTACAGCATGCATGCTGTCCGAACCTGGGGTTATCTCTGCTGCTTTATAATGCTAGGTAGTGTTCTGAACTCAGATTCATATGGAGGGCACAAATGCTGCTTATATTTGTCTCTACGTAATCCTTAATAAACCTATTTTACTCAGCAGGATCAACTTCAGCGATTCTTTGGGCTGTCGGTGCTATTCCCCCAGTCGGTACACATATAAATTTTACATCTCCAAAAGATTGATTTGTATTCTGCCATACTCTGACCCTGTCTCCAACATGCCCATAGACACTGTAGGTGGCACCAATTCAGAGGCTAACCATGTCTGAAAGCCTTTTGGGACTCAGTCTCCTGTGTCCTGTGGGTGGAGGAGTTAGCAAGTGTCTATGGAGGGGAATGAGGAGACCGTTGAAGAGCGAGGCGATCTGGACCTGCCCACTGGACTCCCAAGCCTCAGTTTCCCCCCACCTGTGCCATGTGGAGGATCCTGCCCATGAGAGTAGGTGAAGAGTAGATATCCACTAAATACTGGGTCCAGCAGGTGGCGGGGGAGCCCAGAATAAGACCTCCGCTTTTCTACAGTGGGGAGCCCTTCCACCCGATACGGGGTGCCATGGAGCCTTGCTTGCTATGCTCTGAGTGTGGGGTCCCTCCCACTGCAGCTCTGATGAGGCACATTGCTCCTGTACTTCACAAGACCTACCTTGGGCCCCGGGTGTCCCTGCTGTCCTGGAGTGCCATTCCTTCCAGGGAGGCCCTGTAAGATACAGACAGGACTCAGTACCAGCCCCATCAAAATCCTTAGTCCCACTCAGCTGCCTGAGATCCAGCTGCCTCCTCCAGTCCTGGACTCCTGTCTGTGTTGCTGGGAGGGAAAGGATCCTCCGAGATCAAGGATGTCCTTACTGCCCTCCTCCTCAATGCTAGGCACCCACTGGATTAAGGCAGATCTGAGGTCACACACTCTGGGCCTATATACAATGAGACATGTGGACCACCAAGTGCCCAAAGTAAGTGATCTTCACAGGTGTCCCGTGACCACTGACTCCAGAAGTATCCCTAGTGGCTCAGGAGCCTTGGGCTTGCAGAGAAAGGACCGGAAGAGGTATGACGATCCTCTGAGGATACCAAAGGCCTGCCCCAAGGTAGAGGGCTTATGGTGCAGGCTAACTCCTTTCCAGTACCCAGTAAGACTATGGCTCACAGTTTGCCACATCATAGCCCACCAGCCACCCCAAGCACGGTCATGGAGAGCAGTGGGGGTGGGTCCTGGACTCATTCCATCCAGAACGTCGGAGAAACTCTCGATTTCCTGGTAGAGAAAGGCCAGCATCTGCCCACAGACACCGGACATATATGAGAGATAAAAGCTCAACCAGTGTACAGAGGGGCTGGCCCAATGGACATAGAAGAAACCCGAGAAAGCCTGTCCTCTGTGTAACATGGCTTGGGAGGGCTGCTGGTGGGTTTAGTTTCCTGAGAGCTGCTGTGAGGGGGCATTATGTCAACTACTCTGTCTCCACCAATGGCGGCAGAAGTTTCTGGTCACCTCCAGGGAAGAAGACACTGGACTCACCGGAGGGCCTTGGGGCCCCGGTGGCCCAGGGGTCTCAGATGAGCAGGCACAGGGGGAAGGGGAGGCTGGGCACGTCTCTCCATCCCGCTGGAAGAAAATAAATCATTTGTTCAATGGACATCTCTCCACCCCACCCCCCCACCCCTGGCCCTGGATCTCATCAGATCTTAAGACTCAGCATGGCCGAAGGACACCTGACTCTAGGAGGCCTCTAGTCATCACCAGAGGTAGGGCAGGTCAGAGTAAAGGCAGCCAAGTCCTGTGTATGCAGTAGGCTCAGTGTGCCCTGTCCTGGATAACCACATGGGCCCCGTATCTCCTTTTCCCTGCTTTCCTCCCAGGCTCCTAGCATGGCCAAGTTCAGTGTGGGTTTCTCAAGGGACTAGTGAAGATAGATACCAAGTCCCCAGCCTCCCTGCATGGGCGTCTCCCTGGGCCTATAGAGAAGGGGGACAGTGTCTCCTTAGAGCTGACCAGTGACTTCTAAGTGACACATGACTGTTAATGGTGGAAACAGGATGCCCCGCACATGTCCCGGCCCAGGGCAGTTGCTGTAACTGTAGATGAGGCTTCTTGGCCTTCCCCCAAATGCCTGTGGGACTTTCTGATTGAGGCCCCTGGCCACTTCATCCAAATAGTCTGTTTTCATCTCTATCAGCATGGGTCTAGACAGGCCGTCTATGACCCTTACTGGCATGCTCACAGGACCAGTGTCCGGGACCTTATTGCTACCCACCAATGCAGGAAGTTCGCAGCACCTGTCCTTGTCTGCCCAGGTGTCACTGCACACGATTTGCAACATTTGGAGCTGGAACTATGAAGCAGGAGGAAATGTCAGGTCCCATCGGCAGAGCCCATCCATCCTACGAGGCAGGGCCCCGAAACTCACCGTGGCTGAGCTGCTCCTCGGCCCCCTGACCTTGGCTAGCCTCCCTAGTGTGATGAACCCAGCTGTGGGTGGGCTGCCAGCATCCCCAATAGGCCGCTCAGCCACCTTCCGACAATCCACGTAAAGTCTGACCTTGGAGTGGCCCACGGCCACATGTACCTGCAGAGACCAAAGTGAGTCTCCCACCCCAGACCAGGTCAAAACATATTAAAAGGGGGCCCAGCACAGAGGGTCTGGGGTCAGATCCCAACTCTACTCTGGGGTCTACGGGGGGCCACAGCTTCCCCCAGGGAAAGCTACTGCAGGAGTCTCCCTAAGAGGAGAATTTGCTCTCTGACCCAAATCAAGAAGGGACCATAAGAACAGAGAGGGGCACCAGGGTCAAAGGCCCTAGGTGGACCAATGCTTGATTCTCAAGAGAGACAACCACACTCAGGGAAGGCCAGATCAGAGGGTCAGGGCCTGCAGGGCTCAGGCAGACAGTTCCCAGGACCTTGTGGAAGCTTCCGAAGAAAATCTTCTTTGCATCCTGCAGGTCGAAGGTGACCTCCTGCAAGGCTGCCCTGGGATCATGGTTGAAGTAAGTCAGAGACTTCCTGCCAGCTGCCAGGGGGGATAGGGAAACAGGTAAGAGTGGTAAGCTGGAAGGGGGTGGCAGTGACAGAATCAAGTCCCTACCCAAGCCCCACGTAGAGCCTCCATAATGCAAAGACGTGGAGATACCCAGGGTATCTGCTCCCCACGGAGGATGGGCTTCCATGCCTAGTTGCCTGGGGGAACCCCACAGCTTAGCCTGAAGGCTGGCATCCTTATGTGCCATGAGGTTTAGAAGGTAAGCAGGGGCCCTTCCCACCCCTCCCAACTTCCGAGGGTGGTATGATGGGGCCCACAGTCACCATCCAGCAGAACTCCAACGATGGGCTGGAAGTCCTCGGCCACCATCTGCCACAGCGCAAAGGCTTCTCGGGGTGTCTCGGGGAGCAGGCGTACAAGGAAGACAATGGTGTGCTCTGGTGGCAGGGTTGCCGGGTAGATATCACTGGAGAGACAAGGGGTTTGGACAGATTTCAGAGGACTGGGCTCAGGCCTTCCTGCCTCAGTTTCTCTATAATGAACATGGGAGTGTATCAGAGCATCCCTCCCCTCTGCCCAAAACTTTCAGTGTTCAACAGGAAGTGCTGAGGACCCTGGGCCAGCAGACCCTCTGCTCCCCAAAGCCAGGCCAAGGCTACAATGAAGGTCACTGTGCAAGGCTGACTGAGACCCTTATGCTCAGTGGCACTGTAGGTGAGGGTCCTGACCAGGGAGACTCCAGCAGGAAGGTCCCTGGAGCAGTCCTGGGACTCAGGAGCTACTCGCACTGAGTAGATATGCTGAGGTATCAGAGTAGGCGACGGGGGAATCCATGCCTGTGTTGGTCCGGGCTATCTAGGGGCAGAATAAGGTCAAAGAATGGAGTCTTGAGTCACTCAACAAGAGTATTCATATCAGTCTACAGCCTCCCTATTTGACCTTCATCTGCTCTTAGGATAAAAGCCAAGAAACACCAAATAAAAAGCCAAATAAGATACCACCTCAACCACGATCCTATAGTTCTTTCTTCTTTGAGACAGGAACTCACTACATAGCCTGGGCTGGCATAAGATTCACGGTGATCCTTTCTCAGCCTCCTGGGTTCTAGGATTCCAGGTGCCACCACCACACACAGAACAACTCGACAGTCCTCTAAACACAACGATCACAGGGCCTCACGTGTTCCTTCCTCAGGCATCCTCGCCATTCCACCACAAGAAAGGGTCCCTCTACTCTTAGCAGCTATGGGGTAGGGGTAACTTGAGCTAAGTGGGCACTCTGAAGAAGTTAGGTATCTGTCCCACACTCTTTTGGAGCCCCAGAAAGGCGGAGAGAGAGAGAGAGAGAGAGAGAGAGAGAGAGAGAGAGAGAGAGAGAGAGAGAGAGAGAGAGAGAGAGAGACTGTGTGTTCCAGGAAAAGTCACTCATCTGAGGGGAGGAACAAGTAAGGGAGATCACTACTGAGAATGAGGGCAGCTTTAATTCAGGCTTTGTGGAAAGAGCAGAGACAGGGACAGCAGGTAGCAAAGACAACGGTGGGAAGGAAGAGGCTTGTGAAGGAAACCAAGGGATAGTCATTAAGGTGAGGGGCAGCCAGATGTGCCAAGCCTGAATGAGGACCAGGGGACATTTGACAGGAAGGTCAAGCACAAAGTGCATGCGGCAATGGCCACGCCCGCCTCAAAGGACACTTCTCACAGGGAGATGTAAAAATAAATCACACAGGTAGAAAAGCTCTCAACATCACCGTCACTGAGGGAATGTTAAAAAAGAAAAAGTGAAGAACCACCTTGCTGTCAGGAACGTAAAACCTACTGAGTGTTGGTGGAGCGAGGGGAACCTTTGAACGGTGTTGGGGCCGTAAATTAGTATATGGTATGGTATATGGGAAACAGAACGGAGGGGCCTCAAAACACAACATAATAACCACCAGATGATCTGACAAGTGTCCATCTTTGGGTACAAAGGAAATGAGGTCAGACTTCGTGGTCACCGCGGCTCTGTCCGCCAGAGCCAAGAAATGGAATCAGCCAACATGCCCATTAAATTTCTGAGTGAGGAGGGTGAAGCCAGGCTCTGAGGAGAGTGGCGTGCGTGTTCACACCTCAGGGTACGAACGGATGGGAAAGCTGTTGAGATGTGGTAAAGTCCAGGGAAGGAAGACCGTGAAGAACTGGAGTGTGGGTATGCAGAGGACAGCTGCAGACCGTCACCGGCAATGGTTTTACGGTAACAAAAGAATAAATGTTGGAAGACATCGCTGTGTTTGCCCTTATCAAATCATTAGCTAATTCGAGTATATAGAAAAAGATGGTGATTCTGTGTGGGTCTCAGCTGAGTGGGCAGGAAGGGTATCGCCAAACTCATGACCAGGAGGCTTTTGCATGCACCTACCCAAAATTTCTGACCATTCTCAGGGAGGAGCATGACCAAGGACAAGACCCCCAGATTGCTGCCTGCACCTGGGCCTCAAACTGCTGTGGGAGCCCATGGGGCCGTGCTCTGTCTCCTCGTGGCCTCCTTTCTTGCTCACGGGGGCATGTGGCAGAGGTCAGGGCTTTTCAGTGCTCCTCGGATACCTCTGTGAACACCTCCGTGAGGCCTTATTTAGGCTTCTGCTACATGCCCGGGGTCTCAGTTCTTTCAGGGTGTGGGAAGTGATTTTGCTCAGTCGTACTGTGTGCAATCCAAGTTCAGGTTAATGGCCCGTGCATGGGGTAAGCCGGGATTGGTGTCTACCAGATACCAGGGGCCTCGTGGCTTCTCGTGGCTTCCTGGGAAGCCACCCACTTCTCACAAACCTACGGTGATGGTAGACTCGCCCGTTAGGCTACAAAGCAGACACGCAGCCACTTAGAGGGAACAGTGCCGTGGCTCATATGCAGAATTGTGTGACTGTGAATGACCCCCTGAGCTGCACAGGGAGAAGACCCTTAGGCATGCTGGGCACAGAGCCTAATCCCGCACGCAAGACTTCATTAATCTGTCAAATGAGAATTTCTGGAGTACATGCGGCCAAAGCCAACCAGTCTATCTATGGTCTGTTGACATGGTGTCAGAGGCTGGTCAGTTTGGGGCCAGGGTCATGGCAGAGCCACAAAGTATGTGACAGGGTCTGATTAACTCACAGAGATCCGCCTGCCTCTGCCTCCCAAGTGCTGGGATTAAAGGTGTGCGCCATCACCGCCCGGCTTCTGCATTAACTCTTACCACCCCGTTTTGCACAGCCTCTTCTTGTGCTTGCGGTTCCCTTGGCCCCGCTCACCTGGCTCGCCGCATCAGCTGAGCATCCTTGAAGAGCGTGAAGGTGGGAGCCTCACCCAAGGCTGAGGGCTCCATAGCCACACCTCGAATAGAGGCATACTCCTTTGCCACGAGACCAAAGGCCACCATCAGGTCAAACCCTGGTGGAACGGGGAGTGATGACTTGAAACCATCAGGGAAGAGGAAGGGACACTTGGAGAGGGGTGGCAGGACACAGAAGAGAGGTCCTAAAATGATGGCTTGGGATGGGGTCACCAGGACAATGAGAAGCCGGAGCAGGGTCTTGTCCTTGCCCTCTGGGGGAGAATCTAGTCCCTTTCTAGCCAGGTGGATATCTATTCCAGGCCACTCTGTTCCTCTTCCTCCATTCCAGCTCTGACACTGGGGACATTGCTGCTCTAGCTTGGAAAGCCATACACAGGACACACTAGACACCCTGACACTCAGACCCAGCCACCTGCCTTATACTCCTACCAAGCAGCACCTGCACTCTGCCCCAAACCAGCTCCAAGTTTGCTCTCTTTGAGGAAGACCTTGCTGAATTCCCCTCTGGCCAGCACAGAAGCTTCAAGCAGCTCCTTTTGCTCCTTGCAGCCTGAGGACTCTGCATGGTTGAGATCCCAGCTGCAGGCTGAGACTGGTATACAAGTCACTGGGATGATCAGTGTCATGGTGGGTCCTCCAAGTGCCAGCTCCTTTTACAGCATTGATTGGCACAAATCAGAGAGTGAAAACACACATGTATTTAGTGTTTTAACTGTGCACCACCAGGTCCAAGGGTGCAGAGGCTCAGCCTTTCTGAGGCCTATTTAAAGGAAGCAGCCACGCCTGCCCGTCTGCCCACTGGCCCTGCATCCCATGGGCCCCACCATTCCCTGATCCCACCACTCACCATCCCTGCCAGCCTCAGGGCAGTGGCAGCCCCAGACTTGCATCTTACTGGGATGCAGGTGAGAAACAGCCTTCCTATCACAGAGCCTATCTGTCCACTCTGTACTCTAACGGCCTTCCCACGCAGGATAGAACCCCTGATGTGCCTCATGCTAAGCGTCACCCACACACACACACCCTCCTGCATAGTACTTATGAGGACTCCAGGCTTTGCATGACTTAGCCCAGAGGCCTAGCAGCAGGGAGCCACCCAGGGACCCAGTGGAGCTAAGCCAGCTCTGTCTCTGCCCGGCACATGCCAATACTAAGAACAGCAGAGCAGGCAAACGGCAGCACAGCAGACACAGATATACAGGACCTACCTGAGAGGGGACTGTCCGGGTGCAGGGCTGGGCAGGCTGCTGAGAGAGGACACGGAGGGTCCGGTGAGTCACATCGAAGCTAGCCCGACTAGCAGAAGGGCCACTTCGTGGAGGGCAGTTGCGGGCCTCTGGTAAGCACAGGTAGACCTGCACGTGCCTCACTTTGCTCCCTCTGGAAACCCCACCCCGCAGTCTCAGTTCCTCATTGCCGTGTCAGGATCTCGCTGAGTGAGCAGGTACCCCTGCCTACCCTGTGCACCCAGAGCCAAAACCAAGCTTCCACCGGGGACTGTACCCAAAAAAGTTATGGGCCCAAGGTGAGCCCCAGGCACCAGTTGTTAGGGCCAGGGAGATGACTGGATACAACGGACGGCACAGGACTGGAGGTAGGGATACAGGCTGCAGCCAGACACAGGGCAGATGAAGTCACAGTCGGGGCTCCAGGCACAGCGGTCATCCGCTGGGCAGTGAGGAAACAGCCATCATAGGCAACTGGTTTCTGTTACTCCTATGGCGGCCTACGTGGCATCTCCTTGTGGTCTCTCTCTGCCTACCTTTCCCAGAATCCCCCTCGTCTCCTAGTCCCGCCTATCTTCCTGCCTCTATTGGCCAAGCAGTGTTTTATTCATCAATCAATAAGAGAAACATATATGCAGAAGGTCCCTAGTGCCCAAGGTAGGGCACTACAGCTGAGGCAGTGGGCTTCATGGGCTCTGAAGGCCCTCTGCCCTAGCAACGGTGGCTCTCGGGTGACTCCTCACAGCTGAGCCTGGCTTGTGGGTTGGAGGATACCAGAGACCTGACTATGCCCTGTGGCGTCAAGGGCAGGTCTCTACTGGACAGAACTCTCCCTGCTCTCCAGCCATTTCCCAGTCACTCTGACCCAGCCTGCTCTATTTTGGGTTCCCTATTCTCCACGCCCTCTCCACAGTCTGTTGAGCCCGGGGTCTCACTGGCTATGAGGTCTCACTGAGTCTAGTATCTGACCTAGTCTGGGGTCTGACCAGATCTGAGGTCTGATTAGATCTAGCGTCTAGCTGGACCTTGAGTCTGGCTTGGGTCTGGGGTTGAGAGGAAACTGCGGTCTTGGTGCCTACTAACCTGTGCGGCACGTGGCAGACGCTGCTACACTCTCCCCGGCTCCATAGACAGCTGAGACCAGGACCCTGTACTTGGTGGCAGACAGCAGGTCAGGAAGTGTGACGTGGCTTCTGGTGCCTGGCACAGAGATCTGTAGGGGGCAGGAGACCTTTGAGCCTTCCCTCCTAGACTGCCCTTTCCTTTAAGTCCTCCCTCTTCTACCCATCTTTCCCTCCATACAGAAGCTGTTGCCCCCCCCATAGACAGATAAAAATCAGCACCTAAATCCCTGGGTGACCATCCTTTATAGACTCACGGATTTCTCTGGTCCAGAGCCTGAGGCCAGTGAATAGTTGACCCGGTAATGTAGGACGTGGCCACTTGATGGTGTCCAGCTGACCTGCAGGCTGTTGGGGGTCTCCGAGGACAAGACCAGATTGGACGGGGGGCTCCTGCTTGCTGAAGCTATCCAGTGGCACAGACAATGTGGAATTCAAGACTCTCCAGAACGGAGGTGCCCACAGCCAGAAAGCCAGCCAGCCAGCCAGCCGGCATCATCTTGTGCTCTGCCCTGCCCAACCCTAACAATGTCCCTGCTGATTCCGCCAGTATCCCTAGGAGGTCTTACACAGAGACTGTGTCACCCGTGCCGGGGAATTTAGGCCTCAGCCATCCCAAGAGCCTGTACTCTTTGTGGGCTCGGATCCATTGGGCTAACCCAGGGTCTCAGGGACGGGGGGGGGCGGAGCCTGCTTGCTGTGGGAGTATGAGGTCCTGGGCAGCACGTGGATCCAGGGAGGTCTGGGTCCCCTCTGTGCTGCTCCTGTCCCAAGCCCATCTGCGTGGAGGAAAGGCCACCTACAGGGGACATAGCGGAGGGACACAGGGTCGCTGCGAGTGCCGTCCCTGTAGTAGGCAAGGATGGTGATCTCGTATTCCACATGACCCATCAGGCCTGGCAAGACGGCTGTGTCACGGGTCCCTGGGACAGAGATCTAGAGAAAGGAGAGTCCGGGGTCCACCTGGGTGATAGGGAACCTCACCTCAAGAGGCAGGCTCACAGGCTATGGGCAGACAGGCATTCCCAAGACGCAGGACTTGGATGGACATAGAGTCTAAGCCCCACTCGGCCTTGGGGCCCGGGGCCATAGGAATTTCTCTGAAAGGTCGTCTGCCCCCAGTCCCCTTACCTCGTGGGCCTTGCCCTCTCCCAAGGGCATCCACTTGATCTGATAAACAAGTACACCAGACAAGGCAGCCGCCACCCATGACAGCTTGACTGCATCTCCAGGGAGCTCCATCACAGACAGCTGGCTAGGGCTGGGAGCTTTCTCTGGAAGACGTGGTGTACAGATGAGTACAAAGAGTTGCTTTCAGATAAGCATCAGCCACACTGAGGAACGCCCCTGGCCCCTTTGTCTCTCTCTCTGCAGACCTTCTATCACGTCTGCCCAAGACACTTGTCCCCACCTGGCCTGGCACAGCCAGGACAGACATCCAACATAGGCCCTTCAGCAGGATGTCAGGACACAGCCCAGCTCCACCCCAGCCTTGACTTCCCTGACTCACTTGTGGTCACATGGCCAGTCAGCATGGAGGAACCACCCCCAAAGTAAAAACTGGTGACTCGGACAGTGTACTTGGTAGAGGAGGAAAGGGGGCCCAGGGTGGCTGAGGTAGCATTCCCAGGAACCTGAGCCTGTGGGAGGTATACAGGCAGACCAGTTAGGCACCTGAGCCCTAGGTTCAGGACCTATAGTCGGAGTTAGCCCATGACTCCCAAAGAAAAATATGATCAGCTATGGATCCCCAGAATGGCCCATGGGTGGAGATTCATCTCTTCCTGTCTCTCCTTTTAACCCCACAAGCCACTCTGCCTCTAAACCTGGTGTGGCCACGGTCTCGACATGATATCCCTATGCATGTGTGTGTGCGTGTGTGTGTGTGTGTGTGTGTGTGTGTGTGTGTGTGTGTGTGTGTGTGTGTACGTGTCTTTGCTTCAGGCCTTCCCCCAATTCCTGCCAGACACAGCCCCCTTGAGGGCTGGGGTATTATCAGAACTGTGTCCCTTGCACCATCTCAGAGGCTGTGTAGAAGGGGGCTAAACAGATAATGGACTGAAGGTGTGAGAGTCTAAGGATGCTAGGCTCCCAGTGCCTGTGTGAATGCTGAATCTACCTAGGATACTGGGTCCCCCAGGAGGCCCTTGGGACTTTTGGGCCCCTGCTCTTACCTGCCCAGAGTGGCTGCCGTCACTAGAGACATAGCTGACCTTGACCAGGCGCACAGGCCTCTGGGCTTCCCAGGACACGCAGGCTGAGTTGTAGCTCACATCGGAGAAACTCAGGTGTCTTGGGGGCCCCAGGGCAGCTGCAGAGCATAACAAGGCCTCAGGAGCTGGCATCCCTACGCTTGGGACAGGGAAAAGGGTAGGAAGTCCTGGGACTGAGGGGCATATGGGGCATCCAGAGTCATCTGTGGTCTCCTACCCTGGAATGAGCTGAAAAACAGAGCCAGGCATCTGCTGTGTAAACACGCGGCCTGGGAAAGATACTCACCGGTCCTGGCATTGACGATCCGGACCTCGCTGGCCTCTGGTCCCCGAAGGCTCTGCACTGAAACCTCATAGTCCCGGCCTGGCTCCAGGCCATCCAGCAGTACCTCAGGCTGTCCCACGAGTACCTGGCGGGGACACGGCAACACGTATCTCAGCGCCAAGTCCCTCCATCTGTACCACCCTTCCCCCTTTCTCTACCCCTCACCTCTCTCCTCTGCTCCTCTCCCGGGGAGGCAATCAGCAAGTACCGCACCAAGTACTGAGTGGCCCCAGCAGAGGGCTGCCAGGTGAAGCGAAGGGTTCTAGGTGTCACTGAAGCCAGGGTCAGTGCTCCAGGTGGAGGCAGGGGTGCTGAGGAGGGGATGGCCATCAGGGAAATCTTGGGAGGGTGGCACATGCAGGACTCATCAACATGAACAGAGGAACCCTTTTTGCAAATGGTGAGACTTTCGGTGGGTAGGGTTATACAGATGGGGCACGGTCAGGTGGACAACCACCAGTCAGAGCACAGGATTCTAAGTCACCTGTCTTGCATGGCAGGGGGCTGGGTTTTTCAGCTCACACTTCTGGGGGAGCCAGATAATCCTGCTGGCCTAAAGCAATTCACTATAAAGGCAGTGAGGGAAAGACACACACACACACACACACACACACACACAGAAAGAGAGAGAGAGACATATATAACACACACACAACAACAACAACAAAATCATATAATACATGAAGCCAAAATGACCAGAAGAGGCAGATCTGGAGTCAGAAATCAGAGTCAAGGTTTCCAGGGCTGGGTGAAGGATCTGGGATGCCCATGAAATGTACAATTTCCTTGAGGGATAAACATGATTTATGATGGCCTTGGTGTAAATAGCCTGTTCTTTTTTTGTTTATTTATATTTTTATGTTTTGAGACAAGGTTTCTCTTTGTAACCCTGGCTGTCCTGGCATCTCACTATGTAGACCAGGCTGGCATTGACCTTAAGAGAGATCCTCCTGTCTCTTGCCCTCTAGTTCTGGGGATTAAAGGTGTGTGCTGCCACACCCGGCAAAGTCCTGAATGTCAGCCATCCATTGTTCCCTGTAGGTGGGTGAGTGTGGACATGAGTTCTATCTCAGTGCAGCTGTTAGCTAGGAATCATGGTGGGTCTAACAATAGCTGAAATCTAGTGGCCTCAGCCATGTTGCTAGACAGGATGGGAGCCTTGGGACATCTTAAGCAGCAGTGATAATGAGCCACGTGTGACACTACTGTGTTCAAAAGAGGATACCAGAGCCAGGCGTTGGTGGCGCACGCCTTTAATCTCAGCACTCGGGAGGCAGAGGCAGGCGCTTATCTGTGAGTTTGAGGCCAGCCTGGCCTACAAAGCCACACGGAGAAACCCTGTCTTAAAAAAAAAAAAAAGGACACCAGGGGGCTTGGAATGGAGGTTTGTGGGAGCACTTCAGACCCAGGACTGCCTGTTGTCATGCCCTGGTTGTACAATCCCCAAGGGACAGGACTAGACAAAGGTCACCCCTCTACCTGTGATTGCCCGGCCTTGTAGGCTCTTGCCAAACCCACTCTCATAGACAGGAAGCACAGAGACCAAGTATTCTGTGTTGGAGGTCAGGTTTCGAAGCTCCATGGATGAGACAGGCCCCTCCACCACCACCTGGGCAGGAAAATTCCATCAACAGGGATTGGAGAGGCATGGTACCACCATCTTGGGACATTAGGGCCCCACACGGAGCAGAGCAGCACCAGGCACCACGGAGACAGGCGAGCCAGTGAGACGATCCAATTGTCTACCGATGTATCATCAAAGCCGCATCTGGGTGTCTGCAGTCACTGCCCAACACTCCTCACTCTGACTTGGTCTGATTGGTGCATCTGTGTATAGCTACCCACTCCCAACCCCACCCTTCTTGGCTCTTCTCTCTCATGTGGACTTAGTCATCTGTAGGCTTCCATTCCAGCGCTCATCCTTAGCTCAGCAGAACCCGCCTGAGCCCCCTGTCGGCTGCCCCAGCTCCCAAGGAGAGGCTGAACTAGGGGACCCCCTCTTACCTCTTTGGGGGCACCACCCCTAGAAGGCTGCCACACAATTAGGTATTTGAGGGGTGGGTATAAGGCCGGAGTCCAAGACAGGTGGACACTGGATGAGGTGGCGTGGGTCAGGTTCAGTCTGGTGGGCATCATGGGGAGGGGGTCCAGGGCCAGAGTAGTGGCTGCTGGTTTGACTGTGGGGAAAGGTAGTTAAGGAGCAAGCGAGTGCATCTATTTGCTCCCCCTGGTGGTCATGTACAGGAGAGGCTAGAAAATCCTCCCAACATGTCAGGACAAGTAACACCCTGGCTGCAGGGCAGGGGTGGTGCACGCCTTTAATCCCAGCAGAGGCAGGTGGATCTCTGTGAGTTCGAGACTAGCCTGGTCTACAGAGTGAGTGCCAGAACAGCCTCCAAAACAATACAGAGAAACCCTGTCTCGTAAAAACCAAAAGAATAATAATAATAATAATAATAATAATAATAATAATAACACCCTGGCTTAGTCTACAGACCCTCATGGGTCACAAAAAATTGGCCAGGTGTAGTAGCTTCAGTCTCCCTGCCCCTTGGCCACTGTGCTGTTGTGTCCTTACCTGGGCCCCTGCCCTGGATCTTTTGGCAAACGAGGCGGCTGAGCAGAGCAGCTAAGGTGGCCAGCTGAGGGAAGTCCAGCACATTGTGGACAGTGATGTCCAGTGGCTGGGATGCCAGGAGCTTCAGTTCAGCCTCATCCGCATTCTTCACACCTGCTTTGGGGAAGGGCGTGCCAACAGGCCACTCTGAGACTCTCATCCTATTTACAGACAGGACCATAGAGGAGAGACCAGCCAGAGTTCCTGACATATGGGAGGGGGCAAACTGAAGCCACTTGTCCTAGAACCCATGGGGGTGGTCTCTCAATGGAACATAGGAATGAGAATGAGCCAGGGGGGTTAGTGTGCTTAACTCTGGGAGCTCTGGGAAATAGGCCAGACCATGTGGATGCTGGTGCCAGGTGCCCATAAAAAAAGGGGAATTCTGGGGAAAGAGAGGCTCCTAGAACAATTCCCTACACTTGAAGTTTCCTTCCCATCAAACAGAGGGCAGTGAGTGTGGTTAATGCCCCCAGAGAGCACCAGGAATAATTATTGCTGGGGGAGCAGATGGAGGAGGTAGAAGAGTTGTCACACACAGGGACAGCTGCCAGGCAGGGGACCAGTTTGAAGGCTACTTGCAATGTGAGTTGAAGGGTGGCCAGGAGTTAGGGGAGTGTCACAGCGAAGGAGGCAGGGACAGATTTTGTTGATGCTGCCGCAAGGTGCAGTCATGCACCTCTGTGATGTAGGACTCCCCCTCTGGGTTCTATGGGTGTAGAAGCTGCAGGTCAGCAGTTAAGCATGCACCCAATTTTTCCGTAGAGATGGTGAAGCCAGAATACAGATGTGTCTGTGACCCAGAGCCCACCCCAGCAGTGAGCATTCCAACCCAGGGCCCAGGCACGGTGCAAGCTCACCCACAACAAAGACATCAACGTCCTGGTCCTTAAGAAGTCGGGCAGCTGTGCGCACATCATCCTGGGACTTGCCATCTGTCACTAGAATCAACACCTTGGCTGCCTCTGGACGGGCACCTGCTGCTGGCTTCAGGTTCTGCCCCAGTACATGGGTTAGGGCGAGGCCTTAGGAACATCAGGGACAAAGTGACAGGCAGCCACTAGGACTTCCTCTCCAGGTGCCTTCTCAAACCACAGCTGCTCCCAGCATTTGATTCCAGGGCTCTCTGTTCACATATCTTGTCTTGCCAGGCTGAAGACATTTGGGATCAGGGACAGCACCTCCTGAAAATGGTACCTATGGCCCAGCAAGGCCACACCTACGTCTTCTAAGAAGCTACCAGCAAGGCTAACAGTCGAGCTGAGTGGGACCCAGACAGAAGCTACCTATGATCAATGCAGACACTTGCTCTCAACAAGGTGCCTGAATTTCCATGCTTTTGCCAACAGTTGGGGCCGGTGGTGGCGGTAGAGTTTGCTCTCTAAAGTATGAAGTGGGCTCAGCACCCACCGGTCACACAAACATTCAGGGGTAGAAAGGAGCATAAAAGGAGGTTGGCCAGAGGCTTCAGAACAGCCAAACCTCAAGGCCCAGGACATACCTGTGAATGTGTTTCCTCCCCTGTAGCGGAGGCTGTGTATTGCTGCCAGCACCTGCTCCTTGGTGTTGAAGGAGTTCAGGTCCCACTCGGTCTGGGGGTCTCCACTGTACTGAGTCAGACCTGGGGGTGGGTTCTGGTTGCTGGGTTGAAGGGGTTTGTTTTTTTGGTTTCTTTCTCTCTCTCTCTCTCTTTCTTTCTTTCTTTCTTTTTGCAGCACTGGGGGGGAAGCATGCTAGGCAAGTGTTGTAGTACTGCATCCTCAATGCCAGGGCTGTTTTAAAGACCATATTACAGAGTTGCCTGCTCTGGGCACAGCCCTTGGGGCTCCCACTCCCAGGAAAAGACACATTTTCAGGGCCCAAGGCTCTCACAGGAGTACCATCAGAGGGGCTGACGGGGAGTCAGCCATCCCTACAGACCATAACGGCAGCCCTGGTTCACAGAGAAAAATCAATCAGCCACATGACCCAACCCAGACCAAGTAGACTTCTATCAGTCAAGTTTCTCAACTCTCTTGGCAGGCTGATGGACTTTGGGAGGCTATAGCATTCCCTGTCCTATTATGTGGGCAGCTACCACCTTTCTACTGGTGAGGATTTAAGAGGTCCAATCTCCCCAAAGGTCAGGGCAAAGCAGTTGGTACCCACCTACTTGGACTTTATCTGGTCCTATTTCAAACGGTGTGATGATGCTGGCCAGGAAGTCTTTGACCTGCTGGAAGTGTCTGTGGCCGATGCTCCAGGATCCGTCCACCAGGAAGATTATATCAGTAGGAGTTGGGGGTGTGCAGTGGAACTGGGGGTCACCTGGAGCAGGTAAGGATGGCTGAGGTATTGGGTGAGGTTTATAAGCCTCCCCAGGACACCTGAGTATTGTAGATCTGACTGGAGTCCTCAACATACCCTTCCCTAGGATTTGGGGAGCCAGGGTTTCCAAGGACTTTGTGTCTCACCAGATTTAGAAAGACCTTCATGCATCCTAGTTTGGGGTTCCAGCTCCTCTAAGTCCCCTCAAAGATATCAGTCTCAAGTCTAGGGGTCACCTCTGCCTTCCAAGGCTCCTGGCAGCACTATGTCTGAACCTGACAATTTAGTCCCCGGGCTCCAGCACCCACATTTCCAGGCCCAGCTGCCTGTAGGTGGCAACCAGTCATGGGTGGGGGTCTTAGCACCACAGACCAGTCCAAGCTGGGTAAATTGGCAGAAAGATCAGGCAGGGTTAGTTGCAACCAGAACGACTTCTGTGGCCTCAGGATCTTCCACCGCCCTAGAGTTCTTTGTAAATAAAACTCTCCTTGGGTCCCCTTACAGTTTGACACAGACTGCATCTGGCAGGCTTCATGAGATTTATAACACAGCCAGGTAGGTGATTCCTCTGTGGCTTCTGATCCTCGGTCTAAAGGGAAGGGGCCAGGCATGGTTGTAAGGCCCTCAACAGTGGGGTGACACTGTAGAAGACCTGATCCATAGCAACATAGCAGGACACAAGGCCTGGGCATGAGGGAGCAATGCTCACGTCTGAGGACAGAAACCCTCCCACAGCTCTGTGTCTGGTGGAGAAGGTAGTGTCCTCCTGATGTGAGGGGGGACAGGTGAGGAGAAAGCCTCAACTTCATCTGACCCCACAGTTCAGAGCAGTCACCTTACCTAGCTTCTCTTGCGTTCCCACAGAGTCTGCTGTGTGGCTCTGCCTCTCCAGGTCTGTGGTTGGCTGAGCGGGGTCCTGTACTCCAAGGCTCTGCTTGGGTTTCCTCTGATCCTTACTGGCCACTCCTGGAGGCGGGGGGGGGTGTGTGGTCACAACTGCTACCATGCACCTCCCAGACCTAAGCTAGGATTCTGGGGCAAAGATTACCTGGACCCTGTACCTGAGATTATGAGTCCAGGAATATGACTGGTAAGCCTAAATAAAGCTAGACTATGTAGTCAAATACAAACACGAATTTCTGGCCATGTGGCAAAGAGGCACCAGAAGCTTCCGAGGGCTCTCCCCACCCCCAGGATTTACTCTCATTCCACTTTGACCCACCAAGAACAGGCCGGTCTCTGCTTGAGGTAAAGGCGGTACTGGGATCAGGTGTCTTCTCAGGGTCTGAGGCCCCAGGAGGGAAGGAGGTTGGATCCAGGGTGGGCCCCACCAGCCTGCGGCTGCCTCTGCTCAGAGAGTGGCTCTTCAGATCCTCAACTTCAGAGAGAGGAGGGACCGACTGTTAGGACACCAGGCCAGAGTGGGAACAGGGGCTTGGGTTTGGGGGTTTTATGTACTTCCTAGACCTTCCCATCTCATGGGAAATGAGCAGCAATGTCAGGAACAGGAAACAAGACCCAAGCACCTCATAGGCAAAAAGCCTCAGGTCGCAAGCCCAGGCCATGAGCTCCCAACCCAGAGGCCTTCCACCCGCATCCACCCTGTCTGTGTGCAGGAGGACTTACTCACAAACTCCCTTCGTGCCAGCAGGACAGGCTCAGAGTCAGTGAGCTCAAAGATCTGCAAGGTGTAGCCCTTGGAAGGGTTCAGGCCACCCACGGTGGCCTTGGGTGTCTTGGTGGTTAATATCAGCTCCTGCTCCAAGTCCCCTAGGTGGAGGTGGAGAGTTGTTGAGGCTGCCAAATTTACTACACATATGTGTGCACACATGTGGGTCGATGTGTGCACATATTGATGTGTGTGTGCTGGACATGTTTGTGTGTGTACATCTGCAAATGCATTATTGTGGCATGCATATGTGCACATGTGGATGTGAGTGGATGTTTGTATGTGTATGTTTTACATGTTTGCATACATATGTACATTTGGCGTGTATGAATGTGTGTGCTGCATGTGTGTGTATACTAAGGTGGTGTTCATGTATTCATGTATGTGTGGCTAGGTGTGTGTGCTTTGCATGCATATAGGTATACAAATGTGCATGTGTGGGTACACATGAGTCATGTATGTCCTTCATGCATGTGTACCATATAGGTATATGTACATGTACATGCATATGTGTGTATGGGTGTGTGCATTGGATGTCTTGAATGCATGTGCACCATACACATACCCTTACATGTGCATATGTGTGTACATGGATTATGTACATAGTGTAAGAAATCACCCAAACCAATCCCTCTTGAAGTTAGGGAAAAGAACAGGATGAGGGTTGGATGGGAGAGCGAGGGATGGGAAAGGAAAGAAGTTCTGTCAGGAAAAAAGTTTCTTCTTCCAAACCACTGCAGTGGACCCTGGCCTGTGTGGGAACACCCACTTTTCCTGCTCTGGAATGTTGTCGTCTAAAGATAGGATGGGTCCCAGTATTAGGAACAATCATAGCCAGGCCTGATGGTGCACACCTTTAATTATATCACTTAAGAGGCAGAAACAGGCAGATTTCTGTGAGTTCAAGGCTAATGCTTTCTACATAAAAATCCCAGGCTGGCCAGGACTATACAATAAGACCTTGTCTCAAAAAAAAAAAAACCATATGATTCCAAAGGGACCCTATCTACGGATGGGTGGTGTGGCACTAGAAGAAGTGACCATAAAACAGAGCCTCGGGGTCTCAAACACCAGGGAATAAAAACACTTCCCACCTGGGAGGAACACACCACTGTTTTTGAAAAGCAGGCAGTCCCCCGACCTGTCCCACAGTAGGCAATGTCCAGGCAGGGAGGCACAAGCTAACATGCTTCTGTTGTTTATAATAACATGTTTTAGCTGCAGAAGATGGATTCCAACTGGCTGTGGTGGCACAGGCCTGAAGTCCAAACATTCAGTGGGCTGAGGCAGAAGAATTGGTGAGTTTAAGTCTAACCTGAACTATGTAGTGAGAGACTATTCTCAATTTAAAAGAAAAGAAAATCAGGCTAGGACATGAGCCCACCTTCACAGATGTAGACTAATGACCAACTACCGTACTGAAAACATGTTATGAGGTTTTAATATAGCTACAGAATTAGGATTCGTGAAGCAGGGTAGGTAGAGACGTGATGTTTGGTGGCTGCAACACCACGCATAATAGGTGACATAGCTATCAGGCTTGCCACATGTTTTATAAGGATGTGTGCTGCTGTGTCTAAGGTGGTCACCAGGAGATGAGGGGATAAGTGAGTAACTACCAAGCTCACAAAGACACGAACTCTTCACCTATACCTGCCAGCCAGTCTTTTTTTGTTTTTTTGGGTTTTGTTTTTTTGTTTTTTGAGACAGGGTTTCTCTGTATTGTCTAGGAAGCTGTCCTGGAACTCGCTTTGTAGACCAGGCTGGCCTCGAACTCACAGAGATCCACCTGCCTCTGCCTCCCGAGTGCTGGGATTAAAGGCATGCGCCACCAACGCCCAGCCAGCCAGTCTTAACTTTACAGTAAAAGTAGACACTGGATGCCATCTGCGGTACAGTAGAAACACTCATACCACTAGCAACAATCTTCACTAGCAAACACAGGCCAACTTGAACCTTACCAAAGACCAAGATCCCACTACCAATCTGCAGGAGACACAGGGGAGAGAGTGGCAAGTCACACAGCATCTCAAAGATGCTAGACAAGGACATGGGGATCTGGTTTCTCCTACAAGTAAATACCAAGGGGAAAGGAGAGAGGAAAAATTATGAGAGGTACAGGACTAGTAAAATGTATACCTCAGCCTGGCATGTGGTGCACACTTGGTGATCTCAGTACTTAGGAGGCTGAGTGAAGGAAATTGTGAGCACAAGGCCAAGGTGGGCTACACAGAAAGACCCCAATTCTGGGGGATGTTTATCCTAGTTTGGAGTCCTAATTAAGATTGCTTAATTGTAGAAGGTATTTACTGGGTGAGTTGCCAAGTTGTGGTTTTAATTTGGAGTCATACCAATGGCTCTTGAGCTGTGTTTGAGTCCTTGTTTCTTCAGGGTGAACAAATAGAGACAGAATTATATAATGTCTCAGATTTGCAGCTCAGGAGGTTGGTAAGGAGGGAAACAAAGATGGACTGGCCACATGTTGCCTGTGGAGCTTAGTGCCCAACACTAGGCTCCATCACACTGTGCTGCCTGCCTTCCAGGTGTTTAAATTTTTTTCATAAAGTCTTAGACCCAAATAAGAAGAGAGTAAAAGGGTAATAAAAGCATATCAAAAAGAAAACAAATTTGCAAAGTGTAGACTTAAAGTAAATTAATTACTTTGTTAAATAAAAATAGATAAAATGTTTCAACTAAAAGATAAAGATTGGGGTTGGAAAGATGGCAAACTATTAAGAGCATGCACTACTCTTGTAGAGGATGAAGTTCAGTTCACAGCCTAAATTGGGTAGCTTACAGATTCCTGTAACTCTAGACCCAGGAGCATCCATGTTGCACTCACTTACGTACACACGTACACACACACACACACACGCACACACACTTTAAAGATAGATTATCACACTGACTAAGAAGAATGCTCTGAGTCACTATCGGTTTAGAAGCTTCTCCAAAGAAAAACAAATTGTAAGAATGTAGATTTAGACTCAAATCAATTACTTTGTTATTGATTTTACTAGTATCATATATCTATTTTATTAGTATTCTATGAGATATCTTGCCTTTGTTGATTCACTTCATTTTATGTTCTTTTTTATTTCTATACTTTATTCTCTTTTCTATCATTTCCTTCTAATCTACCCGAATTTACTTTTATGTTTATTATAACTTAATATGGATGCTTAAATTCCTAGTTTTTCTTTTTTCCTGGGCCTCAATCACACCAAGGCCTCACCTAAGTTGGACAAGCACTGCCACTGATCTACATGCCCATCCCTACAATTTTCTCTTTTATAACTTACAGAGCTAAAGCTATTAGTCTTCCTCTAAGCCCCAGGGGGGACAAATTAAAGACATCGTCTATGTAGCTCAGATTGACCTTGAACGGGGGATCTTCTTGCCTCAGCCTCCCAAGAATCAGAATATAGGTGCAGCCTCACCACACCCAGCTTGTTTTAAGCCTTTCTTGTGTCATCATGACACTGTCCCTGTAACTGGAGGGTTAACTTCTCTCCCACATGCTCACTGAATGCAGGATCCAGGCCATCCTTAAAGCCCTAGGACTCATCCTAACGAGGGAGTCACCACTTCTTCAAAGCCTATGTCCTGAACAACGGTGTGTGCTCATGCTGGGTACAGAGGAATACAGGGGCCTCTCCAGCTGCATCTGCTCCATGTGATTGAGGCTGACAGAGGAAAGGAACATAGGAAATGCAGACGTGGCCTTGCCAGGGAATGGGAGCCACTGGATGGTGTGGAGAGATGCTGGCTGGAGTAGGCTCAGTGACCACATACTGACTATCAAGTGCCATTCCCATTGCTTTTCTCAGGTGGAAGCCTTGTTCCTGAAGACGTAAATGAAATGCACTGTTTTTCCCATCAAAGCTTTAAATGAGACAAAGGAGGTCCTGTCTTTAACAAAATTTATTTTAAAAAGGCATCTGGGAGGAAAAATAATTCCCTGTGCACCCTTCAGCATTTCTCTGAGATCCAAGTTTGTGCTCAAGGTTGCATCGTACCCTTGGAAGTTGTACTCTGTTAATCAACTACATTGCTTTAAGTTAGCCAGTCTGTAAGACTGCGGGACCCAGCTCTGACCACTCAGAGAGCAGTATGGACAAAAGCACAGTGGCGTCTCTGACTGGGTATGCTCGCTTGCTTGCCTGCTTAAGCTTGGCTATACACCATCCTGCAGAAGTAAAACTTCATGCTTTACCAAAATACTTTGGACTGTGTGGTCATTTTCTTGATATCCTAGACCCATTTCTAACAGTCCTGACAGAGGGAAGAGGAGAGGCAGCCTAGTAGGGAGACATGAGCTGCATACCTGCCATAGGTGTCACCTGCACCAAGTAGCCAAGACCGATTCCCTCTGCTTCCCTCCACTTCATCTGCAGCTGGTCCTCAGGCAGTACTGCCAACCGCAGACGGCCACTTACTGCAAAAACAGGACTGGAGGTTTGGATGCAAGACAGGCTTACCAGTGACCGACTGACCACCTCCTGCAACCAGAGGGAGGCCTCCCCTAAGAGGTTTGAAGGGACACAGCCCCACCCAGGTGTCTGAAGAATCTGTGGGGGAGAGCTGCTACATCCTTGAGAATTTTTGATGGTAAGGCTGCACTCCCTCCTTCAGCGGAAGGGAGTCTCATTCCACCCAAGGGAAGTTCCTGCTGCAGAGGAGGCTTGGATCAGCACTGTCTACCCTGTGGTGACTAGAAGTGCAAAGATAAAACAGCAGCTGCTGACCCACTGACCAGAGCCTTGGAAGATGCCTTGGGTCTTCCATTCTAGAGAAAGACTGTAGAAACAGCCATGCAGCTGAAGGCCCCTATCCCCTGCAACTGCCAAAGTCGTGCTAGGTTGATGCATTCCTTGTGGCAGACTGGGTAAAGGACCTCAGCTGGAGATGTGGTGATGACTGTCTGTTTTTATGCACACGGTGTGTCTGTGTGCACCTGTGCCTATATGTGGGCGTGTGTAGGATGCACACCAAGCCTCAGCCCTCATGCTAGTGATGGCGGTGTGATGGCTAGGATTATCAGCTTGACAGAATCTAAAAACACCTGAGATATCAGACGAGTATGCCTGCGGGGGCTTATCTTTATTTTGTAGACTGATGTTAACAATGTGGGAGGACACATTTTAATTATAGATGGAAACTATAGACTAAATGACACTGAGACAGTAAGTTGAGCACTAGCATGCATTAACTTCTCGTTGCTTTCTGATGGTGGATGCAATGTGACCAGCTGCTTCTAGCTCCTGCTGCCTTAACTTCCCCGCCATAAAGAACTGCACCTTGACCCATGAGCTAAATAAACCCTTTCTCCTGTCACAGCAACAGGAAAAGAAACCAAGATAGGATAATCCTGCCCTGGAAGAGGGGGAACCCGTGGTCACTGGGAAGGAGGCAGCAATGGAGTCTGTGCTGACCCCCCCCCCCAGAAAGCTTCCGGGCTCTGTGGTGCAGGCAGCTATTTTTGGGAAATGGGGACAGAGGCCTCCTCTAGTCTCCTCACCATGTGCTGGGGCACAGAGAGATGGGCAAAGGGTGAGGGTGTCTGGGACAGACACAATGGCCCATTCAGAATGAACTGTTTCCGGATGGACTTGGCTGCTGGCAGTGATCTACTGAAAGGCAGGAATGTGTCAGGATAAGGTGGGGGCTCTGACAGGCCAGCTGTGGACAGGGGCCCCCACTCTTGCTCATGAAGAGCCTTCTGTTTCTCCCCTCTCCCTGCAATGTGTTACAGGCTTTTAGAACTTCCCTCTCAGAGACAGCACAGACTCCCTAACCTCCCCTCCCTAACCCCTAACCTCAGCTGCACCTCCCAGCTGGTTGCTGGACATGTGGGCCCTGCCTCTTTGGTTGGCCTCTGAGACCCCAGCCCACCCCAGCCGTGCCAAGGGCTGAGGGGGCAGCTTGTCATGCTGAGACCTGAGGTGGGGGGGGCAACATATTTGTGGGTCTTGCAGAATCACTCTAAGCTGGTCATACAGCAAAGGCTTCCTTCTAATTGAAATCCCAGTCCGCAAGCCCACCTTGGGGTTCCTCTGTCTGAACAAAGGGAGCTGAGGGACCTTCCCATATGGCAGTCACCTCCCTGGATGGTGGACATGCTGGGAAATGAAGTCTGTTGGCTACAGGCCAACCTGAGTCGGACCCACCTACAGTGCAGTGGATAATAGAGGACAGGAAGAGATGGATGTTCTTAACTTGGATGAGGCTAGCCATTGATGTAACCCTAGAAACAGATTCAAATCTGTCAGGTGCCTTGAGGAACACACACATTGCCTCTGGGAGCTAGGTGTAGCCATGAGTGTGAAGGCTGTAGGGATACAGGAACTTGCCTTCCAGGGACCCACCTGAGACAGCAGGTCCACTGAAAGGAGTCTGGAACATGGACCCTCCCTCAAGTCCTGTGCACATCCCTTGGGGGTCATGGAAGAAACCAGGGGAACCTTTCCCAGGGAGAACAGCTTGAGTGGACCAGTAGGAAGGGACCAGATGGAAACTCTTGTCCCAAGACTTGTATAGAGAGGAGGGATGTACCACCTGTCTAAAACAGTGCAGGAAGGCCTTTTCTTCTTGGGGAGGAGGAGGCAGGAATCTTGCTTTCTATTAAGCTGTGTGTGTGTGTGTGTTGTCTGAGACCACACTGAACAGTTTACAGAACAACGAAGCAAAGCATTGGTACAGGATTACATTAGGGTATGCCCATAATCTTGAAAAAACCGAGGCAAAGAAGCCTCCCCAGGAAAGGCTGAAAGACCACAAGGCCAAAGGTCAAGGCAAAAGCTGAGAATGAGGGCTCCCTCCCTCTGATACCTTGCCTGTTGCTGCAACATCCCTTACAGAGAGGCATTTAATCTGAGGAAATGCCTGTTATGGAGTGGCATTGTCTCCTTACCTTGTCCCTGCCCCAGTGCCAAAGTGGCACCCAACATCCAGAGGCAGAAGTGGAGGCGGGAGCCTCGGGGGCTCATGGCGAGCAGCCTGCGGGAGGAGAGGTCACAGCCCTTCACCACTCGTTCATCTGTCTGTCCTCTCCATGACCAGAAAGCTAGTTTCTCCGTCCATTCCCATGGGCCAGCAGGGTGTCTCTACGTGTGTGGTGCCCAGAGGCCTACGACTTGTCATTATTGGAATGGTGACAGACACTGAGTGAGGATCTAAGACCAGCATGAAGCCATACTGGGACGTCCCACTGAACAAAGGACCCTTAGTTGCACAGCCTCCTTGTGTACTCCACAGTATCCTCTGCTGGCAACCAGTTCTCCTTGGGTAGGGCCCAGTGCAGCATGCTCGCCCATGCTCCTTCTGGTGCTCACATCCACAACAGACCCACACAGTGGGGTGTCGCCAAGAGTGGCGATACCTTGAAGCCCCAGCAGCCCCACATGGTGTCTGGGGTTGGCTTGGTTAGAATCCTACCATCAAGGTCTTCACATTGGGTGGCTTGCCCTCAAGCAAAGGAGACGTTTGAGACCAAATTCTGATTAGAGCAGAAGCAGGCAGTCACATCAGGGGGCACTGGGTAGGGATCAAAAGTTTTGGGAAACCTGGGAGACAATACCACTGCCCAGGGGTGGTATTTTGGAGGAGGGGCACAAACATGACCCAGTCTGGAATGTGTGAGCCTGAGGTGACCAGAGTCCTGAGGAATCCACTCCACTGAAGGAAGGACCTACAGCTGCACAGCTTCCCTGTATTCTCAAGGGCACCTTCTGCAAGGACTTCCGCTATCCCTGAGCAGGACCCAGATCTGCAGAGAGACTGCAGACTGATATAAATACCCTAGAGTAGTAGTTTTCAACCTGTGGGTCATGACCCCTGAGGGTTTTAACGGCCAGTTCACAGGGATGACCTACGACCATTGGAAAACATATATTTACATTATGATTCATAACAGTAGCCAAGTTAGTTACAAAGTATCAATGAAAATAATTTTATGGTTGAGGGGTCACCAGAAAACATGAGGAACTATATTAGGGGGTTGCAGCATTGGGAAGGTTGAGAACCACCATCCTAGAGTAGGTATGCATCCATGCAGGGAATTTAAACCAAGGCCTCAGTGCTGTGAACCACTGTCCCGTTGGTCTACAAGGTGCCACACAGATGTCCCTGACCTTCTGACTCATACTGAAGCCAGACCCCTTACTACCTCATGGCCAGGGTGGTCACAGCTGATACCAGCAGTGTCGCCTGAGACCCTCACAGGGTCCCCAGAACCTGCTCAGGTGTCCAGGCTGCACTTGGTCCCTCTGATTGTGAGGCCTCAGCACCTAGCCCAATCTTTCTGAAAGGTCAAAGTCACCCTCTAGTACAGCCCTGGGTGGATTCTCTGGTGGTCCCCTCACCCACCCAGCCCAGGGGCCATAGATGAGTTACTCACCTGCTCCGAGATAGTGCTCCCCTCTCCCCAATGCCTCTCGGCCCTCCCGATCCAGCCGTGCCCACTGCAAGGCTGGGGCTTATGAACGTCCCCCTTCCCTGACATCACTCGTCCCGCCCTTAAGTCCTCCCTTCTATCTGCTACTGCCTAGGGCGTGTTTCCAACAATGAGATGGTGGTCCCAGCACAAAGGACCCCATTTCGTGCCACGATGGGAATCCCACTAGGGGCAGTAGGGAACAGCCAAAAGCCTGTTCCACAGGCTTCTTGAGAACAAAGGCCAGCATGTGTGGCCCTGGGTGCTGAGTTGATAGCACTTGGGAGTCTCTGCTAGCCTATTTGGGGGAAGATCCACATAGATTCTACCCACCACTAGGGTTCATGATTTCTATTCCCTTCCTTCCTGTTTGCCCTAGAACCAGGCAGGTGTTTACCTGGAGCAGGCCCGTGCCTACACTGCTTACCACCTGGGATGCCCTTGCACTGTCTGCCTTCCTGAGCCACTCCAGAATTAATGGGCTAGGCAAGCTCTGCCCTCAGCAAAGCTCTTGGCAAGCTGGCCCAGCAGACTAGGCCTAGGAGAAAAGAGCCCCTGCTCCCACCTGAAGGCATGGCTTGTGAAGGCCTCCCATGGGACTAGTGCAGCCTCAACTTTGTTTTCAACTACACATTGGCTCCAACCCACCATATATCTTAGCCTGACCCAAGTTCTGCCTCCTAACTCTTACATCCACCCAGCCTGACCTCTAGCTTAGCCCCAGAGCCCAGCAGGATCCCAAAGCTGCAGAACCATCAGCCTTTCCTGTCTCACAGGACCCTGTGGGGCTCCCTACTGAGTTGCCCTGGGGATGGATAAGGGACTCACCCTGGGATATGTTCCTTGAACTGAATGACTTATATTCTACTTGGTCAGAGGTTATTCATGTCTGTGGGAACAGCAATTGCTAGGCACCTCCTCCATAGGTATTCTTCTCTGAGCTGAATCACCTCACCTGCAGGTTAGTTATGGCTGCCAATTATTCATCGTAGCCCCTCACATAATACCACCCTTGCCAGGTGACGAGGTGACAACCTGAGTTACACACAGCCTTGAGCAAACCTGGCCAATGACCAATACATAATCCAGGCAAGTGGGGCACAGCCTTCCTTATCAATGTTATGCCAAAAGCTCTAACCCTGGGTCCTTGCCCTGTTCCTAAGGACCCAAACAAATCCCACAACCTCAGATGAAGGCTCAGTGTCTGGAGACCTTCACTGAGGTCAGATGAAGGAGCTCATTCTGGTAATCTCTGGGTATGTGCATGTGTGGCTACAGCTTATAGGCACCCTGAAACAAACACTGTCATACATGCACTGACACCTCAGCACTCCCTGCACTGTGGTCCTCAGCTGGGCTACCCTGTATCTTCTCCTTCACACTGCCTGGTGACGCCCTGGAAGCTCTTAAACCAGAACAATGGCCCTGCTTCCCCTGTACCTAGCAATGGCATGTGTACACCCCACGCCCATGCTCTGGGATCTATGCCATAACCCATGCAAACCAAGCCAGAGCAGAGTGCCCTGGAGTCTGCTCATCTTTTTCCTGGACCACGGCTTGATAACAGGGGACCAGAAGATGTGACAACACAAGCCATCAAGTGTGTTGACTGGGAAACGGCTAGTGGACACTCAGAATATTATCAGCAGGGCTGACCCAAAGTGCCCTCTGGCCCAGCTGTTTGGGCAAGAAGTCTGGAGCAAAGCCTGACTTGAGAGACAGTTGCCCCTTTGGCGCCAGAGCCCATACTCCCCACAGCTAGCCAGAGGCCAAGACCAGTTTCAGCTAAGCACCAACTCCACTAAGGACACTTGATGGGAGACCATGCATCAGTATCAGCAAACCCCTGGACCTTTGGTGCTACGAGTGGACAAGACCCTCTGTAGGCCACTACTCATACAGGAGGCTCCACATTTCCCCACTAGACATCTCTTGGCCAAGGCCAGGATGATGGAAGGCAGAGGCAAACCACCACCTGCCCCCAAGAAGAATGTGGAGTCTCTGGATAACACTGCCCAGGAATGGCTACCTACCCAAGCCACAAGCTCAGGACCAGTCCAAGACAGCACCGCCTGATTCTCTCTCCTACCTTACAACCAGAGGCAGCCGGGTCACCTAGGTCCAGACTATCAACGTAAGTCTAACCAGGCCTATCCTCAAACCGTTGCCTCCTTGAAGCCCAGAAGTACCTGGCATGTTTGTGTACCTATACCCAAGGGGGAAGAGTCCTATAGGGTTTGTTTGTAGGATATACTCTGCCAAGTTCCCCATATACAGGCTCCAAAATCCAGCCAAAGGCTCTAGTACCTTGACATGGGCCTTACTTGCCGTTTCCTTCAGGAGGCTTGTACAAGTGATCTAGATGGAGGGCTCTGGGTTGTTAGAACAATCCTCAAGATTTGCAGTCCCTCTATTTACTGAACACAGTACCAGAGGAAACTGTAGGTATAGCGAGGGTCATTTCCCACTCCTAAAATGACCTGGAGCAGGCAGCTTCCCAGACCCACCAACAGATTTCATCCCCATTATGTCACCCTATATCCACGGACTCACGGTCTCTGCTCTGGGAATGTACCAGCACTCGGTATAGGTCTTTCCTCCATGCTCAGACTTCCATGGCTTTTGACCAACTTTCTATGTGCTCCCACAGATCCCATGGCTTCTCGCCCCATGTCTCTGACCTCTGATCTCATCTACCTGTGGTTGCTCTGCCAGTCACAAGTTCTGGGTATCTATCTCCCCTTGCTTTCCTAGCTCAGAGATGTTCTGTGACCCAACTGCCAAGCAGTATCCATGCCCACTTGAGGATAAAGCACCTACAAGGGCTCCCCAAACCTCAGGTCTATCAGTGCTGCAGAGAACCATGAATCCTCAAGGTGAACCAAGCACTGGAGCCTTAGGGTCCAGACAGCTCAACCCCAGGAGGTAGAAGCAAACATGACACACACAAACCACACAGAGCTTCAGGTCATGCACTGCTGGTCAAACTGAGGGTCAAGACAGGAGTGGGTTTAAGGAGACAGAGACCCAGCTGGGCTCTCCGGCCACAGCACACAGCAGTCATGGAATCCCGGGAGAGAAAGGCTGTCACAACAACCACTGATAGCACATGGGTCTCAACTGCAGTGTTCTACAAGGTCCACAGGGTGGGAGGAGGGGCAGTCTGGAGGGACAGCTGCATGCCGAGGAGACACGACCAAGTGTGCTCTGACCCTGAGCACCCTCAACAGGCAGGGAGAAGGCCTGGGCTGTCATACTCGTAGACACAATACATGGCAAAATACTAACAGATGCTCTGCCTAGAGGGGGGCTCCCCGTCAAGAGGCCCCAACCCTGACAGTGGCAGTTGGCCCCATAGCCCACCCGCCATGTTCAGGCTCCTCTGTACTGGGTGGGAGCGACAGATATGCTGAAAACACTCGCAGCCTCTTGGCTCCCCTTTCCTCATTTCTGAGCCGTCCAGGGCTGGCCAAGTTCAAGTCAGGTGTCCAGAGAGGGGCCGGAGCCCAAGCTGCCGTGTGTGGCCATCTGTGGAGTTTGTCCCATGAAACTGAGGGCTGGACAGGCTGATGCAGGAAAGGCAGAGGGTCACAAAGTGAGTTTCACAGCACAGGCCACAGGACGTGGACTTGGGTGAGGACGTCGGTGGCAGTGCGAGCTCCAGTATTGCTTTTGTCATTTCATTTCCAGCCTTAAGATTCCAGGCATTTTCTTCAAGGAAAAAAAAAAAAAGAACTAGAGCAAACCTTTCAAGTTTTAAAAGACACTTCAACAAAAGCAGACGTCTGGCTTGGCTGACACTGCACAGGACTGCAGTTCCAGGCTGTGTCAGGGCTGCAGAGATAGTGCCTGGGCCTCAAGAACCCAGAGTCTAGAAAGGCTGCTCAGAGGACCCAAGAGGCAGATGGATGACACGTCCCCTGAGGCCTAAGAGAAAGCCACCCCACACCAGGCAGGCAGCACCGACTCAAGTCCTGCCTGAGCCACTGTCTTCACACTGAGGTCAAATGAAGGAGGAACAAGAAGGGTAAAGTGCAAACACAGCCGTCTCCCAGCAGAGCTGGGGCCAAGGTGCAGCAAGGCTCCTACCAGTTCTGGTTGTCCCAGCCCTCATCAGTGGCCGTAGATGGGGCAGCCTTCTTGGTGGCCTTTGACCTTCCCTCCCCACTGGCTCCCTCCCAGCTCTCCCAGCCATCACTATTGCTGTTCTTGTTGTTGGATGCAGAACCTGAGCCCCAAACATCCCAGCTGTCCGAGCTCCTCCTCCCTGTTGAGGCATCTGCGTAGGTCCAGCTGTCACTGCTTGGAGACTTGGCCTTGGGGGGCTCAGAACTCCCGAAGGACTCCCAGAAGCTCTGGTCTATGGTGTTGTTCTGGGAGTTGTCTCCACTGCTGTTTTGGTAGCTGTGGCCCTCTAAGGGTCTATTATAGAGAGGAACAAATGCTCAGTAGTTATCACAGAAGCCGTCCAAGCTGCTCAGGTCTCAGGGGCTCTCTAGAACAAGACTCACCACTTCACAAGCCCAGCCTACATTTGATCAGGGCGTGGCTAATGCCTGCAACAGCTCCATGCTTCCTTTCTGGCTAGACCGGCTGCTGCCCTTTCAAGTGCTTGCTAGCCACCCTTATAGGGTCAGAGTACCCTACTAAGTGAGGGATCCTTTTCTTTGAGAGTTGACTTGGCCTTGGTAAGGTCCACCCTGGTGCTGAGGGCACAGAACTGTTAGAAGGGACTGAGTTCCTCCTGCTACCTCGATACATATTCCCAACCATCACCCGAACTGTAGGACATCTACTAGGGCACTGGGAAAGAGCATGCAGCCTTCTGCCCATGAGCCAGGGGCCCTGGGGGTGGGGGTCAAAGGGCAGTCACTTTGTCTCTAGTAAAGGACTATGTATACAACACTGGGCAGGGGATGCTAGGCCACGTCACCAGGGCCTGGGGCGGGGTCACGGCCTACCTGTCTGAAGTGTCCTCTGCTTTCCCCGAAAAGAAAGTAGTGACATCACGCCATCCCTTGCTGCCAACTCCCTGGACCTAGAAGGAGACATGAAAAGAAGCTGGGGCTCTGGCATGTGCTGCTCTTTTGAGAAGACCTGGGAAAAGCCTGGAGGAGTGTCATGGACAGATACAGACACACACATGTACACAGTAACAGCAGCAGTGCTGAAGCAACACTAGTTGTTGGCTGCTTAGTTAGATGCTCAGAGCATCTCTCTGCCTTCTCTGCAGAAGTAGCTCCTGTGTGGGCAAGACAATGCCACATGAGTAGCAAAAAGCATGGCCTTGTGCCAGGTGGTGGTAGTGCACATGCCTTTAGTCCCAGCGCTCAGGAGGCAGATCTCTGTGAGTTCAAGGCCAGTCTGATCTACAGAGTGAGTTCTAGAACAGCCAGAGCTACACACACACACACAAAGGCATGGCATTCCTAAAGTCACACTTAACACTTTGGAAGTACTCAAAAGTTTTGAGCCACCACAGGTGTTTACCACAGTGCAATGAAGGAGGTGTCCTACATTGCCACCACATTGGGAAATGATGACCCCACCCTTATTCCACCATGCTCTGAAGAGGTCACAGGACCAGCAACAGCTAACAATGGCATGAGCACTTACCAAGGGACAGGCCAACAGCAGCAAGACAGAAAAGAAACACAGGTTAGTGGCTGGCAAGTCCCCAGTAACCAAGCTGTTTCCATATTCCTCAAGCCCTCAGAAATCACAGGGCAGTGGCCACTGCCTCAGCTGGCCCAAGGCCCTGTGGGGCTCCAGAGTCTAGAATATGGAGACTGGCTTTGGCTGTACAAGTCAGCAGAGTAGCCCTACCTTGGATGCCAACTGAGAGACCCCACTGGACACATCATCAAAAATCCTTCCCTCCTTCACCTGTGCAATTTAAAGGGCACTGTTAGGAGGACTAAAGCTTCAGGGTGCAGAGACCTGTCACATTAAGTTCCCCAATTCCTACCAGGAGCCCATCCGGTAGCTTCCCAAGACCTCATCGCTAAGGAGGAACCTGTGCATTCCTGGAGAAGTTAACTGCTGTCCAGACTCCTGTTGTGAGGATGGGGACTACTGACTTCTCCCAGGGTTAATACCCTTCTGAAGATAAGTGTCACTGCCTGTGGCCAGGCCACTGGGGTAAACGGAAGGAAGAGCAAGTTCAGAGACACTCTTGGGAGCTAACTGGGGGGACTAAGGAGCCAGAGAAAATTATAGGTAAGATCTTGCTGATCCCCAATGTACCCATTTCCCCGGCCAATAAAGAGCCTCAGTGGTACACACAAGCACCTTAACCACTGGTGCCACCCATACCTTCTCCTGTGCAGGTTTGAGAACATTCTCATTCAGGCTGTGGCCCAACTCCGAAGCCTGTGGAAAGGGACACTATGTGAGCTTTACATGCAGCAACATCAGTTCCTGGACAGTAAGCAGGGGACAGCACAAGCTTTGCCAACAGGAAGGAAGGCAGTGGGATTATGGATACATGTGGGGAAGCAGGGTCGTAGAAGCGACACCAGAATGGAAGAAGAGCCAAGGCATGAAGGAAGCTCCCTCACAATGCTGGGAGCAGCTGGCCCTATCCCTCACAATGCTGGGGGCAGCTGGCCCTATCCCTCACAATACTGGGAGCAGCGCTGGCCCTGTCCCTCACAATGCTGGGGGCAGCGCTGGCCCTGTCCCTCACAATGCTGGGGGCAGCACTGGCACTGTCCCTCACAATGCTGGGAGCAGCGCTGGCCCTGTCCCTCACAATGCTGGGGGCAGCACTGGCACCAGTCCACAGTAAGGCGGACAGACAGGGCTGTGCTAACTGCAGGCCCCTCTTCATCCACTTCCTCAAGTAGGCACTGAGACTCACGTGGGAGAAAAGCCTATGTGCGAGACTGGATGGAAGGAGGAAAAAAGGGTAGGAGAAGTAGCAGATACAGCCTCTCCTGGTGCCACCACGGTAATGGCCATGAAGCTTTGAGCACCTTAAGAATATGACTTTCCGGGACCTTAACCTCAAAGCAAGACCAGATAAAAGGTTTGAAGGGGGATAATTCATTAACATAGGAAGGTGTGATTCCAGATGTTACCTGGTTTGGAATAATTAACCCATGAAATAAAAACTGAATTCAGAAGCCTTTCTATCCAGAGCCCACCAGGCCCAGACAACTGTGCTCAGGGAACACCAGGGCTATGGGCTATGGATCTTGGGAAGATGAGCTTCCAGCACCAGCAGGCCAGGAAGGTGACACTGGTGACCCAAACACAAAGGGAGATGAGCCAGGAGCAAAGCACATGCTTAGCAGACATGGGGCAGCATGCACCAGTAGAAACAGGGTTTTACCGGCTCTGAATGCTGCTTGTAACCCCAAAACTTGACCCAGTTGGCACGAAGGCAGTTGCAGAGAAAGAGCAGGTGGCGGGAGTCGCATTAGCAATGCCCCAAAATTTCGGAAAACACACCCCTCACCTTTCTCACAATTCAGCCCTTTCACCCTCAGCCGCCTGGTTGCTGGGCTTACGGTATTACCCTTTTATTACCTGCATCAGAACCACACTAATCCACACCAATCTACTTTGGACCTTGGCATCATTATTTCTCTGCTCTATATTTATCACAGTCTAAACTCCATGATATGCCTGAGGAGCCTGAGACCAACTCACACACTCTGAGGCTAAGTCAGGAAAGCTCTCTAAGGTGGATCACTAGGGATGCAGGACTGGGAAGCAGAAGTACATATGAACAGAGTGCTACAGGCCACAAGGACCTAAAATCCCGCCCACCTCACCACGGGGGACAGGACAGCCGACCAGAACTCTATGCATGGCAACTATTCTTATTCTCAGCTTGGAAGAAAAGTAAACTGCCAAGCCCTGACTGTCACTGCTGGCCACACAAACCAAGCTGCCAAGTGGGGATGCAGTGACACCTATCCAGCCAAACAGCCCAAGGTTGAGTGCCGGGGCCTAGACAATCCTTCCCATACAAGGCAGTTATGGCACCATGGTTTCATGTCTATTGGTGGCTGTGGCAGATGAGGAAGCCCTGAACACAGGAAGCACTGAGGTAGCACAGTGACACATGAGGACAAAGGAGGGCCTTCTTCACTAGGCCCTCAGACTCTGAGCATCCAGTCCAGGATGCTTCCAGACTCTGCATATGATATAAGACTAACAGGTTTTAAAGCAGAGAACAAAAGCTCCCCCCTTTTACCTTCTGACTTGCTTGGGATCCAAATTTTGTAGCCTAAAAGGGAAAAACAAAACCCAGCATTTTGTAGTCAAATTTCTTAACCCTGACCCAGAAGGCTTTATCTATATGGGGCCCAGGTGGAGTTAGTTCCAGAACACCCTCCTACCAAGTACCCAGGCTGTCAGCACCAACCTGGCAACAGCTCTCAGAGACCAGGTTGCTGTAGGGAGTCCTGGCTTAGCAGATGCTGTAACAAGCCCACAAACTGCTGTGGGTAAGGCATGTTTGGGCCCAGCAGCCACCCCTGCCCCTACTTGTTCAACATGTGGGCAGCATGGTCTCTCACTTACCTAGACATAAAGAACTGCTGACATCTGAGAAAAAGTAGGCCTGTGCACCGATGCCCAAGCTGGAAGGTAACTAGACCTTCCCTGGCACCGGTCTTTCTAGAGATGGACAGGAAGGGCAGATACAGTGGGCCAATACCATGGCCACACAGCCCAATCTTAGGCTGAAAGTCTACACTTTCTGGTTTCTTCCAGTGTTTGCCAGCTCATCGCCAGAGTCAGACATGCTGCCTATACAACACAGTCTATTCCAACAAGGACCCTCAAGTTCTCCTCTCATTTTAAGTAAAACCAAGGGAGGAACTAGACTATCCCAACACCACTCTCAAGACCCAAAGGCAAAAATTCAGGCACTGGTACCCGTCAGCTATTCACTAAGGACCGTGTCTGTCTCCAACCACATGAAGTCAAGTCAACTTCTGCAAGCAGTTTGTTATTGACACAAAAACAAACACCTTCTGCTACAGTAAGGGTTCCTGGGCCATCCTGCAGTAGACAAGGCCCATGCTTGTCTGCTGGAACGGTGAAGACCAGTGTGTGGAAGGACCCTGGGACCCTTCTCCCAGGACTCTGGGCCAGTGGTAGACAGCGTGCACCCAGTTACTTACACCCTCCTTCGCCGCAGAAGCAAACTTGCTCGCCCCAGTGGTAAAACTGCTCCAGCCCTGAGAAGACAACAGAGAATGTTGGAGCATGGCTTTTCTAGACCCTGTACATGCCACACTCTTGACACAACGGCAAAGCAGGGCTCCACAGAAGGCACTTCAAACACTTCTACAGCTTGTGACCAGTCATAGGCAGCCCAGTGCTGTAGTATCCACACTCCCCTTGCCAGCTGCTGCACACGGCACACTTCAGTACTGCCCTTCCCAAGAGGAAGGACTAAAACGCCAACCACAGCACAGGAAGGCTACCAGGGCTCTTGGGCAGAGGTAAAGGGTGTCGGCAGAGCTGTGCTCACTTCTTTCCTTACTCCTTCCCGCCTTCCAGAGGAACAGATGGTGATGGGCAAAGGCTTTCCTCTAAATTCAAAGTTAAAGCTACTTCAATATAAAACACCCCCCTTAGACCAAAACTGGCTTTTGTCCCCCCAAGATAGTGCAGAGGAACCAATATACTTTAAGAGACATCTATAATCACTGGTGTTCCTTAGAAAAGGTCATCAGGGGCTGGAGAGATGGCTCAGAGGTTAAGAGCACTGCCTGTCTGTCAGGAAAACGGGAATCAGTCTACCACAAGATCCAGCAATTCCACTTAGGCATATACCCAAAAGATGCACATTCATACAATAAGGACATCTGTTCAACTATGCTCATAGCAGCATTATATGTAATATCCAGAACCTGGAAACAACCTAGATGCCCCTCAGCTGAAGAGTGGATAGAGAAAATATGGTACATTTGCACAATGAAGTACTACTCGATGGAAAAAAACCAATGGAATCTTGAAATTCGCAGGCAAATGGATGACATTAGAAGAAACCATCCTGAGTGAGGTAACCCAGTCATAAAAAGATAAACATGGTATGTACTCACTCATATATGAATTTTAGACATGGAGCAGGGGATTGTCAGCCTACAATCCCACCACCAGAGTCAGGGAAACAGGGAGGATCCTAAGAGAGATATGCATGGTACCCAGAGAAGGGGAATGGGACAGGATCCCCTGAGCTGATTGGGAACATGGGGGGAGGTGATGGGGAAGTCCTGTGTGTATGTCAATAAAGCACTATTGGCCAACAACGAAGCAAGACAGGTGGGACTAGGAGTCCAGGAGGACTTTGGGTAGGAGAAACACAGGGAGTCAAGATGTAACCGCCATAGGGGTAAATACTTAAGTCAGAGATAGCCAATAAGAAACAAGCAAGGCCAACAGCTTCATAATTAATACAGCGTCTTGTGTGTTATTTGGGGACTACAACGCGGCAGAGCCCAGGCGACTGGCGGGGGGGGGACCAATGCGGCTGGCAAGGAAAAGTCTTCTCTTTACAGGGAGGGGAAAGGGAGCTGGAAAAAGAGAGGAGGAAAAGAGGAGGGAAGAGGAGGGCATGGGGGAGCAGGAAGATTTAGTTGGGGGAAGAATAGAGAGCAGGATGAGAGATACCATAATAGAGAGAGCCACTATAGGTTTGAGGAGAGATATGGCACTAGTGAGATTTCCAGAGATCTACAAGGATGACACCAACAGGCAATCTAAGTAATAGTGGAGATCTGCCTGCCTCTGCCTCCCCAGTGCTGGAATTAAAGGTGTGTCCTACCACGTCTGACCTATTCCCTCCTCTTTTCACTTGCAGCATCCAGGAATGGATGTATAACCTGGCACTTAGCAGCAGCCCCTGCCGGCCCTTCCGGGTGCTTGCATTTATGATTACTACAGAACACAACACCGCAAAGAACAAAAGTAGCTTTAAAAATATTAATTTCTGGAGGAGCGATAATATGAACAAAGGAGTCAAGACCATGATGGGGAAACCCACAGAATCAGCTGACCCGAGCTAGTGAGAGGTCAATGACTCAGGTCTGACAAATGGGGAACCTCCATAAGACCAAACTAGACTCCCTTAATATAGGTGACAATGGTGGGGCTGGGACAATATGTAAGGCCACTGGCAGTGGGTCCAAGACCTAACTCTAATGCACAAACTGACTTAGTGGAGCTCATTCTATATGGAGAGATACCTTGCTCAGCCTAGACACAGGGGTGTGGGGGATGGGGAGGTGCCTTGGTCCTGCCTCAAGGAGATAATGGGACAGACTTAGTAGACTACCTAGGGGAGGTCTTACCCTCCCTTGAGGAGCAGATGGGAGGTTGGGTGGGAGTGGAGGAAGTTGGGGGAGCAGGAGGAGAGGAGGGAGGGGAACTGGGATTGGAATATAAAAAATAAATTAGTTTAAAAAAATATTAGCTTCCTAGAAAAAGCAAGCCTAAGATGCCATGCCCCGAGGTTCTGACCTGGAGCTTCCAAGCTGCCCTGAAAGCAGACAAACTGCCCCCAACCCAGCACCACACCCCAGCAGAATGTCAGAACCTTGGGCAGCTTCTGCTCGGGGCCTCACTCCCTGAGTCAGCCTACCCAGCACAGGCCAGAAGGCTGGGTCGGTCTTCTGCTGAACTCAGGACACAACCTGGAGATGAGAAGTACACAGGCTCCATGGAAAACTTAGTGCTTTGAGGAAATCTACTCTGGTAAATTTGAAATACATCTCTATGGCCAGATTAAGCAAGTGGCTGAACACATTTGGGATATTAATAAAAGACCATCGTTTTCATAAAGAACCATTCACTGAAGGTAAACAAGAAAGGGCCTTTAATCAGATCAAAGGGTCTATGCCCCAGAACTACCCACTCTATCCACGAAGGGTCCTCCTTGTCCTGGCACTGGACAACCCTCTGGCTATGCCTGCCACAGGAGGCACTCTACTGAACCTAGGTCTCCTTACCGAGTACAGGGACGACATGGCATTGTTGAGGAAGTCGTCTTCTCTCTTCTGAGGTGGCACTGTGTTTCCAAACCCCACGTATCGATTCTCCTGAGCTCTGAAAAATCAACATAGACATCACTAGCCACACCATGAACTCTGCCACTCCTCAACAGTGATGCTGGCCACCAGGAGAGGTGCCTCATCCCTCTCAGAGGACACACTGCATTCTGGACAATGGGCACAGGAGCTATATAGATACTTTCTGTCACACGACCTGAGGGTCCCCAGCAAGACCCAACCCCAATAAGTGGGGTTACTGGAAAGCGCCATTTACAGGCCAGGCAGATTCCAGGAAGAAAATGCATCATCTTTAATATTGGGTTTTCTCCACATTCAAAACCTCCATTAGACCTGGCCCATCTTGGGGTTTGCCGTACGTGGACTCTGGATCACACACACTGTGGACATATACAGAAGGAGCAGGCCCAGCTTACCCTACAAGAAAGAGGCCCAACCCAATGGCGTAAACCCCTGCAGGGTGGCCTGTCAAAGCTGCCCTTAGCTGCTTGCTTGCTATTCCTGGCTTAAGAGGCCTTACCCCTGATAGGAGCCCAGGTCATCATTCAGCCAGTCTTCAAAAGCCTTGTCGCCAGAGGCAGTCACATTCTGTGGCTGACCAGAGGGTCTGAAACAGACAGTTAAAGGCCAGTAAGGCCTTGACAATACCAGACGAAACCACACAGTCTTTGTGATGAGGACCTTACATCTCATATATGGGGTCAAGCAGCAACCAGCTCTGACCCATAGGATGCTCAGGCATAAAGTCCAGTGGTTCTCTGCCCAGTTAACAGCAGCTGACAGTGAATTCTACACTTGCCAGGGTTGAGACCTGGGAAATAAGACTGAAGCCACCAGCAGCGCTAGGAGCTTCTGATTAAGTTCTGTAGATGTGCCGTCATTCAGTGTACACAGTCATCTCTTGGGCCTCACCTGTCTTACACCAGCCTCCAGGGGGGACACTCTTCACAGTGGAACCTGGTGTGCACAACAGGGATCTGTACCATCTTGGGGCCTAAACTATGGTATGACCAACAGCTCACAGAGGAGTGACCACATGCCATAAACACACAACCACATCCCTAAAGGCACTGTTCATAGTGTTGTATGGTACACCTGCAAGGAGAGGGAGGAACCAACCCTCCTGCAGAACAGGGCAAGACGCTACTTCCTATTTGAGGTAAATTTTTATTACAAGTTTGCACTGTTTCAGAAATGTTAAAAGGCTACTTTTCACTGACTTCTGGGAATAGCTCACAATCGGAGCTGTTTTTAACAAGTGGAAGAAATGAGGTTTCTATGGGAATCCTAAGCTACCACTAATGTGAGGTGAAGTCGAGATCTGACCAGCAGGTCAGAGGAGCTACCGGTGGGCAGTGGGTTGCAGCATCTTGGGCTGAGGTGGGGTCCAGTTCTGGGCAGGCGATGACTCCAGAGACCACTCTCTACCTTCTGCCAAAGTAGCCACCTGACAAGATGACACAACATATAAGGAGATATACCATGTACTCAAGCACATCCAACCCTACAAGTTAGTACCACAAAGCCATGAACAAAGGCTCTTATGACGATGAGAGTGCCAGCGAGTTACTGGCCACTATGGTTGCAATTTAAATGCCCGGGACTCATTAATTTGAACCCCCCCCCCCGCCGCCGCATGTGCCCCAAATCTGAGGAAGGCCAAATTTTCAGAGGGTCTGCTAATGAGCTAATCTAAGGCACTATGATCACTGTTCCTTTCCTCCCTTTAATTATAGGTCATTTGTGTTTCCTGTGGGCAAGAAGAGCCTTCCCTAGATTTAGTAAAGGCCACTTATCCTTGTCTGTTCTTGGACAGTGCATGGCCCCCACAGATGTTCAAAGTGACAAAAAAAGCCTGCCTCCATAAGACAATAAAACCACATCTGGCCACTGTGGAAGCGTGTGCCATGCACTCGCCTCTGTGTGTGAAGCAAGCCAATTCAGTCCTTACCTTATCCCTAAAGAGTGCTGCGGCTCTGCTGCTGTACTTGTCCTGCAAGGACCAGTTAGGCTCAAAGTCCTCCTGGGCCTCCAGGAACTCTCGGAACTTAGCATTCCCACCAACCTTCATCTTCTCAAGCTCGATGTCCTTCCATTTGTCCATTGTCACTGAGCGCACAAAGCTGGAAACCACATGTCTGATCTGATCACCAAGTATTAGGGGCCCCAAGTAGCTTCCCAACCCAAGATCACGTCCTGAGCTAGACACAGGTGCTTCTAGTATTGAGGCAGAAGCCAGAAGAAGCTGGTGTTAGTGGAGTGAGGACCACCTAACAAGGTGGAGGACTGTTCCCTCACATCCTGTCAGACAGGGGTTTGAGCAGCAGGCCCCACAACATGGATAGTAGGACGGAAGCAGAATGTGCAGGAGCTGAGTGGCAGGAAGACACTGACCTGAGGTGCACCCCAAGCCCACGGTGTCTCCCAGAGCATTCCAGGCAGATCCAGATGCCGTAAGTCACGCTGACCCACTGAGGATTGAATGCACCACACTCAAAGCAAACCTGCAAAGGGGAGCCACACGCAACTCACCAAAGATGCTCCAAAAATATTCAGAAGAGGAATGCCCCACATGGGCAAAGACTGGACTAAAGAGAGCTAGTGCCAATAAGCCCAACAGGTGGCTCAAAGGATGTGGGTTCAGGACAAAGGGGGAGGTGGCATGAAGATAAAGAACCTCTCATGAGAAAAATGTTCAGGAAGGAGACCAAGCACCCTCAGCACAACCTGAGCAGTATGACAGACGTCCCACACCCTACAGCCACACAAGTGAGCACCAGCGACAGCTCCCCTGTGACATGATCAGCCCCTCCAAGGAGGGACACATAACAGTAGCTGCATCTTACACCAAGACATCCACCTGCCCACCCAAGCCCAGCCCACAGGTTCACACTCACATTGTTCTCATCCTGTGCCCTGACTTCTTTAAGCACTTTTCTGGTTCTTGGACTGGCCATGGCTCTGCAAGGAGGAAAGCAAACCCTTACAATGGCTTACTATGCAAGAAAGAAAATGACTCGGTCGTGCAACAGCACTAGAGATGACGTCGTAAGATCTGCCACAAAGCTGCTCTGGTTTGACAGTGGTAGTCCTGCACAGTCCGGGAGCCACTTACCAAGGAGGCACTTCACATGGGGGGAGGGAATGCCATGAAGTACGAGTTCAGCTACTACGTGCCTGATAAAAAAGTTCTGTCATTTGGTGATAAAACTCACAAGGAGTTGACTTTACAAAACACATGAAGATTGGCTGCTAAATCTGTTTCCCTACTAAGAAGGGCAACTCAGTGGTGGAAAAGAGCATTTCTCACTTCCTACCTCCCTACCAGCTCTCCCAGCTGGTGCAGGAAGCCCTGAGGCTGCAACAAAGGGCAAGGAAGTACTCCTCGAAATGGTGTGAGTCTGTGAGATAATACAGCCACAGGACACATTAACGACCAGGCCACCCGCACAGAGCCTTTGGTGGGAACAGCAGTAAGGCTTGGCTGAAGAGAAAAAGCTCATTTCCTTTTTTAATATTCCCTTCCTTTCTTCTGTCTGTTTGTGCCTGTCCATCCACATGTATACCTGTGTACACACACATTGAGACCACAGGTTACAGGCTGTGTTCCTCAGATTTCCATCCTGTTCCTTTGGGTACTGAACTTGGAGCTCCACTGGAAACAAGCTCCCACAATCTTCCAGTTCCCATCCTCCAAGGTTGGGGTTATAGACATGTGCAGCCATGCCTGGCTTTTATGTAGGTACTGGAGATTTGAACTCAGATCCTCACACATATTATAGAAAGTGCTCTTATCCCCTGGACTGTCTCCTTAGCCTCTATTCTTTTCTTCATATTGGCCAGTTTCGGCAATGATTAACTTTAGCTAGTGGGGTCCATTTAATTCAGGACTGGGAAAATAATACAAAAGGAACACTGTGCCAACCACAAGGCTGGACATAAATAATCCCAGTGTTAATGCACACACCAGCACTGAGGATACTGGAGGCAGAACCTGGGCCTCTAGCCATCCCCCTTGCTAGCCTACCAGTCAGGTGTGGTCTTTCCAGAACTCACCCATCCCAATAGTCATGCTGTTTCCTCTAATTCACAGGGCAACACACGTAAAACAAACAGACAAACAAAACTGGTAAGTCCTCTGACAGAAGCTATAGGTTTTCGGTGTTACACCTTGCTATTTACTTACTGTTAGGCTGAAAACAACCATTTTCTACTCATGTGGATCACACAAAAAAATACCAAACAGAAAGCCTCTGTTCTAAATACTATATTTCATTTTGAATAAATCTGAAGAAATATGGTGTTCGGTAAAGAGGATCTTGACTCCCGACCCACCAATTCTCCTGAATCTTGAAATGTCTGTCTTTCAGCATGACTAGGATCCCCTTCTGCCCGATGTCACGAAATACTTGTTTTCTGTAACTGTTTGAAACTAAGTCCTAGCTCACTCTGGCTTCTTTCCACTGTGTTAACTACATGTTAGAATGGCATCCTAAAGCCACGAACACACAAATGCAGACTCCTGCAATGTGGGATGCAGGCCCTGGCATGACTCATTCAGGCAGAACAGTTAGCACCCCAGGCATCCACTCATGCACACCCCCAGACAGTTCAGAGCTTTTAGAGAGACACCGGAAGATCTGAGTCCACAGATCCCTCTGCATTCTTCTCCGGCAGCTACATGAACAGCCATCACCAACCAAGACCAGTGCAGGTTTCTATACTCAGCCCCAATATCCAAAGCACTGAGCCTGCCAGAACTACACAAAGGATGCAAACAAAGGCAAGAAGTCAGCATCTCACCAGACTACGCTGAAGTTCTGACTGTGTAAAATAGAGCAGAAGGACAATCACAGCTATGGGGGGCTTGGGGGGAAAGTAGATGATTCGGCTTGGGCTTTCTTTGTTTTTGAGACAGGGTCTTTCTATATTCCCCTAGCTGTCCTGGAACTCACTATGCAGCCTAGGTTGGGCTCAAGCTCACAGAGACCCACCCGCCTCTGCTTCCCAAGTGCTGGGATTAAAGGTGTGCGCCACCATGCCTGGCTTGGCTTGGATTTAAGGGACTGTCCTGTCTGGCAAACTTTGGGTACTGGTGAGTAATCACTTAACTAAATGTTGTTTAGTAACATGGAAACACGTTCCTCACTTTCATGGGCCTAAATACAGACCCAAATCTTTAAAAAAACAAACAAACAAACAAACAAACAAACAGCCAGGCGGTGGTGGCGCACGCCTTTAATCCCAGCACTCGGGAGGCAGAGGCAGGTGGATCTCTGTGAGTTCGAGGCCGGGCTGGACAGACAACCTCCAAAACAATACAGAGAAACCCTGCCTCGTAAAACCAAATAAAAACAAACAAACAAACAAACAAAATTCTAACTTGGGTGTGTATAGCATGTCCACAGTACATGCCTAGAAGTCTAGAAGGTGAGAGTCAGCCATTTCCTCCACGTGAGTTCCAAGGATCAAATTCAGGTGGTCAGTCTTGGTGGCATCCATCTCACCCACCCCTAAGAAGTCTTAACAGCTGAAATCATAAAATGACCAAAAACAAAAAACAAAAAAAGAACCTCTTCCTTCAAGTAGACATAACCAGTAAATACTGAGCAAATAAGGGTATTTTCAGGCTTTACTAAGCTCCACATCACACTACAGAGCATTTGGTTCTTAAACTGGGACGTGATCAATCTCTGAGGTCAAGAGGGACATTTGGGAACATAGCTTGGCCCTAAGGCTACATACACTGTGGGTGACAAGGAGAAGTACTGTCTTTCTCAGAACAGCACACAAAGAACCCATGTCTAAGCTACGCCTCCTCGCTCTGAAGAACTGGTAGTTTTGGAGCATTCCCTTGCCCGGGACCACAGGTAGGGCTCCAATGCTGCAAACACAGCGCAGCAGAAATACGAAGCCTGAAACGGTGGATTATTTCTGACCTGTGGTGCCTTAAGAAGACAAACATAAGCACATCCTTTCTAGTGAAACCGAGAAAAGGTTTAGAAGCCTGGTCCTTTGGGGGATTTTTTTGATGGTTAGGTTTCTATTTATTTATTTTTTTTCTTCTTCTTCCTTCTGCAGGGTACTCACTTCAAAGGCCAAGAAGGTGCTATCTCAACCAGCTGAGGCTAGGGAGTCTGGCTTCCCGGCACCTCTGGGCAGAATCTTCTTTTGAAGTGATGAGCCCTTTTCCCGGCCAACTGGGCTGTGCAGAGAGGCCACGTAGCTCCGCGAAACCGTGAAGAGCAGCAGGCTCAGGGGCCGAGGGGTCTGGACGGCGGCGGCGGCGGCGGCGGCGGCGAGGAGGAGGTCCGCTCGCGATGGGGCCGCCGCTGGGGACCGAGAAGGGCAGCCGCACACTGGGATCCTGGAGTTTGGGGGTCCGAGGAACGGGAACGTTACGGGTCGGAAGCCTGGGGAGTCCGGGGCCAGGAAGCTAGGGAATGGGAGGGACGGGGAGGAGGCGGGGGCCGTGGAGTCAGGGCTGAAGACTGGGGGTGTCGGACAGTCGGGGTGCTAGGGGACCAGGGCCTAGGCCCGCAGCACCGAGGGTTAGAGGACCAGGGACTGGGTAAGGTGAGAACAGGAAGGTCAAGGAACGGAGGGTCCGCGGGTCCCCGGGGTGTCCCGGCTACGAGCTCACCTGCTGCCCTCCTGGGGTCCGGTCGGCCAGAGTTGCCAAGCTGGACTGGGTGTCCCGAGTCCCCCTCACCAGCCGCCAGCAGCTTCCGGCTACGTCGCGCTTCGAAAGGACTCCTGGGAGGCCTGCGAGGCGTTACTTCCGCCTCCTGCGCGCGAGCCCCGAAGCGCGCCGGTCTTCCGGTCTGTCCAGATCTTGGGCCGCGCGCCGAGTTTGCGGGGTTGCTCCGGCGCGGGATGTGCCGCCTGGCAACGCGGAGAGGGTGGGATCCACGGTGCCGACCCAGGCTGAACCCGAGCAGAGGACCCGGGGTTTAAAATAGACTTGGCGCCAGCTGTTCTGGTCAAATCACTGGAGTTAATTGCTGGTGGTTTTTTTGTTTGTTTGTTTTGTTTTGCGTTTGCTTTGGGCCTCTCTGTGCCACGCATTCCTTCCGCACCGGGTGCTTGGCTTTCTTTATGTTTTTATTTTTCGAGATAAGGGTTTCTCTGTAACCTTGGCTGTCAGCCTGACCTCGAACTAGAGATCCGACCGCTGGGATTTAAAGGCATCCGCCATCCCCGCCCGGCTCGCGTTAGCCCTTCAGATTGACGAAACGTTAATGTTTTTATTGAGGTCAAACCAAACCCACCTGCATCGTACCAACATAGGGTTGGTACCGTGTACCACCATCAGTGACAATGCGTCCCTTCTTACCTCTACTGTTGGGAGTTTCTGTCACAGATTCAGAACTTTGTATATAAATAGAATTACGAAAAATGTGGTCTTAGATGACTTATCCACAACCTGATTTTTGTGATTTTTTAGACTGGCTCTCAACGCTGTAGCCCAGTTTAGCCTGGAACACAAGGTAGGCTTCTGCCTCCTGGGTTCTGGAATTACGGGCTTGAGACACCTCACCCGGCCTCATAGAATGGTGTCTTTGGTTTCTTGAGACAGACTCTCACTACGTAGACCGGGATGTTCACAGATAACCTACCCTCTGCAGGCTCATCCAATGGCCAAATACAGGGGACAGGAAGCTCCTTAAGACTGAAATTAAGCTAGATATGATGACTTAACCTTCCACCTCCTGTATACTTAGACACATATCACCAATGCCGCTGGAATCTTGGGTAAGGGTCTTGTGACTCCTCTCTTCCATCATTGGGCTGCTCTGTTTATTTTGTTGATCTGGCTGAGGGCCACAGTCTTCTGGAGGCCACCATGGTGGTTCTCCTCCATAACTGTGATGATCATGTCATGCCCACATGACACTGCAATATAAATAACAGAGGAGTAGGTAGGGCCTTGAGTGCAGACCCTCAGTGACGTGGGCCAGCGTGGTCCAGAGGGCCTGGTGGCTGCCAGCAAGGGTAGCAGGATCACCTGAGGAAACATCTAGAGCTACACAGGGCTCGTGAGGTGTGTTGGAGTCCATTTTGCAAATGTAAGGTTGTACACGTATGTACATGCTATAAACATGTACATGTATGCTTGTATGTGTGTGTGTGTATGTGGAGTGTGGGTCAGTGATCCCTACTTGTGTGTGGTGTGTGTGTGAGTGCTGTGTGTTTAGGATCTCACCTCCAGACTCCTAGGCCTGTGGTTCACCACACTTTATCTGCATAGAGGCAACAGGTACAGTTACGGGTTGTGTTGAGGGCGGGTGCCTACTTAGGGTCACTCTGTAAAACAGGCGATGCTATGTATATATTGTGCGGCTAACACGCCGGGGTTCTGTGACGGGCAGAAGGGTAGGTGTGGACTTTGCCCACCCGTGGCCTTCAGGTCAGGCTGGCTGAAATGCTGTTTGGCAGGCAGAAGCAAGCAGACCTGACCCTATAAGTGGTCCAGAAGTACCTTGGCCAGTGTAGGGTGTGGCTCTCAGGTTACACCCATCCTGATCAAGTCATCCCTTCCTGCTTGAGTTTGCCAGTTTTGTGTCACAAACTAGTCATTTGAGAGGAGAGAGCCTCGATGGTAAAAATGCCTCTAGAATAAATAAATAAATAAATAAATAAATAAATGCCTCTAGAACAGTGGTTTTCAACCTTCCTAATGCTGCGACCCCTTTAATACAGTTCCTCATGCTGTGGTGACCCCCCAACCATAAAATCATTTTGTAGCTATTTCATAACTATACTTTTGCTATTGTTATGAATCATAATGTAAACATCTGATGTGTGACCCCCAAAGGAGTCACAACCTGCAGGTTGAGAACCAATGCTCTAGAAGATCAGGCTGCAATTAGGCAAGCCTGTAGGACATTTTCTTAATTAGCGATTGATGTGGGAGGGCCAAGTCCATTGTGAGTGGTACTACCCTGGGCTGGTGGTCCTGGGTGCCATAAGAAGCAGGCTGGCCGGGCGTTGGTGGTGCATGCCTTTAATCCCAGCACTCGGGAGGCAGAGGCAGAAGGATCTCTGTGAGTCTGAGCCCAGCCTGGTCTACAGAGTGAGTTCCAGGGCAGCCTCCAAAACAATACAGAGAAACCCTGTCTCAAAAAACCGAAGAAGAAGGAGGAGGAGGAGGCTAGCTATGAGGAACAAACCAGTAAACAGCCTTCCTTTGTGGCCTCCGCATCAGCTCCTGCCTCCATACTCCTGACCTGTTTAAGTTCCTGTCCTGATTTTCTTCAGTGATGAACAGTGATGTGGAAGCTAAGCCAATAAACCTTTTCCTCCCCAAGTTGTTTTTGGTCGTTTTTGCCACAGCAAAATAGTAACCCTAATTAGAACACTGCTCCAGGAAGCACCACTGCTTGTATCAAACCTCTCAGATGTCAGAGTCCTTGAGTGTTAAGGTCACCCTGAAGACGTTCTCCACAGCGGACCCATTCTCATCGCTTACCTGGGATGTTTCCCCACAGCATTCAGTAAGCATGTAACCCTGACTGGCCTCCAGGGGGCAGGTCAGCCCTTTTGGGGGCTTCATCAGAAGCAGCTTACGCTTGCCAGTCTCCTGATAGTCTGTGGAGGAAAATACTGCCGTGGAAGGACTAGATAGTTCTGGCAGGCCACCCAGGGTTAGGACACTAAGAGTGGATCCAAGGAGGACTGGTCAGGTGCAAGCAGACATGGAAGACTCTTGCCCTGTGTAACAACTGGAGTAAACTGACAAAGAAGTTCCTGGTGACAAAAGACCATATAGTAAGGAGCCTGGTTGGCCTGAACTGGCTCAGCCAGAGGCAGAGATGAGCCCTCCCATACCAGGCCTACTGAGGAATTCAAAGTTCACAAAAGTAAAATAGTGGGGGGCTGGAGAGATGGCTCAGTGGTTAAGACCACCAGCTGCTCTTCCAGAGGACCCGGGTTCGATCCCCAGCACCCACATGGCAGCTCACAACTGTCTGTAACTCCAGTTCCAGGAGATCTGACAACCTCACACAGACATACGTGCAGAAAAACATCAATGCACATAAAAAAAATTAAAATTATTTTTAAAAGAGTAAAATAGCGGGCAATCCTGAATCCTCATTACTGGACCTGTTATTTATCCCCAATTGCAAGTGTACCATGCAGCTAACACCCTGAAATGGCAGAGTAAGCACAGGGTCTTTGTAGGTCACTGTCAGCCCCTGTGCAGAATTGGAAACCCAGTGTCTAACCATACCTACATCCTCTGTAATAGTCACACCATTGGCCTTCTAGGTGCCCACGACACACAGCTCCTTTCTCCATAGAGGTGGCCTCTGGTCTCCAGAGAACGTATATCATTCCTTAGCCAACTGCTAAGAGGGGGGAGAACAAGCACCTCCCCTCCCCACCTCCAATGGGGAGCAGGGTTGGGTCAACTGTGGCTTATCTCTAGCTGACAACATACTTGCTGCATCATATCCCCTTGAAATTCAGATGGCTCCCAGTGCCTTGTGCAATTGTGTTTAATTGTCGCAGCCTCCCTCTGCTGGGTGTCAGCAAGCTTCTGTCTTTGCTATGTGCTGAGCAGAGCGGTGGTAATTTTACTGTTTGGGTTTTTTGTTTTGTTTTTTGTTTGTTTGTTTTTGTTGTTTTGTTTTAAGTGAGGCTGAGGCTAGGCAGCAGGCATTAGCACTTGTATACCCACCGAAGCCTTTGCTTTCCTGGTTGTGAGTGTGTGTGTGAGTGTGAGTGTGTGTGTGAGTGTGAGTGTGTGTGTTGTGTGTGTGTGAGTGTGAGTGTGTGTGTGAGTGTGAGTGTGTGTGTTGTGTGTGTGTGAGTGTGAGTGTGTGTGTGTTGTTGTGTGTGTGAGTGTGAGTGTGAGTGTGTGAGTGTGAGTGTGTGAGAGTGTGAGTGTGTGTTGTTGTGTGTGTGAGTGTGAGTGTGTGTGAGTGTGAGTGTGTGTGTGAGTGTGAGTGAGTGTGAGTGTGTGAGTGTGAGTGTGTGTTGGTGTGTGTGAGTGTGTGTGTGAGTGTGTGTGAGTGTGTGTGAGTGTGAGTGTGTTGTGTGTGTGAGTGTGTGTGAGTGTGTGTGTGTGAGTGTGTGTGTGTGTGTGTGTAATAGCCTACCCCTCCAGATCCTTCCTGAATCAGGAGAGAAGAATGTGAGCAGGCTCAGGTCCACCCAGATAAGGCAGTGTGGATTGGCCATGATAGAGAAGAGCCTGGTAGTATCCAGTCTGCCAACTCCATGCTACATTCTTGCTGTGTTTGGGAGGGCCTGGGATTGGATTAGAGGAAACTAGAGGCATGTCGGAGCAGGCAGCACTGCAAGGTCAGGAAGCCATGCGACTTCCAGAAGGGCAACTGTCTTGGGCTGTCCTTCCATCCTAACCCTCCAAGGAACTTGCAGCTGTGTTGAATCACATTTGGTCACAGTAGCTAAGAATATGCCAGGACTGGCCAGCTCCTCAAATTGCAGTCGCCCCCCCCCGTTTTCCGACACAGCGTTTCTCTGTGTAGCATTTGGAGGCTATCCAGGAATTTGCTCTGTAGACCAGGCTGGCCTCGAACTCACAGACATCTGCCTGTCTCTGCCTCATGAATGCTGGGATTAAGGGAGTGTACCACCACAGACAGGCTCAGATTGCAGTCTTGATGGTTCAGATCTCGGGTCTGTAATGGTCAGGACCTAAATAGTCTCTATGACTTAGCCCCTCCCATTCCTATCTTAGATGAGAGTCTTTCTTGATTCTAGTTGCTAGAAACAGATGCCCAATCTTAAATGAAGAACACAAAGAAAATGTGCTAATCCAGGTGAAGACTGGTCATTGGAGAGCAGTCAGTCCACGACTTCAGGCCAGCGTAGTTGTGTGCTCCTTGGTTGTCAAACACACTTTCCCTGAGTGGTGGGTGTGTTTTTACCTTTTTTGTTCCCAGATCCAGCAAGGCTATAGCCTTCCTGAGGAAAATGCTGATGACTGATTAGTGGGACTTTGTTGGTCTTTTCTGTTCTCTACAGGTGTCTTAGACTGGGCTATCCTCCTTTAGAACCAACCATGGGAGGAAATGTGGTAGACTCTAGCTTTTAGAGGTTTGTAGTTCCAGATAATGGTAACAGTGTATACACATATATGGACTGTCCTGCATGTGTACAGGAATCTCAGTGTGAAGCTATCAAGGACCTCTGAATCCACCTGTCCCAGAGACTACTGCCTGGAAGGAGGGATGGCTGATGTGTGGTAGCTGCACCTTGACCTGTCCAGGAGATGAGAGAGGAACAGGATGTTGGGTCTCTGCTGAAGGCAGGGGAAGGTTGCTGGAGGCCAGAAGGCCCAGGAAGATCACTTGATGGGATTGTTGGAGCCACGACTTCAGACTTGGTTATGTCCAGACTGAGGTATCCAATACCAAACCCATGAGCCTGGAGCTGGCTTACAGAGGAAATACAGGACTAGTGTGAGACCTGGGATTGAACTGAGGGCTCACAGGACGAGGCCCTGGGGATTCTTGAGTTAGTGGGTAGTCCAACAAAGGCTGTCTTACCAACGGAAAGTCCAAGAATCCATAGTAGTTGCTCAGTCCATGAGGCTGTCTCAGCTGGTCTTCGGTATACACTGGAATTCCAAAGAAGTAGGCTCTAATGTCAATGAAGGAATATACTTTCCAAATGAGAGTGAGGATAATCAGGCAGAAAGGGAGGGAGAGAGGGACACAGAGAGAGAGAGAGAGAGAGAGAGAGAGAGAGAGAGAGAGAGACAGAGACAGAGACAGAGACAGAGACAGAGACAGAGACAGAGACAGAGACAGAGAGAGACAGACAGACAGAGAGAGAGAGAGAGAGAGAGAGAGAGAGAGAGAGAGAGAGGAGAGGGGAGAGATAAAGGGAGAGAGAGACAGAGAGACAGAGAGTGAGAGTGAGTGAGTTCCCTTCTTCTGGGTCCTTTATATAGGTTGCCAGCAAAAGACACAGCCCAAACTAAAGTTAGATCTTCTCACCTCAAAAGATCCAGGTTAAAAATGGGTCTTCCCATTTCAGAGTCTTTCATAGGTATACCAGCCGCTGGCGTTTTAGTTAATTCTAGATGTAATCAAGTTGACAACTAAGAATAGTCACCAGAAGTCCACTGTTAGTATTCAGGCATCCGTGCTGGCCTGTCCTTGGGGGTTCTGACAGGCTACGCCCTCAGCTGCAGCCACTGAGAGCACCACCTGGGCACATTCACTATGTTCCCTTTTATAAGGGTCCTGCCTATCTCCCCCTTTCCTCTCTCTCTGCTTCTCTGCCAATCTCTCTCTCTCCCTCCCGCCCTCTCTCTCCTCTTCTGCCACTCCCTTCCCCCCATTTAAAAAAGACCCTCCACCCAAGCTCTGTCCCTTCAGGTGACACCAAACCCACACCCACACTGGAAGGGACTGAGTGGACACTCGTCCACATTGGAGACATGTGTACCTGTCACAGCTAGCAAACAGTGTGCATACCAGTAGAAGTTAAGGTGCCGCTAATGTTCATTCTACCCAGCCTAGGAGGGCTCCATCTCAGGAAAGCATCCAGCCCCACATGTCAAACACTCTGTTGCTCTTTTTGCTGAGTGACCTTGCATGAAAACCTGCCCAAGAGGTTCTACCATCTTCTCACAGCTTGCTCTGATGATCAGGACTTCTGTGGGGCTCTCTCTCTGCCCCAGGCTTAGGTCAGCCCCATTCAGGAAACGGCTCTTGAGTCTCTATCCTGGGGGGGGCTTTAGAACCCCCTTCCTGGAACCCAGTTCAGTTCCACCAAGGCTGTTCTGAGTGTGTGTGTGGGGGGGGGGTGACTGGATGTCTCACCCTCTCCTCGGTTTGATTTTTCCCTCTCAATAGCCTGAAGTCTGTTGTCCTGACCCCACCCCTAACCCCGCCACACACACACACACACACACACACACACACACACACACAGCCTCTCTCTCCTCTGAACTTTCCTATTTGTTGGGTCTGAGACTCGCAGTTCCACAAACTTGTAGTAAGGATCTTGATGGGCTTCCTCTCCAAGGCTGCAGGCTTTGACCTTGCTTTCTATGAAGTGGGCCGGCAAGATACAACCCTGCAGCGCCATGTGTGACTGTTCACCAAGATGAGATAAGGGAAATTGGGTTGTTCATCAAATAGAATGAATGGCTCAGGAGTCAAGTAGCCACAGGAAGTCACAGGTCACTCCTCTGCGGGAAGCCAGGGGTGACAAGGTGCTCTGTGGGGAATGGTTATCACTCAGAGGACTGTCCACAGATGTTCTTCTGAGCATGCCCATGAGGCTGGGTGAAGCTGGGATTGGGCTCTCTGTCCCCTAGACTGCTCAAGTCAATGCCAAAACTACCTGGACTCTGTTTCCTCTGAAGCCAGTGGTCAGACTACCTGGCGTGAACTGCTTATTCTATTCAACCTCCTCTATCTTCCCACAGTGAGCTACCAGGAGCCAAATTGGCACCTTCTTCCTAGCACAAGATTCCTGTCCTAGGGACAGGCTTTTTTTAAAATTTTCAAGACAGGGTTTCTCTGTGTAGCTTTGTAGACCAGGCTGGCCTGGAACTCACAGAGATCCACCTGCATCTGCCTCTCCCAAGTGCTGAGATTAAAGGTATGGGCCACCATCACCCGGCTAGGCTTTTTTTTTTTAAATCATTATTCACTAAGAAGCTGCACTACAGTCCAGTGCCTCAATCTGACCATGGCATCCATTCCAGCCTGGATGTGAGGCTCCTCGACAACCCAGCTTCATCCCACTGGCAGGCCTCTGTGAAGCAGGGTTTTCTGCGCACTGTTGTGGACAGGACACCCACTGGAGTTCCTAGCGCAGACCTGGACTGGATCTTCCAGACAGGTCAAGGACTGATGGGTGAGCCCGTCATTCCTCCTGCTCCCAGAGTCCTCACTCTCAGAATAGAGGTAGAGCTCTGGACCAGGTCAGGACTTCTCTAAGCCGAGGAGTCTTGGAGACTTTCACACTGAAAAAGCCTCGTGGGTGGGGTGAGCGTGGACCCCCACAAGAAAGGAGTTTGGTGGCTACAGTGCAGAGGTGTCTGTCCCACCAGAGGACTCGGAGCAGGGACAGGAGCCAGGCTGAAAGCTATTGGAGGCAGATAATTCTTCTTTTAAGAGCTGCCCAAGACAGACTTCTTGGCAGGTCGAGTTAGTTCTGTAACCTCGGTGCAGCCGTGCAGTCGCTCGCTGCTCTTTGCTGCCAGAAAGCCTGTCGTCGCCCCTTTAAGAAGGGATCCCGCGCCCCTTCTCCGGACCGCTTGAAGCCCCTAAGGGCTGCAAGTACTAGGTAAGTGTGCAGACAGACGCGAAGCAGCTGTTACCCAGAGAGGGGAGGATGGAGGGAGGGCGGGGTCTGAAGAGCGGGGTGGGCAGGGGCGGGATCTAAAAGGGGGGGGCGCGGACAAGGCTGGGGTCTGCTAGGCTTACCCGAGGCAAGCTGGGACAGAATCTGCAATCTGGAAGGAGGCGGTGTCCTCAAGGCAAGGAGGGCGGGAGCGCGGTGGACAGAAGCTTTCGCACGCGGAGGGCTTCGGCCCACTCCGGCAGCAAAGACGCCCGCGGGAGGCGTGAATACCATGGGCTCTTGCTCGGGCCGCTGCACGCTTCTTGCGCTCTGTACTCTGCAGCTGGTGAGTCCTAGTGTCCCGCGTGGCTTTCCGGACCCGCGCCCACTTCGGGAGGCTCCTGAGATGACCGCTTGGACCAGGCTGCTGCGGCCGACTTTCCCCGGCGGCGGACAGGCTTGCGAGGGGAGCTGCCACGGTGTGGGATCTCGGCTGTGCCAAGCTGTGTTTGCTCGGGAAGCGGGTGTCTGGGCTGGCGGGGACAGGTGCTGGGGAGCTCTTGGGGGCCGGAGCTGCTAGGAACAAAAGCCTTCGGGCGGGGCTGCCCCCGGAGCAGCGCTCAGGTCCAGAGTGCTTGGTCCGTGATCCCCTTGATGCCCACCGGTTCCGAAGGCGCCTGTAATCAAGTGTGCGCGTGTTACCGCCGCGGCAGCAGTGACGGAGCCCGCAGCAAAGTTCAGTGCCTGAGTGTGGACATTAAAATCGGGTGTGATCGCCCGGCACTCCCAGCTTATGCGGGGGCACTATCTACTTGGGGAGTCTTCCAATCTCCCTGGCCTGTAGAGAGACTCTCAGGTCCGGGTGCCTAGGGTTGTTGAGACCCCTCGCCCTCCTGTTGAAGAGCTTTGTCAGAGAACTTGGAGGACACCAAGCAACTTTGCAGCTCTCCCTGAGCTTGGAGCTTGGAATTTGGGTTCTGTGGCTGATGGAGGAAGGGGCTAAAACAAAGGTCGCTGGGGAAACTCTTTGCATAGACGCTACTGAGCCCTGTGTAGATCTGGTCTTTAAAAGGAAATGTAGTGTTGTTGTCTCTGGGCTGGGTGTGGGCCTGGGCCCAGCTGGACTGGGTGCCTCCTTCACTGGCTGAAGCTGGAGGTCCCTGAGGAAGAAGAGGTTGTTTGAAAGGTGCTGTAAGGCTGTTTGGGGTCTTGTCCTCCCAGCAGCACAGGCAGCGCCCTGTACACTGTGGGATTGCACAGGAGTCTATGGTCCAAGTATTTACTGGTCTGCATGTTTCTACTGGGCATGTCAGGCTTGAGACGGCTGCTTCCAGTCTTGGAGCAGTGTTGAGTTGCTGTCTTTCTGTGAGGGTCTCCCTTAGGGGGCTTCTGGGAAGATAGGAGGCAGTCCTGCAGAACGACCAGGTAAAGGACAAGGATGAGCTGGCTAACTCTGAAGTTTAGAGCCTGCCCAATATGGGAATCAAAAAAACACAACAGCTTTGGGGGAGGAGGGTGACTTTGCTTTCCTTGCACTGGATTTGGTTTGACAGTGTTCTCTGAGAGAAGCAGGGGCTCTTCCCACCTCCAATTCAGGGATGTTGTCCTGGGATGCAAGAGGATAAGGCCGGGGGGGGGGTTTGACTTCTCTTGGATAAGGTGCAGGTCTAGGACAGACTTTGGAAATTAAGCTGCAAGAAAAGGAGCATCATTTTGGTGTTTGGGTTGTAGATCCCTGGCCAGGGCTTCTCCAAGACCCAGTCCCAGCCAAGACAAGCAACAAGGACTTTGTGGAGCTGTACTGAGCCCTGTACCGTTGCTTTGTCCAACAGGGCCACAGCTGAAATGCCCCAGGGAGCTGTCAAGGGTCTTTTGTCCTACCCTGTCTGGCAGTTGGAGGCGGGCCACCCTCCTCGGCCTCTGGAAAGAACAGGCCCGATGCCACCCACTGCTCTGGTTTCTGCACAGAGAGGAGAGCAGAGGAAGCTGGGAGTAGCATAGGGGTCCCAGGGCTTTCCCTTTTTTTTGACAAGCGTGAGAGTTTTCTTGTTACCAAGTTACCGGACAAAGGACCTAAACAACTCTCCCTGAAGAACAGCAGGGACATTGTTGGCTCTGAGCCAGCACTATGCCGAGATAGTTCCCAGACCTCGCTTCGCCTCGATGACAAGACAGGGTATTCGGGGGCCCATGAAGGGGTCTGCAACTAGATTCTGCAGGGCCACTGACTCTAAATTACTGATCTCCGTGCAGTGGAGGACTCATATGTAGTCATAGAGTTTCCATTCCTGAGACAAACAGGGGCTACTCTTCAGACTGAGGGCTTCTGGCAGGCCTGTGCCGCTGATCCAGCCTCCAGCTGGGGCCTCACAGGACAGTGCCTTGGGTTTCTTAATAGACCAAGGGGGCCATCTTCACATCCCTTTTCTTTTTCTCTCTGGGTGGGACGGAGACCAATCAGACCTAATCATTCATGAAGAGGCTGACCTCTGTCCCCTGGAGCTGTTTTTTTTCCTCCCCCCCCCAATTGTAATTTGATGTGCAGGAACTAGGGGTCTGCCAGGATGGGGACATCTGAGATCTGATGCTTGAGATTCATTCTGGATCATGCCTTTCCATGTTGTATGTAGAAAGACCGTGCCTTTGGTTAGTGCCTCTAACAGTTGAATGGAACAAGTACGCATGCAGACCACCACGTGACTCCTTAGGACAAGTGCATTGTGGGGGAGGGGAAAAGCCACCATTGCCTGCCTGGGCCCAGGGTAGGAGCCTCAGTTTGCCTGTGAACACGCAGGCATGGGGACCTTGAGTCCTGCTTAAAGGAAGGATATTCCTGTCACAGAAGATGAGAGAATGCACCAGGGTCTGAGTTGGTGGATGGAGGCAGGAGGGGTGAAGATAGATGATCGCCCCAGTGAGAGACTTGGTCTCAGAGACTGGGTGCTGATAGAGCCTCTTCCTATGTGTCAAGAGCGGTCTGTGTCTGGGGCTCCATCAATCGTCCCGGTCTAGAACATTCAAACATGCCTCTGCTGTTGTCGTCTGTTTCACGGAGTTTGGATGGATGGCCATTTGGTGCCTCCTTAAGGGTGATTTTCATTGTTAGCAGAAGTTCTCTAGGAGCCTGTTTCTTCTGGTGAAGTGACAGCCGTAGAGGAAGGACCCAGCCAGGGCTTGTCATGGCAGATCTGACGGTGCTGAGAACCCTAAATGCCTTCCCAACAGTTATGTGTTCAGTCACACCAGGAACTCAGCAGTGAGCTAGAGGTGTAGACCAGTGATTGAGGGCTTTCCTAACATAAGTGAGGCCCTGTGTTTGATTCCAATACACACACACACACACACACACACACACACACACACACGCACGCACGCACAGAGCTTGGAAGAGTTGGAAACATCCCATCCCCACCGACACTAAGAGAGTGTCTTCTGAGCTGTGTCACGGATGTGTGCTGCTTCCTGTGGCCTTTCAGGAAGCTGAAGGTGGAAAGGGGATGCACAGTGAGGAGCTGCAATTCCCAGGCCGCTTCTTACCCGTGTGGGTGTCCCAAGGCGGCCCCTCTAACATTCTGACACAACCTCAAACTGAAGTTTAAAGCCTGGACATGTTCTGGACACAGATCCAGAACCCAACAGCTCCTGGGATTTCTGACAGAGGAAGTGGGGAGGGCAGGAGTTTCCAGGGTGGCAGATGCCAGAGATAACCTTTAGGGTTGCTGGAGCTGTCACTTTTTCCCGGGGTCACAGCAGCTCTGTAGACTCCCTTGTGGCTCAAGGCACCGGCTAGGCTGTGGACAAAGAGCATATGGGAGGGGTAGCATGGTGGCTTCTTCAGAAGGCTGTGGCCTCAATGTGCTGTGCTTAGTAGGGAGCATAGTAGGGAGGGTGAGCAGAGGCTGGGCATGCAACAGAAAGGAGTTGGCTAGGATCTAGATGGCCAGGGACAGAGAGGAGGATATGAGTGAGTTCTCAGGTCAACGAGGGAGAAGGGGCCCTGCCTGTCAGGCCATCTCTGGTTGGAAGACTTGGAGAAAAAGGCAGCTATGGTCAGGGCCATCCTAGCAGGATGCCGGGCCCACTGGACCAGGGCAGCTTGTGATAACTCAGAGAGTAAGAGCTAGTCTTAGATGACAGAGGGAGAAACTGATAAGGGGTTGTTGACCCTGGCTGAGACACTTGGGTTCTGGGCATAAGGGTTGCAGAGACATGAGGTACAGGTATGCTCCAAACCATGGGCTCTGAGGTCTTAGACTCAACCTTACCATTAAGAGCACGTCTTGCAAGGACTCTAGGGGGAGGCGAGGCAGGGCTGAGACCCTACCTTGGAGGCTTGGTGGACTCCTTGGACAGGGTCTCTCTCCAGAGCCTACTCTCCTCCTGTGGGCAGGAGAATGGCATGCTGGGTAACTCGCTTCTTGAATACCCCTCCTCACTCCCTGCTCAGGGAACAGGCTGTGACTGACAGTCCTGGTATAACTAAGCACCCCACCCCCTACTCTGGATCAAGCTCACTGAGTCCCGATGACCCCACATTCCAGGCCCAGAGCCACCAGGGTGCGTCTGAGATGGAGGAGGGGCAGGTTCTGAAGGAATTTGGCAGATTACAGAAAGAAACTCCCTAAAAAAAAAAAGTTATACAATCGCCCCCACAGGGCAGCAAGTCTGGGAATAGCAGGGCAGGAAGCACTGTGGGCTTCGGTACTGACTGGATCTGTCTTTTTGGCTTCTTCCTGCCCACCGCTGCACCATACACTGCATGCGCGCGCGCACGCACGCACACACACACACACACACACACACACACACACACACACGAGCAGGTGTATGCACACACCTGCATGTGGACATATGCCCCCCCCTTGGCTCTGTATTTTGTACAGATATGGGACCCATATGTAGTCCAACTTGCTGCATTTCAGGCATTCTCTGGTTACTTTGTGGGGACAGAGCCTCTATGGAGAAATGGCCTGGACTGGAACCATTGGAACGGATCCTGGGGGACTGTGTCTGCCATATATTGGGAGTCCAGGGAGCCTGTGGAGATAGGGCCTCATCCCTCCCACCTGGCTTCCTTGTTGTTCCTCTGGTGACCATGGGGTGCATACAGGCTCTGGTGGCCCTACGTGTCTTGGGGAGGTACCAATTTCCTAGGCAGCGTGGCCTCCTCAGGTCTTACGGCCTGCTACTCAAGCATAGTTGGTTTACGTTTGAAAGAGGGGTTTCAGGGTGGCGCTCACCTGCTCTCTGGGGGGGAACAGAAGCTCCGTGTGCTTTCCACAGCCTGCTACTCCACTCCCTCATGTTAGTGAGGTTTTAAAGAAGGGGTGCAGATGGTTTTTGATTAAGAGGCCAAGACCATGAAGAAGCAGGCCAGGCCAGGCCAGGCCAGACTTACCTGGGGTATTAGCTATTTTTCTCGTGGCTGTGACAAAGTACTTGACACGAACAGCTTCCGGGAATAACGGTTTTAGTTTGATTCGTGGCTTCAGAGTTCAGCTCGTAGCTGGTAAGTTGTGGCTCATGAGTGCCTCCCTTTGGCATGTCACCATAGCTGTTCACATGGCTATGACCAGGAAACAACCTGGGAACCAGGGCTGAGCACAGCTTTCAAAGGCCCTGGCCTCTGGTGACCTCCTGCAGGTTCTACGGCCTCCTAAAACAGTGTCACCAACTGGGAAGCAAACATTATAACAAGAGCCTGCGGGGGACTTTCAGATCCATCCCTAACACCTAGGTCACTGGCTGTCTCTGCCTGTGCTGTCTTCCTGAATTGCTTGAAAGTCACACAGTTGGGTTTCTTTCACTCTTTTTTTTTAACTTTCTTTTTTTTAAGATGTATTTATTTATTTATTTATTACATATACATGCCAGAAGAGGGCACCAGATTGAATTATAGATGGTTGTGAGCCACCATGTGGTTGTTGGGAATTGAACTCAGGACCCCAGGAAGAGCAGTCAGTGCTCTTAACCTCTGAGCCATCTCTCCAGCCCTTCTTTCACTCTTCAGTGTGCGTTTCTCTTACGCTGTCCAAACGACTTACAATGGGGCTCTAATGAGAAGGCGCCCTGCCCCTGAGCTGTCCTTTAGTCTCTAAGATTGTCTGCTGCAGTTTCTGCTGTGGACAGTGTGGTGACTACAGCATCTGACATGTCTATATGGGGCCAGCACCTATGAGCACCTGCTGTATATACTGCATAGTCCAAGCGAGGTCTGGCACCACCGTGGGTGTGGGAAATCCCCAGCTTACATCCATGGTCAGGAAAGGACTAGCCAGGGTGAGCAGTCCTCACCCCAGGCAAAGTCCCCAGAGGCTCTGAGAGATCCTGAGACCAGTCATCTTTGTGTCACTCCAACAACTAGCCCCCTGCTTGTTGCCACCAGGAACCATCTAACCAACCCTGGAAGGATTCTTGGCATATTCCAATGAGAAGAGTGCCCTGGTTGAGATACCAACTCCCAATTCCTTAGAGATGATGTAGTTCCCAAGGCAGACAGATGATTCCTTGTAAAAATAAGCAAAAGCTCTTGCAGAGCCCTCCGTGCATGCCTTCCATGTGAAAGGCGTGTGAATGAAGAGGCAGGAGCCATCAGCTAGATCAACCGTGCCTGCCCATCCTCTTCCTCCATGTAAACAGCCCGTCAGGCCCGACCAGGAGTCAAGAGTTTGGCAGAGCAGCTTTTCTTTCTACACTGGGAAAGGCCAGAGGTAAGAGCTGATCAGTGAGAATTGACAGCCCATAGGGAACTGCTCCAACCTCTATATGCGTCTTTAAGAGGTTTACTCCTATTTAGGGAGGCACCTTCTCCAGGAGGAGAAGCATCATGAAGGAATAGCATCAGGGTCTTTGGAGGTGGGAACTTGGCTAGCAGAGGCTTCCACCACCAACAGTTGCAATCATGAGACATGGTACAGACCCACTAGGGGCCAGCGGATGTGAGTGTTTTGTGACGTGAAGAGAAGATGGTTTGTGTTAACTCTTTGACAGAAGAGGGGTGTTGAGTGCCAGTGCTCTGTGACAGGAAGAGGCAGTGGGGTATGCCCACTCTGACAGGAAGTAGGGACAACTGGTGAGCACGATGATGAGAGATAGTGCAGAGGGCACAAATTCTCTCCATACAGGGGGGAGGGGGGACAAGTTTGGGAACTCTGTGATTGGGCAGGGGGTAGTGAGTGTGAGCACTGTGTGGCTTTTATTAATAGATTCTTCTGGGCCATTCTTGGTTTCCATACGAAGTCTGCCCTTAACCTGTTCACTTAGCAGCTCAAGCCAGCGTCACTCCGAGAACCTCAGGTTCCTGTAGAGTGTGCTTGCTAACGGTCCTCTTTTAAGACTTCTTTGGACATTCCCACCACTCCTGGGCCATTCATAGCTGCTGGAGCATGCCCAATTGCAGGTGTTTGCTGGGTTCTGTCAGCAGACATTGGGGATGCTGATACAGCCGCATGATACAGACTCCAAGGGGCAGGGGGAAGGGGGGGGACACGGGGACCTGAGCACTTTCATTGAAGTTAGTGTCTATAGTCAAGCGGCCGAACTACTAAACTTAAAACTTGACACAACGGCAGGAGGTCATCTAAGGATGGAAGCAGCCTGTGTTCCCAGTTGCAGTCTCAGTATTGCCTTTCGCTAGATCTCGGCTCATCCTGCCTTGGGGCGGGGGCAGGGGCGGGGGCAGGGGCGGGGACAGGGGCGGGAGCAGGAGCGAGGCAGGGGCTGGGGGAGAGCACCTTCACCACTGTGTGGAGACTCACCGTAGGGTTCCCATTGCTGTGACAAAACACCATGATCATAAACAACTGGAGGGGGGGTGCGGCGAGAAAGAGAGTTTATGTCAGCTTACAACTCTCAGGCCATACTCCACGTCACTGAGGGAAGTCAAAGCAATAATTCAAACAGGGCAGGAACCTGGAAGCCGGAGCAGAAGCCATGAAGGATTGTGGCTTACTGGCTTGTTCACCCTGATATATATATATATATATATATTTTTTTTTTTTTTTACAGCTCCCAGGCCCACCAGTCCAGGGTGACCGCCTACAGTGAGGGTAGTGCATGGAGGGCAGGGTGTTTAGAGCTACAGTGTCTCATTAGTGTGTCTAGAACAGAAGTGTGACCAGTCTATCAGGATAAGAGCTATCTTATCTGCACTGTCCCCAGGACAACCGTGGAAAGACCACTTACCAGGAGACAGTGGGTTCTCTGGGCTTCTGTGTTTGGCACCCTGTGCAAGCTCAGGTCTCATCTGCCACCAGGGCAGTTGGACAGCGTTTTAGGATCTGCGCTTCTTGGTTATGTCCCCTCCTAACCTCCAATTAGAATAGCCATGGGTATGGGCCAGGCATGATGGTATGAGCCTTTAATGTATTACTTAGGAGGCAAAGGCAGAGGTGGATCTCTGTGAGTGCAAGTTTGGCCTGTTCTACACAGTGAGTTCTGAATGAAAAAACAAAACAAAACAAAAAAGAAATAAAAAAGAAAGGACATGACTGGTCCTAGGTATTTTAGAGGAGCAGGTTTGTTGCAGATAAAAGGGGAGGCGTAGTGAAAGGCAGGGACTTCTGGGAGAGTTCAAAACGGACACGTGAGAGGAGATGGGAGGGGAGAGGGGAGACCCAGACCAAGAGGCCTGGAGGGTTAGGGATAGACAAAAGGGCCAGGTAACCAAATGTTCGGATTACATAGGGAAGGGCAGCCCAGACTCTGGGCTGGAGAAGTTTAAGTGGGGGGGGGGGGGTATGCCAGCCAGGAGGGCCCTATAACAGGAACTGAGAGACAGGGGAAAATCAGGTGGCCTGGTATGCTTTGATGTGTTAAATAGGCACCTCAGCCTTTTGTCCAGGACTAGCAGCCTAAGGACGTTCCAGGATAACCGGGAATATGTAGAGACCCCTGTCTCAAAACAAACTAACAAAGACAAGCCAAACAAAACAACAACAACAAAACCTCTCAGTGTTTTGGTCTCCAGATGAGGGACAGGGACAAGGGGGCAGCCTGGCTGAAGAGAGGAACACTCCGGTGGTGACATTCGGACTCCGTCAGATTTAATGATTTTGCTGGAAGAGCCACACCATAGGCACCCAGTACCTACTCAGGGTTATGGCCAGGAAGCAGTTTGTGGCCTAGCTGATACAGATGTTGAAACAGACATGAGGGGTACTTACGAGGGGAGCAAAACCTGGAGGTGGCACCTTAAGGGTCCGCTGCTCCTCACGGGCCACCTGTCCTTAGGTCACTGCTCTGGAACGGCAGGTGTTTGACTTCCTGGGCTACCAGTGGGCACCCATCCTGGCCAACTTTATCCACATCATCGCGGTCATCTTGGGGCTCTTCGGCACCCTCCAGTATCGGCCACGCTACATTGTGGTGGTGAGTCCGCTGTGCTTGGATGCCTCTATGCAAGGAGTAGGAACCCTGCCGCTCTTGGTGGCAGCTGGGGCAGAATGTCTCAGGTTGACACCTGCCCAGGGTGGGCTTGGGTAACCCTTTCTAAGCTCACCCCTGGGAAGGCCGGACTCAGGGAGTCCCGGCTTTCGCCATGAGCTCAAGGGCTTTCTTCCAAGGCGCTGGAGAAAGAATCAGATATCTCATCTCTGAAGCTGCTGGGTTCAACTTCTGCCCTGTTCTTTCTGGCCTCCCTAGTACGCTGTGTGGGCAGCTGTCTGGGTTACCTGGAATGTCTTCATTATCTGCTTCTACCTGGAAGTGGGGGGGCCTCTCCAAGGTGAGTAAAGACGGAAAGGGGTTCGTCCACTGGGTCTTGGCCAGATGACCATGTGATACTCGAAGCAGTTCACTGCATGTTTCTCAATGGCGGTGGGGGATTGATGCACGGTGCTGATGCCAGCACCAAGATTTTGGGGGGGGGGGGGTGCTGTGGTCAGTGCCTCCGTAAATCCTGGGAAGACTGGTTTGTGGGTGGGAAGGGTTGTCATTAAGGCATTGTGGGTATCAGTGGGCCAGAGCCTCAGGCTTGGGAAACGGAACACACAGGGCACGTTTCCTGGAAGAGGACCTTAGAACCGGGCAGTGCGAGGGAGTAGTGGGGACTAAGTAGACATCTGGCCAAGGTGTGTAGGTGTGTCCTTCTCAGGGGTGGTGAGATCGGGACACAAAGCAGAGACCTTCCTCTTATGGCTATATGGAGTCTTCTGCCCTGGCCAACTGTCATGTGTTTTCCCGAGGAAGCTCTGGACTGGTGCAGCTTTGCTCTCCTACTCTGGAGTGACATGTCGTGGGTGTGGTGGACTAAGCTAGCCCTGACTGGGGTTATGCCAGTCACCGACATGGGGCCCAAGGCCCATTGTGGTAGTTTGGCCAGGGACATGAATGAGGGTTTTCATACTTGAATGCCATAATGGTGAGTCCTGAGGTCTGCCCAAGGCAAGGGATCTTCCTGGAGGAAGCAGTATGAGGGCTGAGGGCCAACAAAATCAGGCTTTCCCATGGAGGAACAGTTTGGGGACACTTGTTCCTGTCCCACAACATCTGGAGCCTGAGGACAGGATAGAGGGAGAGTGGCCACCTTCATCCTTCCCTACTCCAGGCTGTGGTTGTTAGAGGCTGGCTGCCTCCTGATACAAACTTGTCCTGTTCCTTTGTCCCCAGGACAGTGAGCTCTTGACCTTCAATCTCTCCCGGCATCGCTCCTGGTGGGAAGAGCATGGGCCAGGCTGTCTTCATAAAGAGGCAGCCACAGTTGGCCTGGGGGCAATGCATGGCCAGTCCTTGGTGGTAGATGCTGGCTGTACCATGGCTTACAGCTATATGGAAGCCCTGCACAGTGGTCTGCAGATCCTGCTGGCGGTGAGTGTGGGGACAGACACCCAGGCTGGGGGCTCGCTCTGCCTGGGGCAGAGTCAGGGCCATTCCATTACACAGAGGCGCCTTGTTACGCAGGACTGCCTCCATATCTTGCAAGAAGTAGAGGCGTCACAAGTGGGCTTCTACCCTTGAGCCTGTCGTAGTCACTGTTCTATTGCTGTGAAGAGACACCACCACCAATGCAGCTCTTATAAAAGAAAGCATTTAATTGGGAGTTTGCTTGCAGTTTCAGAGGTTTAGTTCATTGTCATCATGGCGGGGAGCGTGGCAGCAGACAGGAAGGCATGGTGCTGGAGAAGGGGCTGAAGGGAGCTACATCCTGATCCGTAGGCAGAGAGAGAGAGAGACAGAGAGACAGAGGCAGAGAGACAGAGACAGAGGCAGAGAGAGAGAGAGACAGAGAGACAGAGAGACAGAGAGACAGAGACAGACAGAGAGAGACAGAGACAGACAGAGACAGACAGAGACAGACAGAGAGAGATTGAGCCTGTCAGGCTTTTGGAGCCCATGCCTCCTCCAAGGTCACACCTCTTAGTTCTTACAACCCTTTCAAATAGTGCCACTTCCCAGTGACTAAGCATTCAAATGTATGAGCCTGGAGGGCGGGGGGCATTCTTATTTGAACCAACAAAGAGCTGAGTTGTTCTTCTTGTAAGACAGGCTCACAAACAGCAGCATCAAGCTTCAGCCTCTGGCGATGCTGTGGAATACCGGGCAACCAAAGACAGCAATGGTGAAGGTGCAGGTTGGAGTGACCAAGATGCTCTTATATCTCCCTAGCACAGGGGGTTAGTACAGGCAAGGCAGGGATGTGAAGACCCCAAATCTGACCTCAGTGGGACGACGAAAGGGAGATAGAAGCCCCAGACTAGCCAATAAGGCTGCAAGGCATGGGGCCCACTGATGTCATTGTTCAATCTCCACAGCTCTGGTGCATTAAGGTAGCATTTCAGTGCCTTTCCCTGAATCTCAAAGGCCGTTGGGGGGATATTTCACAAGTTCTCACCTCCCTGGAGAGAAAGAAGGATAAGGTGCATACTTCCTGGCACACAGTGTGCTGACTGGGATGGCTGTGAGCCCACAGCCCTGATAAGTCTGCCACAGAGCAGATCCTGTGAGACGGGGGTATAGTGTCTGGAAATCTGGCTAATTCCCTAGCACTGCGAGACACCACTGATCTCCAGGAGTCCTGCTCTGTGAGTAGCAGAGCAGTTCTGTGCCCAGGCAGCTCCTGTGTTGATGGTAGGGCTGACTGCTTCTGGGTAACTTTTTCACCACTGTGCTAGGCATGCAGAACTGCTCCTTAGCAGTGAATCATTAGCGAGTGTCAGGTACTACCATCCTGTCAATGGTCATATCCCCTTGAGCTCAGGTTGTCCACAAATAGCCTAGAGGAGATACAAGTCTTGTGAGTTCAGAGACGTGGAGACTCAATTATTTTCCATGTGTGTCCAAGGAACTTGATACAAGAAGAAAGATCATAGAAGGCCTAATGGCACTCTACAGCTGATGAGGGAGGGCAGAAGTCAGAATTTAGGGGGGCAGAGCCATGGGGTGCCAGGGGATCTGAGATTTTGAACCTCAAAATCCTTTCCCCAGGACCTGAGTCCATTCAACTGGCCAGGGAGCTATGGAGAGTGTAGAATAAAGTAGTATGGGGATCTGAGTGGCTAGTGCTGAGGCTGGCTCCCTGTGGCTCTGTCTTGTTGTCATGGCAACACAGGTGGTCCAGGCTTCAGCCTCCCTGCAGGACTCAGGGTCTGGGCTTGGCATGGTCTACCAAGCACAGGAAGTTGTGGCATCTTTGGGGATGGGTTATATGTGGCCCACATGTTTTCTCTGAGACCCCACAGCCAATGCAAGGACTAAATCCAGGAGGGACTCTTCCTTGGCAATTGATACAAGGGAAGTATTGAGACAAACCACCACTCGGGAGCAGCAGATGGCAAAGAGACCATGCAATTCTCAGGCTACCTATTAACAGTATCACCTGCCAGGGACGGAGCTAAAGATGCATGAGCCTTTCTGAAGAACACTTTGTATCCACAGTGGGCATCAGGGGCATACAAACTCCCATCACAGTCTCTAGCCCTCTCTTTGCTCTCAAGGCCTTTTAGACACTGGTCAGGTGGTCCAGGTGGAGTGTCTCTTTCCAGAATACTCAGCTTCAGGGGCCACTCTGAGTCCAGTGTCCAGTGTGGGCTGCCTCACTGCTAGTCACTGGACCTCTTACCATGTTCCAAGTTCTGTTATTCCAGGACAGAGCCTGGCGTAGTAGAGCATGTTGTCCTGGTGTTCTCTGGGCCAGTCTAGATATGGATACTTTATGTGTCTGGATTTGGATTGGTGCAGAGATTGGAGTCTTGGAAAGACCAAGAAGATGTTGACTCATGAACTCTGCCATGGAAAAAGATGATGCATTAAGGGGCCTTTACAAATGCCAGTCAGGACCTCATCCAGGCACACCACATCTTGCATAGGAAAGTAAGGGCCAGAGAATCTACTACAAATGCCTTGTAGCTCATTGAACCTGGACCTGTGCTAGATTCCACCAGGAAGGATTGTCTGCTATACCTCTGTGGATCAAGTAAGGGCCCCACACATTTGGGCCCTCATAGAGGCTAAATTCTGAATTTATATTTGTAGAAAGTCTATAATTTTAAAAAAACTGAGCAGATAGGAGAAAGCAGACATAGTGACACAAGCCTGCCATCCCAGCATGAAAAACCGAGGGAGGAAGATTCAAGGCCAGTCTGGGTACGTAGTGAGACTCCTTTTGAAAAATAAATTAAAGCAGGGCTGGGATGACAGATCCATTATTAGGTTGTTTCCTTTGCAAGCGTGGGGACCTGAGTTCAGTCCCCCAGTCCAGCTGGACACCTGGAGAGATGGCTCAGTGTGTAGGAGCTCTTGATACACAAACATAAGAATCTGAGTTCAGATCCCAACACCCTGTCTCAAGGCAATAAAGTGAAGAGTACCCGAGCAAGACACTCGACGTTCTCTTCTGGTCTCCTCCATGTGCACTCACAGGTGCACAAACCTGAGCAGACATGTGTACATACATCATACATGAACACATGAAATAAATAAACATAACAATTTTTAAAGATAAACTGTAGCCCTGGCTGTCCTGGAACTCTGTGTAGGTCAGGGTCACTTCAAACTCATTGAGATATGTCTGCCCCTACTTCCCAAGTGATGGGATTAAAGATGTGAACCACCACACCCGATTCATTAAATACAACAAAGTGGTTTGAAGGATAGCAATGGTGGTGTGCACTTATAACCCCAGTGTTTGGAGGTGAAACCAAGAGGATTCGTGAGGCTCACTGGCCAGCCAGTCTTGCCTGTTTGGTGAGTATCGGGACAGTGGGAGATGTCCTTCAAAAAACGAAAAGTCAATTGATACCTAAAGAATGATGTCAAAGGTTGTTCTTTTTTTTTTTTTTTTTTTTTTTTTTGGTTTTTCGAGACAGGGTTTCTCTGTGGCTTTGGAGGCTGTCCTGGAACTCCCTCTGTAGACCAGGCTGGACTCGAACTCACAGAGATCCTCCTGCCTCTGCCTCCCAAGTGCTGGGATTAAAGGCGTGTGCCACCAACGCCCGGCTCAAAGGTTGTTCTTTGGCTTCCAAGTGTACATGCACCCTCATTCACACATGCACCTATACATATATACACACATGTGCACACATACACCCATGCATACACCACACAATAGCATGCAATACACTAACATAAAATAAATCAGCCAAGGGGGATTAGAACAGAAACTTGCTCCCTCACAGCTCCAAGATCAGCCTCTAAGGCCAAGGAGTTAGTGGGGCTTGTTCTCTCTGGGGCTCTAAGGAGTGTGACCCAGGTGCCCTGCAGTCAAGGGGTCACAGTGTTCTCTGGCCTGTGGAAACACCAGCGTCTCTATCTGCCATACAGTCTTTTCCCCACATGACTGTCTCAGCCTCCTTTTTCCTCCTGTAAGAATACCAGATCTTGGTTTAGGTCTCTCCACCCTCTCTAACCTCATGCTGATTGTTTGTGGATCCTATTTTATCTTATTTTTTAAGATTTATTTAATTATTTGTTACGTATACAGTGTTCTGTCTGCATGTATGCCTGCAGACCAGAAGAGGGCATTATTACAGATGGTTGTGAGCCACCATGTGGTTGCTGGGAATTGAACTCAGGACCTCTGCAAGAACAGTCAGTGCTCTTAACCTCTGAGCCATCTCTCCAGCCCCCGGATCCTATTTTCAAATACGAACAAATTCCAAGGCATCAGAGTTGGGCTTTGAGGCACGTGTTTGGCACATGGTTCAACATACAACTGAACACAACTCCTCTAGACCTTTTCCTGGGCTCTGCCCCCGCCTTCCCCAGGACTGATGTGGCAAGCCATTCCCTGAGAGGACTGCCCCAGATCCCTTTCCAAATCTGCATCCTACTTGCAGAGAAGAGGAAAGTCTTGACTCAGAGACCCACGTTGGCCTTGGTGGTTCACCATGAAATAGGAGCATGTCCCCTCCTGGCAAGTGGCCCAGTGGGTCTCATCCATTCTTCTTCTGCCTGCTTCCTTCACTGTCCCCAAGCCTATGATGATCACAGAAAGCGAGAGGTGGCTTTTTCCAAGACCTCATCATGACCCTGGTGAGGACACCATCTCACAACCATGTCAACCATGTCCCATCTAACCATGGATTTGCTAGTGTTGCATGGAACTAAAGGACAGTCATAGCTGGTGAACACAGGATTGATTCTGCTGTCCTCTCCAGCCCTGCTCAGATCAGTGGAGAACAGCAGGGGGAGAGAGACAGCTCCTGGACCCAAGTGGTGCCACCTGTCTACCTGCGTGCCTTAGTGAACCACTTGACCTCTCTGTTTCTTAGTTACCGATTCTTAAAATGGAGGCCATTTTCACAGATGGGCTCAATGGGCTGGGAAGGAGAGGTTTAGGCAACCGTGTGGAACAGCAGCCCCAGCAGCCCAAAGGAGTGTGTGTACCACACCATCCATGGTGAAGCCTGGTCACATCTCAAGGACCACCCCCCCCATCCTTCCCAGTGCACACAGTGTTTGGTAGAGGTCAAGTTCACAGGACAATCAGAAACTGATGACAGGGAACTGAATTTCACCTCTGAGGATATCCAGGATTTGAGAAAGCATGCAGCTGGCAGGGCAGGTAGTTTTGTGATCCTCATGATGCCTCCACTCCTACCATAGGCATCCTGCTTAAGTTCAGCCTACACAGTGGGAAACTGAAGTTAATGTTTCTCTTCCGCTGTAACTCATGCAGAGGCAAGCGGAGGAACCCCTGTTGCCCCCAAACGTGAAGGAGTCCGGGTATGGTTCTCAGAACGGAAAGAAATGATTAGTCAAGGGTCACTGCCAAGATCTCTTAAATTGCAGACTCTGAGGAGACAATAGCTGGAAACTAGAAAGACAAATAGGGGTCTTGTTGTAGGGTACAGAGTGATTTTGGCATGCTAGTGGGGGAGACAGCCTTCTGCCATACTTTCTCAGACTGAATGCCAGCTCACAAACCTGGTCTGCTCATGCTTGTTTTTTTCCTGTTTAAAAAAAAAAGTGCACCCTCTGCTGTCTACTTTGGATAGCGAAAGAGAGAAAGTGTCAGGCTTAGCTCTTACCAGACCACCAGTGAAGAAAGGCCAAGGAGAGAGAAAGCTTCCAGAAGAGGCAGGGTGGATGGATGTTCAGGGACGATCTGTACGTGCAGAGAGGAGAGCAGAAGTAGGGGGGAGTCAAGAGTGTGCAGGTAGGATGTTGTGAACCACCAGGGATGACCTGAGGCGGGCTAGGTGCCATATTAGACAGAATCTCTTCCCCAGGAGAACCTGTCTATTTCAGCACCGTGGCCAGCTCTCCGTGGGGGCCCGACCCTGGAGCGCGACCTTCCACATCCTTCTGTCCCAAGGAATCGCAAAAGGCTGTGCAAGAGCTCTCTCAGGCCCTCTTAGGGGTGAGGAAAATGACTTCCAAGGCTCAACTCTGGACTCATTCCTAGAGCCCTGGAGTCCCAGGGAGACTTGAGTTAGGTAGGGTCTCGTGGGCATTGAGCTAACGCATTTCCAGCTTCTGCCTGGTAAGAGCTGTCTCCTTTGACAGGAGCGTTTTGGTGGCCTCTTGGGAGGCTGCTGGGCCAGATCAGTGGGGAACCATGACTTAGAGGATAAGTGGGTCCCTCGAGGCTGCCTGTTGCTTTGCAGAGGGAACTGCTGCATATCCAGAAAATCTTGCTTCCACTGGATACCTTTCTGCCTTCTCTTCAGTAGCTTCTAGTGCTTTCTCTAGTCGGGACCCTCCTAGATGTGGTGTGGTGTGCCCTGAGATACCTCCTCTGTAGTTCTCTAAGACCCCACTATAGCTCCTGCTTAGCTGGTATCTTTCGCAATATTTGTGTGCACCAAATCGTCCACCGTCCCAGCAAGACAGAGACAGTTCCCCCAGACCAAAGCTGATAGCAGGCGGTGGTGTGTGGGGTGGATATACACAGTATAGGTGTTATGTTGGGGCCCACAGGGGACAGTGCACTCTCCTGAGACTCATGGCAGCATTTGGGTCCCAAAATAAAACACCAAGAGTGAGTTGTCAGCACCAGGGCAGGGAGGCAGCTTTTCAGGGAAATGACTGGCTGTGGGACCTTATTTTCCTTCTCTCTGATCTGCTGGGTTCTCCATTAGCCAACCTAGTCAAAAACCATCATGCCTACATAGCTAGCCTTGCATGCCAGGAACAGAGGCTAGCTGTGAAGGTAGAGCCTGTACTTTGAAACTCTCCTGTAACTGAGTAGGAGGGGCTTGCAGGACATTGTATGATTGTGTGGAGAGCATAGGCCGGATCATCTGGGTTCAGAGCATACAGTGTTGTAATTTTAAAAAAGCAGCTCGAGAGAGGAAAATACCGTAAGACAATTCAGAATTCAAGCAGAGGATTTTTTTATTAAAGGGGAAGGAGGATGGGGGACAGCAGCAGGAGAGAGGGGAGAGAGGAGAGAAAGGAGAGAAAGGAGAGAGAGAGAGAGAGAGAGAGAGAGAGAGAGAGAGAGAGAGAGAGAGAGAGAGAGAGAGAGAGAGAGAGAGAGAGGAGTTGGTCAGGGCCCTTTTAAAAGGGAACATAGTGAATGTGCACAGGTGGTGTTCTTAGCAGCAGCAGCTGAGGGTCAAAACTCCAAAGGCAGGCCAATACAAACGACTAAATACTAACACACAGGGCATGACCTTGCCCCCTCCAAGCTGCTTCTCAGGTTTCATGTATCATGGGAAAGTCCAGCTCTGTTTCTGCATGTCCAGCATTCCAAGCCCTGAAATGGAAAATGAGTAGCACCCTTCAGACTGGCGTGGTCACTCCCTCACCCAGGTGTTGCCCACTGAGTGTGTGATATCCGGAATGTGGGAGTGTGGGAAGCCATGTAGGTAGTGTCACAGCTCCATTTTTTTTCAGGGGAGGAAATTCAAGGCTCAGGAGATGCAGGGTTTCCATCAGGTGCACACGGGTCATCCACACCATCCCCATGCCGCTGCTGCAGTGAGGTGGCTTGATATGTCTGGCCTCTTGGTTGGTGTCTTTCAGCTCCTGGGTTTCGTCTATGGCTGCTATGTGGTCAGCGTGCTCACAGAAGAAGAGGACAGCTGTAAGTGTACAGCTAATGCGAGTGACTATCTGGGGTAGGACCTGAAGGTGTCTCTCAGTGATGCCCCATGCCCTTTGAGTCTTCACTTCCGGCCACAGGCCTGGTCATAGAGATGCCAGTTCAAAGATCTGAGAACGGGGGGGGTTCTACTCTGGCCCAAGGACACCTATCCTCATGACCCCACAGTGGCCCCAGGAGGCTCTGAACCCTCAGTAGCGTGGGCCACTCTGCCTGCCAGGCACACACGTTGATTGACATTTAGTACTAGGCAGGACCCATTTGGACAGATTACCCCCTTCTCTCTGCATGTAGACACCTTTCAACTTTACTTGGATTTACAGCATAACACGGTAATGCTTCAAGCTGTCCCTTTTGGGGACTTCCAGCCCTGGCACAGTCTCATGGGAAGTTCCCGTAGAGAAGGGATTGACAAGGAAGGTGGGCAGTCAGGGCTCCTGTGGACAGAATCTTCCCCAGAGTCAGACTTGAAATTCAAAGCCATCTGCCCCTGAGAGTCAGGCCATGGAGTTAGCTGCCCCCGTGTTCAAGAGACTTGGGCTTGATTCTGAAGGCTGGTGAGGGGTGGTCCCTGAGCCTGGGATCAAGGCCCTGGTGCTGTCTGATCACTGAGACCTCAGCCAGCTGCTGGGGATGAAGCAGGAGCTCCACCTGCTCTTCAAATTCAGAACTGCAGCCAGCCCTGAGCTTCGGAAATGTATTCATTTTGCCCAACAAGCCTAGTGTGTGGGTGGCTTCATGGGGCCAGTGCTTGATGTCCGTAACGACCACGGGGATGACTGGGAGAGTCTGGCAAAGTGGGGTGCAGCCCCACCCAGGCTGGAGCGCCCTTGCTGGCCTCCCCACCTGACCTCTTTCTGGGAAGGTCCATTCAGAACACAGAGCCAGGAAACTCTGCACGATGCCCCAGAGGGATCCCAGCAAGGTTTGAGACACAACAGGGGGCTTATCTGGGGATGGTGCCGGTACCCCTTCACAAGCCCTGGCAATGCCCCTCTCGCTGGGAATCTGCCACTGGGAATGTTTCCATCCTGCCATTTTTTTTCCATCATTTGGGTTTTATTTTATTTGGGCTTGATTTCTTTCAGTTGATTTCATTGGTGGATTTGACCCATTCCCCCTGTACCATGTCAATGAAAAGCCGTCCAGCCTCTTGTCCAAGCAGGCATATTTGTAAGTATGGCCCGCTCAGCCTGCGTTAGGGTGCCCACAGCACAAGGCTCTTCTCCTTGGAGACTTTATCAGGCATCTGTATGTCAATCCATCTACCCATCTTTTGCCCCTGTAAGACCATGCTCTGGTTAGATGTCAGGGAGAGGGGCTGTAGACCTCAGCCCCACGTGTTGAGTTCAAAGCTCAGCAGGGGTAGAGTCTCTGATAGTCAGGACCCGAGTCAACACTGCAGTCTGGAGCCTGGGGAATGGGAGGGGTGCCAAAAGGCCACTCCCTAGGGGCTTTGGGGTTTCAGCAAGTGGAGAGGGTGTGGGCGTCTGTTTCTTATATTTGGCAGATCATGTTTCCTTCTCATGCCACAGCCCTACAGATGCCACGGCTGTGCCTGGGCTTCCTGGAAGTCCTGGAATTGAGGTCAGAGGGGCCATCGAGGGATTCTCTGGGTGAAGCTGCCTTCAGCTGACCTGGTCCCAAAGATTCCTAATGCCTGACCTCAGAGTGTCCCAGGCTATTGTGGATAATGGGTATCAGAAGAGTAGCAGGACTTCAGCTCCTAGAATGAATGGAGGAGGAAATACAGGGCTAAGAAGGAGAGGAGCCTCTTGCAGGCTGGTTGCTGCAGCTCCTAAGACAAGCCTGGGCTCAACAGACCTCCATGAATAGGGGCAGCAGTCCTGGGGAGATTTCTCTTCAGGGGAGTCTGACTGGACAAAAGAACCCAGGGTGAAACCCTCACTCCACTTCCAATCCCATAGAAATGGGTCAGGGTCATCAGAGGGTAAGATCAGCATCTGCCCTGGGCACGGAGACGCCTAGTCCCTGGCATATGTTTGCTATAGCCTGAGCAATTATCCCTTTCTTGGTTTTGCATCTTTTGCGTTTGAAATTCTCCAAGGAAAAGGACACTGTCCTCCTCCTCCCAGGCTTCTCTGATCTCTGCCTTCTCCACAGGCCTGCGTAAGTGAGGGGAAGGCTGACCCTGCTCCTGAAACCCAGCTTCAGCCACCAGAACAATGAAGAGACTCCAGGCCTGGAGTCACAGAACTGCTTCCCAGGCTGCCTAGCATTTTTCCCCCAAATTCCCCTTGTGAGGGGTGGGGGATACTGCAGGCCGGGGTGGCTGCTACTGTAAGTTTGTAATTTCTTTCTTTTTTCTTTTTTTTCTAAAAAAAACTAAGAATAGACATGAGAGAATACGGAAACAAACAAATTGTGTCCCTGGTCTTCTTGGGTAGGTGGCCCCTAGGTGCTCTGTCCTAGGTTACAGGGCCTGAAATCACATACCGCTGCCAAGGGAAGGTCCCAAAGAACAATAAGAAGGTTCAGTCGCATCAGGAAGTCCCTATGAGCCACCAAAATCTAAGAGTGATAGGGGCCTTGAATAAATAAATACTCAGTACCCTAGCTGCAGGTCTTATCCAGGCAAAGGCCCTTGCCCCGCTGAAGCCCAGTGGAATTCCCTGGAGCTGGGCCAGGAGCTCTGCCACTCCCAAGCTAGGAGAGAACTATGGGTGAAACATGGAACCTGGGGATACCACATAGACTCTTCTTTGTAGAAACAAGGACCTTAGGTAAGTATCCCAAGAACATCGGCCGTGTTAGGAAATACACAAAGCTGGTGGGTAATTAGAAGTGGAGTCTCAAGTGGCACCTGAAGCCAGTCTGTTCTGAAAGTGTAGAATACAGTACAAGATCACTGAGATCAGAAAGAGTGTTACTTTTTTTTCCAAAGTGGGGAAGAGTTTGTAACGTGATTAGAGGTGGCTGGACCCCTTGACAGGTACTACTCTATTGGTGAAAGGCAGCAGAGGCTAGCTCAGCATGGACTAGGAGACATGGCAGTGGGTATCTGGGATAGAGCATGGCTGAGCATTAAGGTGAGACTTTATTGGTCTTCAAACAGATCCCCAAAGCTATAACAGAACCACTCCTCACACCAGCCAGGAACTCTTCCTCTATGCTGTGCTACGTTTGTGGTAGACACTGAGCGTCCCCAGCAGACCTACTGTATGGTCTGGGACAGGATGAGGCAGGCAGGGTACCCATCCTGCAGTGTAGGTACCTGGAGGGAGAAAAGGAAGTGTGTGTGTGAGTTCTGTTCTCATCGAGTTTGTCTGGGCCAGGGGCCATTGGCCTCGGGGACTCCCTTGACTTACCACTTGGTTCTACCAGAGAATTGTCAGACACATCTTGGGGACACACTGACCTCTGAGAGCATAAGAAGGCCATGGCTCCTGTCTCTCACTAGGACAGGGGTGTGACACACCCATGTAACACTTGAAGCTCATGTTCCCTCCCCTGCCTGACCACCAACCCCCCAACCTAGCCCGTGTGCCTCTGAAGCTCTTCTCCAATACTATCTGAAGCCCTTGATGACCAGCTGGACAAGAGGCATCCCCCAGCCATCTTTCCCTCCTACTCCACCTACAAAGGGAGTGGGACTGCCTGGTGGAGGGAGTGAGAAGTGTGGCCTGGCGGGTCTCTGGAAGGCCACTGCTAGCCTGAGGAAGCAAGACACTCGGGTTACACCCAGGCTGCAGGAAGGAAGAACGCTGGGGGGTACCCCGGACCTTACCTGGTTTAGGACAGGAAGGTGCGTACACAGCTACCGATAGGTACCCTGCAGATAGGGCACACCTGCAGGTTGGGGGCACACTCAGTGCAGACTAAGTGGCCACAGGGCACGAAGACCACATCTACTGCTCGATCCAGGCACACCTTGCACGTTCTCTCCTCCTGCAGTCGCCGCAGCTGTTCCCGCACATCCCCAGCTCCTGAGGGGCTCAAGAATCCACCAGCACCCTCAGGGCCCCAGGAGACTGACTCCTCAAGGGGAACGAACTTGTTGCATGAACCCACCCTCTTATCCCCCGCCCCCGGTGTCCCCCCCCCTTGCACCCCCACCATGAAGGAGGACGGCCCCATCCATCTCGGGTGGATCCCAACTATACCTGACTCACTGGCATCTTCAGGCTGCGTCTCTCTTCTGGATGCCGGCAATTCAGGGTCTCCTTGGGCAGGAGCTGTAGACAGTTAGGAGGAATGGATTCAGGGGCCTAGCCCAAAGAAGACATATCAGCTACCAAGGTCCTGTTCTGTCCTAAAGAACAGAAGAGTTTGTATGGCACCCAGATGTTCATGAGCTCGAGGCCAGAGGCTCCCTGGAGGCTACCAAAGAGCCTGCCTTCCACCAGGGCACTCTGCCTGCCCAGGCCCTCAGACTAGGTGGTCATAGATTGTATGTATTTGGCACTTTGGGAGGGACAGGAAGCAAAGGGTGATGGATGCCCAGAGGAGAGAGACAAGGAAGGAGGGCAGGGCCTAGAATGGACAGAGGTACCTCTGGCCCTTGCTGTCTGGCCCTCATCCTCCTGGAGCAAGTCAGCCATCAGTTGTGAAGGGGGTGTGCTGGACACACCTGAGCTCTGGCTCCTTTCCCGGTTGCCCCTGGTATCTTTAAGGCAGAGGAAGAGAGAGGGGGAGGGAGGGAGGGAGGGAGGGAGGGAGGGAGGGAGGGAGTTCTACGGGTTGTAGAGAAAGGCTGGTGGTATGTGGCATTTATTTACACATGGATTTGTGTGTTCCCAGAAGGCACTGGGAAGGGTTCAACCTTCTTAGACCAAGGATGCTTGGAAAGAATCACTGGGGAGGACAATAGACCAAACCCTCCCCAAGCACCAGAGTGTCCCATAGACTCCTGGGCTATTAAAATGGGTTAGGGTTGTCACATCACATCTCACAGCTATGAGACTCTGGGAGAAAAGTCCCTTGTCTGTGGCCACAAAGCTGGCAAACATCAAGTGGTCCCTGAAGTCAGAAGCCCCCTTGGGGTCCCTGAAGAACCTCAGACTCCTGTCCCATAGTGCTCGGGAAAGAAACTTGGAAAGCTGTGTCCTCTGTGGCTCTGTTCAGCAGGCTTCTGGGTACAGCCCAGCTGGTTTTCAGAAGCTGTGCTCAGTGCCCAACAGAACCAGCCCAGCACGCAGCTACATCCCTGGGTTTGGCTGGTGCCTTTAGTAGCCTGCTCAATGGGAACGAGGGGATGCAGTGGCCTGACCTGTGCCTCGGACACACGGCACATGTGCACAGTCCCTCCCTGCTGACTGGCAGGTGTGTATGCTCAGCAGTCTTGCTCATGTACAGGCTGCAAATGCCAACGAAAAAAGCAAGGGCTTTGTGTCATCTTACCTGAGGGGGTGACAGGGACTGTATCTTCTGGCTCTTCCCATTGGTCCTGTTTGGAAAGCCATCCATGCCGTAAGTAGACAAAGCAGAGACTGCCAACCCACCTGAGTCCTGAGGACAGGTGGACTTACCCAGGAGCCAAGCAAGGGGGTGCAAGCCTGGATTCTTTCCACAAAGTCCCTTCCTTTTGTCTGTAGCAGGAACCGACACCTGGAGAAGAGATCTTAGGAGGCAGGACTGGACTCTTAGAGCCCCACTATCATAGTCAAGCCCCGTAAGCTATGACTTCTGTTCCCATGCAACCCATTATGCCCTGTGGCAGGCAGTCAGGGCTATATATCCTGGGGAGACCTGCTGGGAAAACTATGGACTCTAAGCACCTAGAAAAGAATAGCAACGGAAGAATGACCATTGTAGCGGTCCTTCCAGAGAAAGCTCCATGAAGAGTGGGGTTGTCTGCTACCCTAGAGAGATCCTGATGTTCCGGGACTGTGGGAGATGGGGAGGCTGGACAGAATTCTTTAGGGCCCCTTTCTCTAATGGGACCTGCATCAGTCCACATGACCCTTACCTGGGAAACCATCGGGCATGCTCTGTCCAGGGGTCATCCCCATGCTCCCAGCTCTGCAGACCCCCATAGCAGAAGAAACATCTCACCTTGTCCTGCTGGCCTGGACATGGCAGAGACACATGGCTGGTAACCCCACCTCACCTAACTGGCAACCCCAGGGTGTCCCTCCATGACCATCAGAACTGAGATCTGCCAGCAGGTTAACAAGAAGAGAGCAAGGCACATGGGCATCTCTCTTGTCTCAAATAAAGACAATGCCTGGGGCATGTGTCAGGAGGGCCCTAGAATATTCTGGAAAGGCTGAGCTAGCATTTATGTTGTCCTCAGGGCATGGGGGTAGGGTAGGGCCAAAGGCTTGGAGCATCTGTAGCCTGGGAGATTTTGGGGCATCCTCGTGACAGGATAAGGAGGTGACCCCCTCCACACACACACACACACACTGGTTTATAACCAGGCGTGGTTTTAGTGGCTCAGGCCTTCCTCCTCTCTGCCCCTCCTCCAACCGTGAGAAGATGTGTCCTTCATGACCTTCTGCAGAAGTTATAAACAGAACTTACAGGCATATCCCACGGCAGACACCCACGATCCACAAAATCCCATTAACATCTGTTGGCCCCAGGAACATTTCTTTTCAGCGAGGGTCTACCTGTCCCAGTCATTAACCCTTCATGACCAGTGTCGAGTTGCCCTGTATCAGTTTGGACTCTTGCCTGACCAGTGCAAGGAAAATAACTAACTCCTCCCCTGCTGGCCCCATTGGTGACAGTTTCTCTGGCTCCTGTTCATACTTACAAAGCCCCTCCGTGGGTCTCACTGCCTCTTTTTCCTCAACCAAAAAGAGAAAAAGCCAGAACCTGACCTCTGCCATGAGTGAGGAGCAGCCTAAGCTAAAGGAGTCATCTGTTTGTAACTAGAACAGGTACTCGAAGAGTTTGTCTGGAGTTGGTCTCTGCCCTAGCCTGGTACATGGGAAGCCTGGAGGATTACCTACAAGATGGGCACAAATCAGGGGATGCTTAAGCTGACCCCTGCATCCATAGGATACATGTCCCTCCATTTGTCCTGGAATGAAAGGGATTAGTCACTTCTATAACCAAGCCTGCAAGGCTCTCAGGTGGCAGTGGGGGAGGGGTCCCTGAAGTAGTATGGGGGACCCACAGAACCATCTAGTCCAGGTGAAACCACCTGCTGAGGGGCCCTCAGGACAAGGCCAGCACAAGCCCAAGATCTCATAGTGACTTTGACTGCATTAGACCCCAAACCCTGGCCAGGCAGAAATGACAGGCCTACCTTTCATCAGCTCCTCACTCAGGGCAGGAATGGACAGAACTCTAGGCCTGGAAGAGTGCTAAATAGCATCCAGACCACAGCAGGAAGACCCCCCCAAGACTTACCTGTATGGAAGAAGCCTGCAGCAGCCAATGACTCAGGCTGAATCCTAGCAGTGGATGGCCAGTCGAAGAAGGAAGCCAGGCGGAGATCCTCTGAATCCATCTCAGGGAAGGCGGGTTCTCCAAGGAAGGTAGCTCCAGAGGATTCCTCCTCTTCTGACAGGGGGCGCAACTGGCCCAAGATCTGCCCATCTACGCAGTCCTGACCCGAGACGTGGCTGCGTGCGTGGTGGGATCTGCACTGTTCCTGGGTGAGGCCGTTGCTGTCTTCCCTGTGACTAAGTTCTGGTCTACAGAACAAGTCCCTGGCCCTGCCCTCAGGCCCCATGGAGAGAACAGCAGCTCTGAGCAAGTCTGCAGGAGAGAGCATCACCAAACCTGGAATGTGCCTGGTGACTTTACCTCCAGCTCCTGACTCTAGCAGCCCTTTCTAGAAACTGTGGTATAACCCCTGCTCCTAACTACGGGCAGACACCACTAGATGCTCAGATGCTGTAGTGTGTCCAGGGACGTGCCACTTTCTGAAAGAGGCCAGAGTGGCGGCCACGTGCTCTCTGCAGTGAATGTGTCATGGGGCCTCCTGGCAGGCATCTAACAAAGGCGGTACTCCACTGTGCAGAAAGCATCTCTAAACAGGGGGAGGGGCAGAGATTGGGGACCCCTCCAACAGCATCCTCTAAGCCTCTGGAAGCAAATCATAGATACTGTCAAAAAATATAGAGGAAGGGGAGTCCAGCCATTCAGGGTTCAGTTCTGGGTAAAGATAGACAGATCCAGATCCAGACAGGGGCTTTGCAAGGTAGAAAGCTAGATTGTCCAGGATAGTGTGTAACCCCAACCGCATTCCTTCCATACCAAGCCTGTCCTGATGTTCAGGGATGACACCACCTGCTTATTCCGTCCCTAGCACATAGAAGACCCCTGCTTGACTCAGCCCCGAGTCAGAGTCAGCCCACCTATCCTAACTGGTCTCAGGTTGCCCTCTTTCTGTCTGGACAGGCTAGAATCAAATCAAGGGTGGGGCATGCCCTGGGCCTTGGTCTGGGAAGAGCTCAAGGTTTAGATCGTGTTTGCTCCAGGCCACTGCAGGTCTCTATCTGCACTGGTCAAAGGGGAATGCCACCTCTCTAAGTGAGCTCTGCCTCAGGACTGGTTCCAGGCACCTGGTCTCCACTAACCAGCCCCAGGTGAGGGACTCCATTGCCACAAACCTAACAGAACAGAGAGGAGGGGTCATAACCCCAGAGAGACCATAGCTACAGGTTAGTAAAACAAAAGTCCTCAAGACTACTGGAAGGGGCAGAGAAGAAGACCAAGGAGACAGCTCTGCCCACGCAGGCACTGTACCCAGATAACTGCACAAACCCCTCGCCTGTAAGTAGCTGTTCACTGCTGGCGAAACTTTTATCGTGGTGAGCACTCGGGAGGCAGAGGCAGGCAAATCTCTAAGTTGGAGGCTAGTCCCATCTACAGAGTGAGTTCCAGGACATCCAAGGCTACACAGAGAAACATGGTTGAAAGGAAGGAAGGAAAGGGAGGGAGGGAGGGACAAAGAAAGAAAGACAGACTCCAGACAGTTCATTTTGGTCATACTCACCCCTACCTCTACCTCTGCCTCCTTCCATATCCATCCCCATCTCTCCACTCCCAAATCCATCTCCTCTTTTTATTTATTTTTAAATGTTTAACCCCACTGAGTCCAGTTTGCATTGTCCACATACTCATGGGTGTGGCGACATCCACTGGAACATGGCCAGCCTACCAGGAGCCACCAACCATAAAGAAAACTGACTTTCCCTCTCCCAGAAACTGTCAACTGTCAATAGTCCCTCGGTCAGAGGTAGATACTGAGCTACATGGTGAGTGGTTGGGGCCTGAGAGGTATCACCAGGCCGGCATGGCGACTCATGCGTGCAATCCTAGCATTCGGGGGGGGGGGGGGGCTAAGGCAGGAAGATTGCTGTGAATTTAAGGCCAACCTGGACTACATAGCAAGTTCTATGCTAGCTTGAACTAGAGTGAGACCCTGTGAGAGAAGGCCTCCCTTCTCAGGTGCAGGGGAGGCCATCCTGGGACTCTGCTTCACAGGGCCTGCCTGGCCTGCCAGCGGAAGCTGAAGGAGGCACCTGGCTTGGAAAGGAGAGCTGGGTCCCAGCCCTGTAAATGCATCTCTCCCCTACTCACTTACACCACAGAGCCCCGGTGGCACGCAGAGCCCACAGGCAGCTTTTCCAGTGCTACTTGACTGGGAATACCACGCTTCATAGAATCCCCGTTGCCCTTTGAGAAAGTCATGGGTTTTTTGTTTGTTTGTTTGTTTTGTTTTTTTACAAGACAGGGTTTCTCTGTATTGTTTTCGAGGCTGTCGTGTCCAGCTCATCCTCGAACTCACAGAGATCCGCCTGCCTCTGCCTCCCGAGTGCTGGGATTAAAGGCGTGTGCCACCACCGCCCGGCTGAAAGTCATGTTTTTTATTTTTGGTTTTTGTTTTTTGTTTACCATTTCAGAGACGTGGAAACTGAGGCAAAGGAAGGGAAAACAGGTTCACTGAGAGCTGAAGTATGAGAGACTGGCCTCGGAGATGGTGGCAACTCCGTTCCATACCAGACCAAGCTCACACAGGGCTGGGGTCTGTAGTGTGATATCGACCCTGCCTGGACATGTAGCACTGACCACAGGCGTGATCATAGGTGAGGATGTGATGGAGGACAGGACTAGATCTGGGGTCATGGACCCCAGAGCTCTCTCTTGCTGCTGGTTGGGTCACAGGGAACAGTCTGGGAGGATCCTTGGAGCTGGAACCAGTGGCGGTCACGCGCCTCTTGTGTAAGTGTAATCTCCCCAAATAAACATTACTTAAGCTGTGCTGAGTCTAGTGAATCTTGATTACCGCACAATAGGAGTCCCTGGGGGATCCGCCATCACCAGCTCAGCAGATGTATTCCCATATGGCCCTGCAGGGATTTAGGAACCTGTCTCATTCCCTGCTGGACCCACTGCCTATACTTCCATCTGTGGCAATAGAACCTTCTAGGGTAATCCCCCAGGATCTCACGACCTTTGTCTTTCTCTCTCTACTTGCAAGCAAAAGGACAGAATCACTGCTTTGACATTTGAACTGGGAGCCCTGCCTTTCCAGGCTCCTTGCTGGACCAGGTTCCCTGGGATTGAGGCCAAAGGGGCTGATAAAGGAGAAAAGGGGCAGCTTCGCCAAACTCTTCCTCTGTGCAGGTCCAGGCCTGGGCCCCTGGGGGCCTGAGCACTGGAGTCTGGACCTGCTGCCTGGGCCTGGGAATCTGTGACAAAGGACCACAAGCATTCCTGTCGTCCCTGACGAAAACAGCCGAGCCGGCCCCAGTTTGAGAGTCCTTCTGAAAGATAGGGACATACTCTACCTGTGACCGCAGAATGGGGCTCTCGGGACACTCAGCGGCGCACAAGGCCTGTGACGGAGGCCAGTAATAACGTGGTGTGTGGTGAAGGGTCTGGGAACAAAGCACCCACGCGGCTGTGCTAGCTGCAGCCATGCTGGGACTTCACAGAAACAGCACTAGTCTCTACGACGCCTTGCCGGGTGTCTAAACCCCTGCCACGAGCTCACACCGCATGCTGAGTCCTTTGCTAATGTATGCCGCAGCACCTAGGTGGTGACAAGCTGTGGTTGAAAAGGCCCTGTAGCTCGTAGCATAGCCATGATGTGGTTTGGGGCAGCTGAGTCCCCGTGTGAGAGTGTGGGGACTGCGTTGGGCCATCCTCTGTGTGGCCGAAGCCCCCTAGGGAGGCCTGAGGCTTCCTGGATGTGGTGGTGGGAGGGATGAGAAAAAGGAAGGGAACTCGAAGGAAGGCCAATGCCACCTCCCCACCCCCTCTGCAGACCAAGAGAATTCTTTCTGTATGGCTCTGTAGATCCTCTTCCCTACCCTGAGCTCTACAGAGCATTCCCCCAAACAGGCTGAAGCGTGAGAGTCAGTGTTGTACATTCTGCTGTTGACGCTGGACTTGCTCATGAAGGTCTCTCCCCTGGGCACTCCCAAGTATAGTTTTCAGAGCCCGGAGACCCTGAGGTGTCCAGATAAAGGAGACTTAGGCATCACAGGCCAGCTGAGATGGCAGCAGTCTTCTGTTCCCAAAGTCCAGGGGAACCGAAATGTCCCACAGGCCAACGCTTCAGACATCTGGGCCCAGACTTTAGCCAAGGAGGAATCTAGGGTAAGGTTGGGTTCGGCTTCAGGAAGGGCTAGATCAGGGAGCTCCTGGGCCTCTCTGGGAAGGGCTGCAGGGAAGGAAATGGGAACTACAGCCTGCAAGGGATAAACTTGTCATTACTTCCTCCAATTCATCTTAATCAGAGTTGCTGGAGGGGTTGTGGGTAACCAGCCTCAACGGGACTGAGTGTCGTGCTCTTCCGTGAACCTACTATACAAGTGGGTCCCCAGCTTTTCCCAGATACTTAGGCTTGGTTTGTGTCCCAGGCTCTGGACCCTAAGTGGAGCCATTTGAATTTTGTTAGAATGAAATAAAATGTAAAGTACAGCCCTTGTGGCTGCATGAGGTCAGTGATTATGCTGTGGGACAGAACAGCCCAGAAGGTCACAACACTCACCTACTGCCATTGGGATGAACTTCAGTTTCCCAGAGTTGGGAGGTGAGGGAGCCTGAGGTCATAACGCCTGATTAAGAGCGCACCCTGTTGGACATGAAGGGTTTGACAACACAGGGTCAGAGACCCAGGTCCTGGAGAGTTCTGGAATTAGCTACTCACAGATGGACCAAACGCTTCAGAAATGCCGTGAGATGGGTGTGTCTCCAGGGTCATCTTATTCTGAGGCAACAACAAGAGCAAGGGTCCAAATGCCTGGAACATAGCTGAGGGACTTCCGGGGAGGGGCACTGTAGGGGTAGGAGGCACGTGTAGCCAGTGTCTGGGAACTGCAAGAACATGAGGGAGGCCGGAAACCCGGAGACCCGTTAATAGGTGCTGGAGGACCGGGGTGGTGAGTACCTAGGCAGACACCTTCCCCTGCGGAACTCCATTTGGGCTCGGATCGCTGTTGTGCACTGTGATCATTGTGGCATTAGTACGAAGGGTCAGCAAAAGTGAAGTGCGTTCTCGCACGTGATCAGAGCCCGGGAGTGAACTGCCTCAGGCTTAGCTTGATCCATGTATGTTCAGATAATGCCATCACTTGCATACCTTTCCCTCTCAGGGATGGCATCACTTTTCGGTAAAGACGGCCGCTGGATGGCCCCTTTGCTCACAACTCAGCAAATGCATCTTGTTTCCCCAAAGGCACAAGCTTAGGGCTGAGAAGGACTCCCTGAACTGACGTCAACACGCAGTTACCAGACTGAAGGGTTGTTGGGCATCGTGGGGGGCTTATAGGAGACACGTGCAAGAGTCTCCTAAGTCTTCCCATTCCCTGGGGAATGTCTGGCCAGGCCCTCATCCCAGGTTAATGGCTTCAGCAGTGCTCAGCACTCCCCCAGCTGCCACACCCGTCTGCACACA